TTCTTATAGCTAAACGCGGAATCCAACAACAAACGTAAGTGAGAGATAATCTTTCTACTGTTTGTATATGCTTTACAGAAGTGTTTACCTGCTGCAAGAGTGTATTACACTTAAGATGGTAGTACATGCCTCTTCTGATCAGTGTTAACTTAATAATGCTCTATTCATATAACTCGGGCAATATTAGTCGAAATTACTGCTCTTATTTGACTCTTTTACGGGTAACTCCTCAGCTGCACGTTCAGTCTCTTCATATTCCACCCGCTGTCTGATTTGCGTTTACTAATTATAACTCAGTCATCTCGCAGGTAGGAGATCTAACAGTGAGTTGCCGAGCTTTGCCAGCGTAATCCGCTTTGACACGTCAAACCTTGGATAAACACAAACGTTTATCCTGTTGATTATGAATCATATCCCAGCATTTAACGAGGTATTTAAGGTTTTGTTTACCGACCGGGAGGTCTGCATAAGAGAAAGATCCGAGGAGAGCTGTGATAATTTTGATTCTGAGCAGGGGCCCATGAGTGGACTCCAGTTCTGAATCACTCTAGGATTTATCAATATCATAAAAATTCTTTTTAATTGATATCATTATCATCATCATATCCATTATTATTATTATTATTATTATTATTATTACTGTTATTATTATTATAATCATTGTTACTATTTTCGAAAGGGTTTGATACCTCCAGGCAGTTGTGTGTTCCTTAGAGTGCCAAAAATTATAAGAAAAGACAGCGGACTGCTTTTGTAGAATCAAACTCAGATTTTCACCAACTATACCTGAGAAACGTTAATGGTGGCTATATAAAAAGAAAGATAAAAATGTCAACTAGTATAGAACTAGCGAGTAAGTAAACAAACAAACAAACAAAACAACAAACTGTGCCCGTCAAAAATGACTTTATTAGTGGTGTTGTGATACCCTGATTATCTTACCTACTAATACAATGGGCAGAAAGGTCTGTCAAAAATCATCGGCAGTCTACGATGTTTTTTCAATGCATTTTAAGGAAATTAAACTGGCAGCACACAACCCGGTTCCCACAAGAACAAACCGCAAAGGAAGATGAACGCAACGAAAGGAGTGGTTTTGTACACTGATATAGCCAATGCAAATGCGAGCTGGAATTGATAATTTTAAAAGTGCCAAGACGTGATTTTTCTCAGTGGGATTAGAAATCATTGCATATTACTTATTATTAATAAAGTAACGAAAACTATATCATTCAACGACGGAGAGCAACTCTCAGATTTTTTTGGCATTCTCTTCAGCAATCTGTACATTTTCGTTATTGTCTTGATGAGTGCCAAAAGATCGAACAAATATTTAGAGGTTTGTATATTGTATCGAATTGTAGTTGCAGTCCGAGCGGTATTAGTGGCAGAGACTTCGGCCTAAATTGTTGAAAATGTTCTGATTAATGTTTAATGTCATTCACGTTCGCAGCTGTTGAAAACAAAGTGAAGTTTTTGAATAAAAACTCAATTAAATTTTGCGCCGAAAATGAAAGCAGAGTCTCAGAGATGTTTAGTCTCAAACTGAAACATTCCTGTTCGCAAACTGAAGTCAGTGTTTTAAACATCTCCATGACAACAAGGCAATCCAATTCTTGATTTGAATTTGGCCTCATCAGTATTACGATCTTTTTTTGTCATGTTCTGTTTTTGTTTTACTTTATTGTTACTTTGCGGTGGTTTTGTTTTGCTTTAGTATACCTCACTTTCATCGGCTGGTAGGAACTTTTTTATTCAGTTGGAATTAGTGGGCTGAATTTGCCCCAAAACGCAATTTTAGCCGTGGTGTTTCTTCTCCAATAAAAATATTCGAGCTAGTGTGGAATGTAGCTTGGCCTCACTTCATGCAGTTTGAAAAATAATAAAGCAGAGACGCTAGATCACGGTAACGCAGCTACACAGAACATTATGAAAAATGAGTTAAACTCGACAGATAAGACGAGTTATTTATGTTGTGGCTACGAAATATGTCTACCGATACATTACGGCGGTTTTGTGCACAAACCACCCATCATTTTGAACAAGTGACGCTCGGCAACCCAGGTGTCATTAGTTACGCTTGCTAGGAACCTTTAGACATATGTTGTGAAATTTCTCTGACTTTCAACTTGTACGAAATTTTGGTTGACTCCTTTAATTACGTCATACTCCGTAGATCGAAAGAACAAAAACTGTAGCTTATCAGGGCGAGATCCAATTTGACAGCTTACATGATAAAAGCTTAAATTAACTAATAAAAGAAGACGAATCATAAAAATTTAATTGAAGGAGGTTGCAGGCGAAAATTAAACAGCTTACTTAAACAGTGGAATTGTGGCCGAGAAACTGAACTGTGATCTACAGTTGTTGGCTAACTTGAAGTCTTACCAAAGTAACTTTTTTTGAACAGATAAATAGTTCTAGAAGCAAAATTAATATAACCCATTGTTTTCAAGGAAAAAAAACAAGAAGGAAATATCCCATCAGCATTAATCAGCAAATCTCACTTTGTCGTCTACTAAATCTCAAACAAAGAAATCGCTTTAACAGAGGTAGGTAAACAAAGAGTTTGAGGTACGTTATTTGAATTAACTTTTCACTGTCACAAACGTTGATGGCGCAGTTTTATTTTGGGAGAAACAGTCCATTTAGCCTGGTTATAACACATCAATACCTAAAAACGACTAACAACGGGTTCAGTATGCAGAGTGCAAAATTTAGTCTATAATAATAATTTTTCAAGGTAGTTTGTTAGTATGCCATGTCTTCTTGCGAGCACTGACTGACTTAAACCCAACCCGCCGTAACTGAAAGACTAGATCAAACGTTCGATAGACCTCTTTCGAATACCGTGATTAAAACGCGTGAATGGGTTTAACTGGACTTGACACGAATATCGAGTGTTTCATAACTGTAGAATTAAGAGCCTACTGTTTTAGTTATGATGTAGTATATACAGAAGTCAATCGGCGGAAACAAAAAGATTAATAACAGGTACTTAGACGTCACACCAAGCTAAAACAATGGCTTAAGGATGTGCAAAATTCACCTTTAGGTTAAAAAATATAATAAAACAAAGCTTCCAATTCTTGTTAATCTTCCTGGTTTATGAGAGCTAAGCTTTTGTTAATCCGTTAAGTTTATATGTATATTCAGAAAATCCGGCTACTCACTGATATAAATTTAGAAGCAAAACCTAAAAGATGTTTTCGAATTCTCGTCTATTAAGGTGAAAACAGTGAGTATTTGACGAGTGACTTTCCACGTTTAAACGTATATTTTCTGTCGACAGTCACAGCCATGATTTGGCCCTTATGTCTGAATATTCTCCTTGTTCAAGATAAATATCTGGTGTTTAATGTCCAAAAACAGTATTCTTGGAGGCTTCGTTAGCAAAATACTATACTATTTTAATCTGATTCTGTTACAATCAAACCTATGGTAAAGTTTTATGTAACCATGCTATAATGTTTAGAGTATTATTGCATACAGACTGTGTTATATATATATATATTTTTTTTTTTTGAGAAAATTTCTTAATTCTATAAACTTTTTTTTTTTTTACAATAAGAACCTGTTTTAGGATTTTAGCCTAAAATGGTTCAGTATATGAAAACCTAACAGGTTCTTAAATGTTAGGTTCTTATACGGACTGATAAGGTAAAATCTAATTGAATAACTACCGTGCTGGTTAAAAATGTATGATCGACAGATTTCCATTAAAACAAGGAGGAGGAATAACTTTAAACATTTCAAGTAGTAAATTCATCCTTATCAACTGAAGACCGTCATTTGACAATTTCAACTGTATTTGAGTAATATTCTGACTTTGGATAGAGGCTAACAACAAAATGTTGTATCTGTTGATCCATTACAAAGGCTACAACTTCCGAACAAGTTCTCTGAGTAACGTCTACAATCAATTGGCTTGCCGAATATCCGTGTGGTGGATGTCATTGTCACGTTTTATGAAAAATGCAGTTCGTATTCAGCTTCATCGTACGCGTGATGGAAGATCGTTCCAAGAACTTTTATTCACCTTAAAACAATGTAGTTTTTGGCTTTTGTATTTAAATTCACATTCGGATTCAGAAAATGTTTATAAATTCAGTGACCAGCACCACACGTAAAAAGTACTGCTCGTCAGCTTTTATTAGTAGAGAGTAAACATGTATCTTCTTCAGGCACCAGAGATAGTCCGTTCCGGCGTTAACGCAATAAGTTGTGTTAATTAGTTTATGATAATGTCTGATATTAAGATAAAAAGGAAAAAAAAACCAAAGGAATTTACTATTGGGCCTTTTTTGTTACCGTTAAAACAATTTAAGCATGGCCTGTCAAACCTCTGTAATACATCGCACAACAAAGGCACAGATTTTACCATTCTATGCCCTTGTTTGCTCTTACTACGTGAGTGTGCATACCAACCTCAGAGTCCTCTCCTACCCGTCCCAGCGGAATTCTCCCTTGCCCTGCAGGAACGGGTAGGAGAGGACACTGAAAACGAGGTTGCGTGCATACTTGGTTATTAGCTGGGTTTATATTTTGTGCAAGGCCAGCTGGCGGTTTACCAGTGTGATGATCTTCTTACGTCTTACAGGTAAACTGAAACAACAGGACCATGTCAGTTTTTCTTGACAGTGGAGAATTAATTGTCCTCGTCATCGTCTTTTCATTTTTGACGTCAGGTAACAGAACTGTTGCTGTTTAAACTCAGCTACAAACCTGGTCAAAACATCTGTCGGGACACTTGAGGAAATTAAGCGCGAAGACTCACTTTGCTAAAGCAACTCTGGCGTAATCTACTTCTTATAAAAGCTTAAGAATGTTGTTGTAATGGCCTGTTTTTGCTGTCCCTCTCTCCCCCAAGCAATGTTGATCGTGACGAAAAAGAATTGAATTCGTGACATTAACACTGCTCTGGGGAGATGGGAGAGGGAAATTACGTCGCTAGTTGACCAGGGTTGCAGTTATAAAAACGGCTCATTACGTAAGAAATCTGTTTGTTTTGTTTCGTTTCTCCAGTAAAAGGTGCGAATCCATCTGCTGAGCAAGTTCTTATTTCAACGCTGATGGAAAGTTACAACAGGAATGCTCGTCCAGTACTAAACAGGAAAAGGTCCACAAATGTCACTTTTGGACTAGAAGTTGTCCAGTTAGTAAATGTGGTAAGCATTTAATTCAATTGTTTAATAATAACACAAGCTCAGTCATGCCATTTTAAGACATTTTAATTTACTAAGCAAACATATATTGCCAGTGGCTTGCCTGGAAAATGTCGTGTTTAAAAGAGAATCATTGGATGATAACCACAAAAATAAAAGAGAAGATGAAGACGGAAGTAAATGAGCTATTGCTCCGGGTTCGTCGAAAGATGCAGGTTAAGTTTAACCCCGGGGTTAAGCCAAATGTAAGCAAAGTTTTCTTGTCCAGAAACATGTCATGGAGCTTATAATATACTGAGTGTTAAGGTGTTGATTCAGTTATGATAACAAAGAATTATAACCTGAAAAATCTATGGTGAAATAAATACAATCGTGGATAAAAAAAAAATTCAATCCTGGATTAGCTTGGAATGTCTTCAGAGACTGAACCGGGTCCAGACTAAGCTGAAGACAGCTTTTCCGAGTGGTTAGGCGTTGGACTTGCAGTCCGGAGTCCCCGACTCTGCTGCTGACTCCAGTCCTGAACACTGGTTGGAGGATTTTTCACAGGACTCCCGAGTTCAGCAATCCAACCAAGGCTTGTAAATAGCCAAGTTACTGGCTTGTCTCTGGCAAGAGCTTTATCCTCTCTTATCTCTGGCATGTTGGGATTCTTATTTAAGCTTTTACGGAGCTCTCCTTGAGATTTCCAAGTTAAAACAGCTCAAACTTTGCAAGTAAAATACATACGCAAAGAGTGTTAGCACACTTAGTTTGATCTCAATAAAATTAAGGTAGATTTTAACGCTCCCTACGAATATATTACTGTTTTTCTCCTTACAGGATGACCGTAATCAGATGATAACAACAAACGTGTGGGTTAGACAAGTAAGTACTCTTTAATGACTTTATCATTTGGTATCTCGTCGGATTTTTAAAAACGTTCTTTTTTTAAAAGACCGAAAATTACAGCCATTTGCCTGAGAAGAGGTCAAAAAGGCTATTTCTTCTACACGATAATCCCAAAAGTCATTATATCCTTTGTATAAAGGATATGAAGAGTTTGTTTTGTAACTGAACACAACTGTTGTCTTGCATTTCAGAGATGGAAAAATGAGCTGTTAACGTGGAAAACGGAGAATTACAACGGTGTTAAAATAATAAGAATCGATCCCAGCTTGGTATGGATACCAGACATTGTCCTGTACAACAGGTTCGTAAAACACTCTGGTAGTGAAGGAGGGTACCAGTGAAATGTCTCCTGACAAGATCTAATGGTAACAGGAGAGTGGTAAACTTTAAACGTCGAATTTTTCATGTACCGAACCTGTTTCCTTAAATTAAGTAGGTGAACAGATCGACGTTTGAATTAATTAAGTCCAACTTGTCAAATTTGGGTCGACCCACATTCGACTGGTAATTTCGACTGTGGAGCGACTCCTTTTTAAACCGGTCGAATCTCTCATGTCCCAAATCTAACGTTCGTTCATACGAGTGATTAAAACAATATTACCTTAGTAAATTTTAAAAATGTCTTCTTTCAGTGCAGACAGTGTGTTCAGCGGTGGCCTTGAGAAATACAAGACACGAGTTATCCTAGAGGACGATGGTCGTAATGCATGGTACAGCCCAGCCTCGTTCCGAAGCACTTGCAATATTGATGTGACGTACTTTCCCTTCGACGAACAAAAATGTTCCATGAAGTTTGGCTCTTGGACATTTGTGCTAACAGACTTGGACATAGACGCTGAAACGTCGCCCACATTCTCTGATAAGTACGTAAAGAGCGCAGAGTGGGATCTTATTAAGGCCTCTAAAACGCGAAACGTTCAGTTTTACGAATGCTGCTCGATTCCGTTCGCCGATGTTACCATTGAAATGGTTATTCGTCGCAAGCCGCTGTTCTATGCCTTTAACTTGATAACCCCGTGTATGATCATGTTGTCTATGATTCTTCTCGGGTTTTTTCTTCCTCCTGAATCAGGCGAGCGCATCACGCTAAGCATCACGGTCTTGCTAGCCATGGCTGTGTTTCTACAGCTGGTCGCGGAAACTTTGCCTCGCAACTCAGAAACGATCCCGCTGCTCGGCAAATTTTACATCACCATCATGGCGGAGATATCCATGTCCCTGATGTCAACCTGCTGGGTGTTAAACATTCATCATAGAAACTCCGGTCGCTCCGTCGTGAAGATTCCATCGTGGGTTGAAAAATTTGTTCTCGGCTGGCTGGCTAATATACTGTGTGTAAGAAAGCCTGCAATTAAACTGGAGAAAAGTTCAAACGAAGGCAAAAGCAGGGATTGCCATGGTGACATCCAAATACTTGCGCAGGGGCCCACGATGAGCGCTGAGGAGCATGCGCTATTACCAATGAATCACGTGACTCCTGTGTGTCGTTCGATAGCAAAGGTACAGAAAAGGCTTTCGCTTCCAAATGGCATGCCCAAGAATTCCGAGCAAAATTCAAAGAGAACCGAGGAAGATATTGCGAAAGACTTGACAGTGTTGGCAGACCACACAAAATTGAATAGACAAATTGATGAAAATCAAAAGAAATGGAAACACGTGGCCATGGTGATGGACCGATTTTTTTTCTGGTTTTTCGTCATCACCGTTCTTATTTCTACATTAGTGATATTCAAAGAAAAAATTCGACAGGAAAGTTCTGGCTCCTCTCGGATAACCTCCTGATTCAATAAAGACCTTACGAGTGGCCGTTGGTATGCCAAGGTTCTATCCTAACCGGAAAATTTGAGTTTAAGACTATCAAGACAACATTGAGAAATTCAAAGGGCTATCCCGGCTCGAAATACGACACCCAGTTTGAGACACATCCCAACTATTACGGTCTCTTCTTGATGAGACTACCTCTAAATAATCTCGTTTTCTATATAAGACTTTCGGTACAAAAACAGTTTTGTCTCTTCGTAGGATCCTTAAGATAATATGTGCAATGTTTTTGGACTCCGACGGCCAATTGGTGTTGGAGAAGTTTTATACGCACTGAAAAGATCCCCAATTGCCAAATGTTTAAAAAACATCAGTATTATAAAAATAACTACAACAGCTTGCCTTGATCCTACTTAGCGCAAATTTCACTAAGTCCTGAGCACCACAGAACGTGAAGAGATTTCTATGAAACAAGGCATCAGGGCAATGTAATGAGAAATAAGAAATAAATCTTTACCCAGTGACCTAAAATGGGCGCGTCCACGTCACCCGATAACTTAAAGTAGTTCTCGTGTGCCTCCTATAACATAGAGAAGGGTCTTCTGGGTAATTAAGACCCAGGTTAAATTGTTCAAAATTCAAGGTGATTCATGTAATGGGTTGATAAAGAAGTTTAAAACCAAAGAATACTACGAGGGCTTGTTCGAGGAATAGAACACGATTTGTATTGTTATTCAATATATTCTTAAGATAAAGCTTCATGAAGCCGCACAATGAGGCACATAGCCTGCGAAAATATCCGTTTCTCCTCGCTCCTCGTAGACGGATGTTTTCGCAGGCTATGAGGCACAGTGAAGAAATAAAATTTCAGGTGCATTGAACTAATATAACAGGAGCAACAATCACATTCTGTTCCCTCAACTTTAACTGTCTAATTTTCATTGCAACGCAATCTCCTAGAGAGTATGAAGCTTATATGTACCATACAATCCAAACTAATGTTAAATTAGTTTCCAAACTGTTCTGTTCCCAACAACGGAAATAAGATCTCTCTCAGCATGAGAAACTGTTGGTCGTCTTCTATTTATTATTACCAAAGGTCAATCTCTCAGTCTGGGACTTTAAAAAAATGATTAAAACACCAAACTTTTTCTTCACAAATGAAAACATTTTATTGTGTTCCGAATAATACACAATGTTTTGTGAAATTTTGTAAAGATGAATTTGACCGTGTATGAAAATACAGTCAGTTTTGTTTGTTTAAGACAAACCAAGTTGTGTCTTAGATTTGATTAAAAGCTTTGATGGAGAAAGATTTGCATTTGTAAAATAGAATTCGAGAGCTCCGTTGAACGAAACTCTCTACAAATTTAAATAAATAACAGTCTATCCTTATAAAAAATGAAGGACCGATTGAAACACCGTTATTACTCGCGAGGAGTTCACTAGTTGATCATGGTGAGTCCGATCCCATTTTTACAAATTATTTTTCAAGGTATAGTAGGTAGTTGTAGGCAAAACAAGAGCAACTTTCAGAGGTGTTACAGGTGTATATAAGTCCGGTACCCTCAAATACGTTATTTCAGAAAATTAAAATGCACAACTCTTACGCTTCCGCACAACCGCTTATCGGCAGTCTAAAAGAGCTTAGTTTCTCCCGGCTTAGTTTAAACGACATATTTAGTTATTTACTTTATCAGTAGTTGTTACATACGCGTTCACGTCCACAAGAATTAGACATAGGTCAGTATTGACCTGAGAGCATAGCCTGAGATAAATTTTATCCGGAGACGGGGGTTGCTGCTGATTTTTTTGATGGTCAAGAGAAATAAGTAACGCGGTATTTTCTCGATTAGATACCGGCCCCAAATAAACGTCGTGTCTAGCAGCTGAAGGGAAGTTGTAGATAAGTCCATCCAAAATTTACTTGTGGTATTATAAACTTTAACTCTACTCAATGTCAATAACAGCTATTAGATTAGAACAGCGCAGTTCATTCGTTTAAAACGAGAGGCAAAAGCTGCGAGAGAAACAAAGACCGGCGTATAAAGGAGAAACGCGGCTTCGGCTTCGCCGAACAACAAAAAACAACTGTATTTGCATTTCTCTTGTCTTTTTAAGTTACATTAGGTATATGTTTTTATTACAAATATTTACGTTTTTTAGTTAATTTTTTAGATAACAAAAAAATAAGTATTAATGAAGGAAATGCCCAGAGCCTAAATAAACCGCAAGATTCGAGCTAGTCTCTAGACATTTAATGTATATATTAGAAATGTAGCTTAATTCACAAACAGAAAATACATGAATGACGCAAAAATAAGGAATAAAGAAAAGTACATCAGATGAGCATAAAGCATAGCTGAGAATGGCCAAGCCAAAAAAAAAAAAAGAAGAAGAATGAAGCTTCCTTCCCGTCCACGGTCAAATAAGACCACCAGCTGTGCAGACTTGGTTTTAAAGCAGGCCAAGTAAGGCCAGGGTCATTTAGATGAGAAATTACGCTTATTATACTACTACATGAGAAATTACTGCAATTTGATTGGCTTAGAGCAGTGGTATTTCAGCTTAATTTGAAATACCTACATGTGAAAATTACAAAACCTTTGTGGGTAGTAGTATAAACAAATAATAGCATGATTTGTACGTGATATTTGGCATAAATACCACTCGTGATATTTCAAAATTGTCTCAAATTTCACTCGCCTAACGGCTCGTGAAATTACGTATAACAATTTCGAAACATCACTCGTGGTATTTATGCCAAATATCACTACAAATCATGCTATTACCTATACTAATTTGTATTTCAAATAAAAACAACGCTTGCTTACCTTAACCATTTTCCTGGGAGTTTTATACGTAAGGTAGAGGTATGCGTTGATAGTGGAAAACAGTGAAACCTCTAACAAGACACAAATGTCCACTGCTCCGGATAACCGTTTATGTCCATCTTTGTATTTATAAATCCCACTGGTGGAAAACCTCTTTGTTATATAGAAAAAAGGTTGTTTGCGAGTCGCCATGCTAAAAGCTGTTTTATTATTTCAGAGTACGTCGCGTTTTCCAACGTGGTACTGTTCTTCTGTTTATCTACCGGGATTTTTGAAAACGTTATAGCCAAATGGACCTTTTGCGTCCAACAGTTTTCAACATCTCCAAAGTAGCTATTATAAAAACTGAGAGTGCAACCATTGCTTTTTTCTCTTCTCCTCCTTTCTTTCTCCCCGCTCTTTCTTTTTCTCCTTTCCTTTTCCTTCGCCTACTGTGATTTTGGAGCTTCTCGGGCTTATGAAACCTGCCTCAGTTTGACGCCTTTTCACTCAAATGACTGCACTCTTCCTTCTTATTGCCTTAAGATATATAGTGGTGGCCCTGTCCTAAGGTACGTTAGGATGGACGACAGAAACGTGCCACTTGTTTTGCAACATTACTGCAAAACGAGTTGAAAAGCAAAGTAGCGCGTTTTACTACCCATTCAAACCTGTCTTGCAACAAACCAGGTTGTTGAAGGTTGCGAAAAGCTGATGCAAAAAGTATAACAGTAGTTCTACGTTCTGCAAAAAAATTCGCACGTGCTGCGTGTTTTACCGACCCAATGCGAACTTGTTTTACAGCAAGTGAAGTAGCTTCCGTGTAGGGCGTGACTCCCGCGTAATTTTATCCAATCAAAATTCAGTATTCGTGCAAACGTGACTTGCAGCAACCTATATTTGTTGTAAGACACGGTTGAACACGGGTCGTAAAACGCGCAGTCGTTCTGCAGCTCGTTCTGCCTAAGACCAATTTTTGAACCCCTGGAATACGTCAGCGGTGTCTCTTTTGCTCGTAAAAGTAGCTTGAAACATTTTCCCAAATAAATTGTTGAGAAAGATGTACTTTTGGTCTAATAATGTCCAGTTTCAAAACCCGACGATTGCTATGGAATTTCATGCACTTAACCGATGAACTGTCGTCATGCGCAATGCAAGAGCTTGCGTCACCACTGTCCGAAAATCAAGAGACTTTTCATAAAAGAAAAACGAATCTTCTGCATTGTGGAGTTATATAAAACGAGAGATAGTAGGCAAATTCTGATCATACTACTCCTGGTGCTTCGTTTTCCCCTAACTACACTTCACTTGTGTTTTCAAAAGCACATCACGTGACAATTTGAACTTGGCCGACATGTTGACGATTCCTTTAATAATCAGAGCGCAACGTATCGTTCCGATACTGATTATTCGAGGTCTGTATTTATTGCTGTTAACTCTCTCTTTAAGTTTATAAATTCCCAAATTACACGCAACAGAAAAATCACATCGCAAGAATTTCCTGAATTTTCCTAAGGTATAACTTAATGAATATCTTTCAAAATTGGCTTCATCCTGGAAATTACGTGATCGATTAGTAGAGAGTACAACTTCTTAGCGCATTATTACACTTACAAATCAAAGTTATTAGCTATTTCAAAATTTATGTAAAACACGCACGTATTGGCCACTCTTTGCAGCCAAAGCAAATAGTTATAAACTGAGTGAGCCAAGAAAAAGGGTTGTCGTTTAAAAAAATAAGAGTCAAGTTCTTTTCTGGTTTCAGGTCGGTGATTTGAACATCCTTTACTGGTTGATCACGAATTGTACAATCGTCAATTCTTAATTTTGAGGCAATGTACTGATCTCTCTCTTGAAAAAGAAAACATCGGATTGTGGTGTTACAATCAAGTATTTAAAAGCCGGCAAAGAGATATTTCTTAAATTGGAATTAAATCAAATTTCGAACTACTTTCTGCTTCCCTATTTTAAAACAACCAAAACCGTTTTCCTACTTTTAATTTAGGTGAAAATTACGAGTGAAAATTGGCAGATCTAAGGTATAATTTACCACGTCGGAAGGTCGATTAAAAAGAACAGGAAAAAGTCATCAACTTTGTCTAAAATTTATGACAGCCTAACAACTCTTTGTGTCGCACTCGCCTTTTTTCCATTAAGATCAATGACAACTTTTGCATTTTTTACAATCAATAATTAAAAAGTTTAAGCGATTTCTCATCAATTCGTGGGAATTGAGGTCTGGTTGCAATTGATTGTAATCAAATCCGATTTGGTTTTCTGACCAGTGACAGACATACCCTTTGGACATGGTAACAAATTGAAAACCGTAGAACACAGATAAAGACTTGCTTTCCAAACCACATCATTATGACAGAGACGAACTAAATGCCACGATAATGCTGACAGCTTTAGAGGAAAGTATCTATCTAGAGGCGTTGCTAACACTCCGCGAATTTATCTTCAAAGGCCGACCATCGATCGCAAAGTATATTGCACACCTAGCCTTCTATTAGAATCCCTGCTACTTCAAGATTTCATCGGAAAAATATTTAGTCACGTCCAGTACAAGGAATCAGTTCTTTTGCATAACTCTTCGCGTTTCTCACAAAGTCGAAGCTTATGTCAATCGACAATTGGCAATTCAGAAGATTTTAGAAATCTCGGCGGTCTTAATTAAGGCCCTGTGAGGACCAACAAGGTATCGATTGACTCACAGCAAAAATCAGGCCTTTTTACTCGTTTTAGCTAGTCAGGAATCAATGAAAGGTAAGTAGCGACAGAAATATTTCATAACGTAACGATTATTACACACTGAATTTTGATTTTTGTAAATTATATCAACATCACTAGAAGCTCCTTTGAACTCTAAAGTATACGCGGGCAGGTGCGCAGTTTACTACGAAATCTACATTCCTTTCTTTGACTCCCGCTCATTTAATTAGCATAACACTATGGATACTTTCGTCCTGCATGTTCAAAAACATTACAGGAGAACTTGAAACATGCTTTGTCTTTATTTTATTTAGCTTTATCTTTAAGAAATTCATTTTCGCCGCGTTTCTACTGTGTATTGCTCTTTATAAAGTGGACAGTTTGTAAGTCTTGAATTTCTTGTTTCACCCTTTTTTGACTTTTTTGTTTTAGCTGTAAATTCACTCGCAAAACCGGCTTCTTCATCTAAATACCGACTGATTTTAATCAGTGATTAACCGCAATAAGTTGTTACTGAGTACTGAGCGAAAATAGCAAAATGAGTTTCCTAGATCGGCACCCTTAAATTCTAGTTAATGAACCAATTTATAACGACCTTCGAGTAGAGACTTTCATGGCCGCAAGAGACGTTGCGCTAGAGAATGTGGTCGGTTACGTGAGTTGGTCACTAACGAAAAAATACGAATGTAATCACTTGAATGTTAAAGTAAAATTTGTAATTAAGAATAATTAAGAAAGAAAATGCCAAAATGTATCGTGAAGCATTAGTAATCCCTCTGAGCAAAATGAACGATTCTGATCTATGGCTCATTAGCAGCTCAACACTTGAAACTTTCACTCGACCTTGAACATTTATTCAACAATACACAAATGGGAAACCAAATTCATTCATTGAATGGTAGAATAAGTTCGCCAACCAGCCCATCTTGTACAAGATTGTCAAAAGACGGAAAATATTAAGATTCCATGGAAATCATAAATTTTAGAATAGCGACAATTAGATGAAACTAAAGAACAAAACATTGGAAGAATATCAACAACCTACACTGTGAAAATAATCCACGTTATTTTAATAATGTGTTTAAAAAACACCTAAGTGTGTCAGAGAAGAATGAGAACGAACCTATACCATCCGATTGGTACGACACCCAGTGAAAATTTATTATAAGAGAGGATCGAAAAAAAGTTCAAAATGAATTTGTCATATCAAATTAAGCGAAACTGTGATAGTTCGTAGTGATTGAAAGAAGCAGATATAACAAGGCCAAGAACGCGTGGAAGTAGCGTTCTGCTTACAATTTTTTCTTTAATTTTTAACAATTAAACTTAAAGATTTCCTAGACTGCAAAACAGACGGTCTTTTTCTCAAAATCAGTAAAGGAATCGGTTAAGCGTAGCGTAAGAGTCTTAAGCGCCAAGCGCGCGAGCCTCACACGCCCGTAAGGCCTGTGAGGCGAGCTCTCTGTTTTCAGCTTCGTTCCAGACCTTTCGTTTGACTGCTCGCGCGTCCTTGAATACGCGGAATGAAAATGCGGACTGTTTTGCCGTCTAAAGATTTCCTTGAGTTCGAAGTACCCGTGGTCCACCAAACTTTGCCTTTTAATTTGCCTAAAATCATCATTGCCCAACTTTTTATGAACTTATAACTGGTCTTGATAACCGAAATGATTCCGTCCGGCAACTTGCCGGCCTTTTTGCATAAAAACCCAGTATTTGCTAATAAAGCCACTAAAGGGGATGGATTATCGTCATTTTTGCGATAGTTTAACACCTGACGATATTTATGAACGCGAGCTGTTCACATCTGTTCAAGCGCTGATTTTGTCAGTTAAGGTTTTACCCCTCATTTAAACAAGGCCCGTTTTAAGTCTAAAAGTTATTTTCTGAGTTGGCTTTTCAGAAAAAACTGCTAGAGGCTTCGTTAGACTTCATGAAAAACGTACCTAAGTCTTACTAGCCCATTTTTCTTTTACGTTTGTTATTTGAATTGTTTGCAAAGCGGCTTTCCCGAAAATTCCCTGAGCAAGGGTCAACGTGCGGCAACAATTGAAAAATATATATTAATTCACTTGATCTTGCAGAAACTTAACATGAATTCCTTCTCATGGGGAAGTTTGGTGCTCGTTGGAGTCCTCTTATTAACAATACAGGGTAAGATTTGCTGAGATACCATTATTTATCCCGTACCATAAAGAATAGAGCCAATCAGAAAGCAACAAACGGTGAGAAAGTTAGTTGAGACGCTTTGCCCTATAGGAGGGTCTCAAAGCGGTTAACCGTCAGCCGTCAAACGGCCTAAAGATTAAACGTCAACCGTCAAATATGCAGATCAGAAGATAACCGTCAAAAAGTTTCATGGTACTTCAAATCTCACTGTTTCATTTAATATGTACTTTAACGTTTGGGCAACATTTCCACTAAATAACCGTCAACGGTTAAAAGCTCTAAAATGTAACCATCAACCGTCAAAATTGGAGAAAATTTATGGTAAAGCGTCAAAGCTACCACCCCACTGAGACCCAAACTCGTTCCCAGGTTTCTCTCCCACCCGTCCCTACGGAGCGAGAGAGAACCTAGGAACGAGGTTGATTGAGACCCTCCTAAAGGGTCTTTCTGACCTTTTGCCCACTTAAAAAGGAAAAAAAAATTGAAGCTTGCCCTCCCCACCCCCTCCATGCAATGTTGTGCCGCTGTTCAAGTTACCCGTAGGAAACAACAAACACCTTAACTTTGAATGGAGGGGAGAGGGGAGGGATGTAGACTGTTTTGTTCTCCGAAGTTACCCCTTTTGATGACATTTAGATGTCTCAACAATTTTGTCGCCGATTGAAAAACCCGTTGCACATTCTGCGATATACAAGGAGTCGTATTCCACGACCAATTATGTGAAGGAAGGCACTAATTCGAGCATTCACCTATAAAAACAGCGCACTCATATCAAGGCTGGCTTTAACTAACGACGGAGTCAGAGTCGGATCGGAGCCGTAAGCGGAGTCGTAAGAGAGCTTATGACCTAGTGAAAATTAAGAATCGGAGTCATAAGTGCAACAGGATCGGAGGCGGAATAATCAGAACGTTTCCATTTTCTTCCGACTCCGCTTATGACTCCGTCGTTTTCGATCTAGTGAAAACCAGATTGTCAGAGTCGGAAGCAGAAGCGGAAGGATAAACCAATCGCAATGCACGTGCCCACGCTTTTTGATTGGTTCAGTTCTTCCGCTCCTGCTTACGACTCCGATCGACAACCTAGTTTTCTCCAAGAGCCATAATGGTTAGTGAAAACCAGCCTTAAGGAATTAACGACCATATTAATTTATGTGGCAGTTGGAGGGACGTTTGGAAATAGAACCATTACACCTGAAGAGCGACTGATAGATGATTTGCTTGAAAACTACACAAAAGAAGCCAGGCCCGTAAAGAACCCAAAGCACAAAATTAATGTTACTTTTGGATTTGAACTAGTGCAGTTGGTACACGTGGTAAGTGAATAAAAACAAATCTGCGACTTCACTCTTTGCGACCTTCTCCCCTCCACCCCGCCTCCCCCCATTCCTCATTTACACCGGACAGGTAGGCTTAGTTTCTGTTACATTTTCAACTTAAGGGTCTTACTTGTACCACTTTTCTTTTACCTAAAACTCAAAGCCGGTCTTAGTTCTTCTTGTAGACTATAGTAAACGTTTTACGGTCCGTCTCAATCATCATTTAAAAGTGTCAAACTACACATTTCTAAGCGAACGAAGAACTCAGTTTATAAAACAAGGACAGTTTAAAAAAATCGGTACAGATTACCTTTTCGCCTCCTCCGTCAGTATATTATGGTGGCCCAAAAGTGTCACGGCAATCTCAATTTGTTCACGGCAATTTCAATTTACTCACAGCAATTTAAATTTGTTCACGGCAATTTCAATTTACTCACGGCAATTTCAATTTCTCGAGCAATAAGCCCCAATTACATTGTAGGTTATATCCCATAAGACAGCACAAGAGACTCTCGATTAAACTTAGAAAGCTCCAACAAGCTAAGTCTAGCAGAAAAAACACTGCCCGTAATAATGTAAACTTAGCACAGTCTTCCACTAGCGCGCACTAGGCGCCAAGAATTAACAATGTACATTACAATGATGTACATAGGCTAGCAGACACTCCAAGAGCCAAGATCAACGAACTTGACGAAGTTTTGAATGTAATCAAAACCGCTCTTGAGAATAAAAAATGTGAGTCTTATCCCCGTCTGAGTCTTAAGAAATAAGGGGAGAAGCTTAAAAGATAATTCAAAAAGCGAAAAACGTTTTTCAACCGAAAGAGGAAAGAACGCAATAGAAACAAAGGGGAAATGCGCTACAACAACACATGGGAGTTGCTCGCTCCGGGTTATGGGCTCCTGAAATAACCTATACAGTGCACTTATTGCTCGAGAAATTGAAATTGCTGTGAGTAAATTGAAATTGCCGAGAATAAATCGAAATTGCCGTGAGTAAACTTGAAATTGCCACGAGTGAAATTGAAATTGCCCTGAGTAAAATTGAAATTGCCCGAGACACTTTTGGGCCACCGTAGTGTATAACCTTCAGCAATTCGTAACTAGATTTTAGTATCATCATCCGAGCTGGTGTAGACCATAATATGAGTGCTAACGTGGAAGTTTCTGACAACTTGTGCGGAAGTAGCCTCGTTCCTGGGCCCCATAGAAACGATGTTGGAGTGGAACCAGTTGACGGTATCTTAAACTGTTACTTTCAGTTAGTTATTGAATGAATAGGTCAATTAATTCAAGATGTTATTGGTAATCTCACTGTTAGGTGAACCGTGATATTTGAAGGTACACAATTGTCAAACGCTTTTGTTATAATTTGATTCAAATTTTCATTTTGATTCCAGAATGACCGGAACCAAAGGATCACAACAAACGTTTGGGTTCGGCAGGTAATGATTAGTTATCTACATCTCTTTAACCGTCTGAGAAGCAGACAACAGTCTGAAATAGCCTGCGTGGCAGGCGTTAAAAGGGGAAGGAGAAGGGGAATTTGGGCGTGTGAGAGCGCGTGGTCTCGCGTCCTAATTCCCTTCCCCTTCCCTTTCGAACGCCTGCCACGCAGGCTAGTCTGAAACGACATGGTGCGTTGTAAATTCCGTGATCTCAAAACAAAACCTATAATCTTTTGATAGATTTGGAATAATGAGCTATTGAAATGGAACCCACGTGATTACAATGGTATAGAGGCCGTTAGACTTGACGCCTCCCGTATTTGGATCCCAGATATTGTGCTGTACAACAGGTGAGTGATGACGGCTGGAGATGCTTGTTGCTTGCAGTTTCAGCCAACTGCAAGACCCTCTTTAACTCCTGACTAAGTAACTCTCAAAAGAGTCAGTCAAATAGCTCCTGCCAGATGAAAGTTTCTAGGCAAATACTGGAAAGCAGTGCCCCCCCCCCCTCCACCCCTCCGGCCGCGAACGTTTGGACATTTCAAGAGCAGAACTATGTTACATGTTCCCACCTGCCCTCGTTGATGATATCCTCCACAATTGAGAAGACGAGGTTCGTGACAATCAATTTAAGAACAACAGGCACAATGGCAAGACTTCGGCTTGTCCCATGCGAGCCTCACTCGCAGACGTTCCTTTGGTTTGTCACGAAATTAATCCTCCCCAAGGAACGTTCGTGGAGAAGGACCGCGAGACGAAGCCATATGAACGTTTGCGTGGGAATTTAGTCCCATGTACCCCCCACCCCTCCCCCATGACAAAGTTGTGGTAAACTTGGGCATTTTCTAACAAATCTCCAAGCCCTGGTTCCTGAAAAGCCGATTAATCTATCCTCCGATTAGCAATTAATCCACAATTTTTAAACTTCTTATTCCCCGGATAACTAATCGTGGGTTAAAAAGTTGTTCCTGATAGCGAAATTATCCCGCAATTAACTTATCCCAGATTAGTGCTTAAAAAACCGGTTTAACGAGTTTATCGACCACCTGCTTCTAAAAAAGATGGCGCGAAAATTTGCGACAGCGCATGGTTTCTTCTCGTCTGCCTTTTGAAATCGTGTCTTAGGATTTCTACTAGATATTTTATTGACTCTCGGTCAAACCTATATCTGCCGCGAAGTTCTTTGTCTGTTAGTTGGTCGAGGTCAATTTCTCGACGTTGGAACTTTCTTTCTCGTATTTGTGAAACAGTAAGTCGGCCATTTTGTTTGTTTTGACAAACTTTTTCCCCCGATTAGTGAGTTAATCGTCTTCGCTAGGTGGGTTAAATTTAACACGTAGTTTATTCCTAGATTAGTCTTAATCGTGCTTTCCGAGGAACAGAATCTAATCTTGAAATAAAATTTATTCCGCGATTAGCGATATTTAATCCTGGATTAGCGATAACCGGCTTTCCAGGAACCGGTGCCAGAACATTACACGTCTTCACCCCTTTAATGAAATGGAAAGATGCTTTTGCAAGTTTCTCAAAATTTTATCAGAGAATGAAATTCTTTCAGTACCGAGTCTGGAATCGTCAAGGTCAGTGTTCCTTCTTTGTTATTTTCAGTGCTGACAGTGAGTTCAGCGGTGGGACGGAAAAATACAAGACGCCTGTAATTCTAACCTGGACGGGAAAGTGCAGTTGGTATTGTCCTGTATCCTTCACCAGCACTTGTCCTATAAATGTGCAGTATTTCCCTTTCGACCAACAGAAGTGCGTATTGAAGTTTGGTTCCTGGACTTATGAGGTGAAGAAACGTAAAAGTGCAGCTGAGTACAAGTTTACTTTTATAGACCAAATAAGGGAATCGATCTAGCCAATCACAACACGGGTACCAAAAACCAATAAACCAATCAGAATTTAGACCGAAGGCGGGAAAACGCGTGAAGTATACAAGCAGAAGCATATAACCCTTGATACAAGTCAAAACTGATTTTGATTGGTTGATAAGAAAAAAAGAATAAACACCAGTTCTAACAGCGAGCAGGTTCATTTATAGCATGTGCGTAAAGTCGTCGCATTTTCCAGTTTATTCATTTGCTCATTAAACAGGTATTTTACAGAAAAAGTCGTTGGATACTCCCAAGATAAGAAACTTCCGTGAACGCCGGTCTGCTTTGCGAGAAGAGGCGAACAGATAATAGCAGAGTACCCAAAAACAATTACAATTTTGAATATCCCTTAAATTTGGCTTACTTATTTTAGTGGCAAAATACAACGTACGTTTCATTAAAAATTAGCAAAGTGATATACGATCCTGTCGATGTAAGAATTTCAGTCACAAACAAATGTCAGGTCTGATTGGGGGGGGGGGAGCGGATCCCTGGACCCTCCCTCTTGGATCCGCCACTCAGGGTGACGCATTTTGTTTCTCTTTCACACCATGAACTGGTGCAAGAATAAGCATGTTATTGTTAAAAGGTATGAACGTTCTGCCTCCCCCAACTGGGTTTTCTTTCCATCCCTGCCATTCGGCATAGCGCCGGCCATTAAAATGGCCGCTGCGGAGACATTTGGCTTTACAGTGAAAATAATTAAAACCGTAAATCTATTTTTTATCCAGGTAACAGAGCTAGATATGAAAGCAGAAAACCGCTCCTCGAAATCACAGTATGTAGAAAGTGCCGAGTGGGAACTGGAAGATGTGACGAAACAAAGAAATGAGCGGAAATACGCGTGCTGCAAGCAGCCACTTGCCGATATCAGCATCACTATTTTGATCGACAGAAAACCTCTTTTTTATCTCTTTAATCTTGTCATTCCGTGTTTTATAATCTTGTCTATGGTTCTGCTGGGATTTTTCCTGCCACCTGCATCTGGGGAAAGGATCACGCTGAGCATCACAGTGCTTCTGGCCATGGCTGTGTTCCTGCAGCTTGTAGGGGAGAGCTTACCTCGTAACTCAGAGACGGTGCCACTCTTGGGTAAGTTCTACATCACCATCATGGCAGAGATATCCATCTCACTGATGCTGACTTGCTGGGTCCTGAACATTCACTATCACGGGTCTGGAAGCTCGGCAAAAGAGGTTCCTCTCTGGGCCCGAATCATTGTCCTGCAGTGGCTTGGATATTTGCTGTGCGTTGGGAAGCCCGATGGAAGCTCCCCGGACGTCCCCAACCCTGACCTCAGATACCACCAGGACGACAGGCGCAGAGGTGGAGCATTTGCGATGGACTGGGAGACGTCTTTTTCTCCAGCCGCTAACTGTCACTGCACGCGGTGCATGAACGCTAGAGGAGCTCACTACAGCGGCGACAGAAGCCCAGATGAATCAAGATTGCTAGAAGTAAGGTACACAGGAGAAACCTCGCCTGTTGACATGCCTGAAAAACGCTCACGAGAGAGACCCAAGGAGAGGCTGTCTGAGGAAATAAGTGTTCTTGCAAACAGCATTCGAGAGCGCGAGAAAGTGGAGAAAAATCAGGAAGACTGGAAATATTTCGCAATGGTTATGGACAGAGTTTTCTTCTGGATCTACTCTATGACTATCGTGATGTCGACTTTGACCATATTTTTTACTCGAGGTGAAGAGTAAACACGAATGTGAGCAGATTTGGTTTACTGACAAAAGAGCAACACTCCCGTATGGATGTAAATCAAAGTGACGCGAGCAAGACAACTTTGAGAAGCTGAAATTCCAATTCGCAGAACATGAAACTGATTCAAGATCGATCAAGACTAACGTCTTTAATTCAACAAAACGCTGACTTTAAAAGACCAAGATGGATATAATTATATGAATAATGTCTCGTAGCAGGTCAATCATTTAAAAAAAATGTATAGAATCTGTCTAGAAATGTATTTAAAAGTTGACTGGTTTTTAGAGCCGGGGTGATCAGCATCTAATTTCTCCTGATAAAAATTCCTGTTGATTTACATGACAATGATCCCACAAAAAATCTTCGGTTTGTAATCAAATTCAGTCATTCTGAGACCAGGAGAAAGATACTCAAGTATCTATCATGGGCATTTAGGGTTAGGGCCGAGGGGACTGCGGTCCCCTTTCCCTTCTTAGCTCTTCTTGTCTGTGATATTTTCTATTATTTTTAAAGAATTCTCAGTAAAATAAATAGTATCTATATAGCTGGCAAGTATTCCGGCCACTCCTTTCTGAATTTTCTAGATCCGCCCCCGGCAGTGCTGATATACATGCTGATGCCTGTTAGGACTACTACGACTGAGGATTAACGAGCTACTTTTTAAATTAAATTCAGATACATATAATACATATAAAACATATGAAACAGAGAAACTTGTATTGATGAATATAGTTTCATTCATCCTAATTTTGGCTCAGATAGTGCAATCAACACCAATCAGCGCGCAGACGAAGATAATAATTCACGGTTTGATCATATCGAAGACAGTACGTAGCCTAGTGCGTACTTTTTCGAGATTAAGCTCGTGTTCAAACTAGCTTGAGCTATACGCTATTGTAAAGAAATCTAGTTAGAGTTGAGCCTACGATCAGTTGAAAACGAGAAACCTGTCAGCGGCAAACTTAAAATGACACGTCATCTCAATGAGTTGACACTTGAGCCCGCGATACAGTCATGTGATACTGATCACCGGATTCCCTGTTTTGACAGCTATCGATATTGACAACATGAACGTGCAATATCACGGTTGCAGGCTCCCACAATAGCTAAAAAGAGTAACATTTTACATTGGTTTCCCAATGGTACGGACGGACGTACAGTCTCGCGACTACCAAAATTTCTTGGACGTATAGGTAACCAAATTTTCTTAGCTATGGGGCTCCGCTCGCGGGAGCGTGGAGCTCCGCTAATAGTAAGGTTGGCCATTAGCTAGAGGTTAGCTTGTAAGGGTTTATAATACATTCTTATCTAAGTATGGTTTAAATATGAGATGAAAAAGCTAATGCTAAAAATTAAGTTTAAAATCTAAAATTTAAGATTTTATAATTTACCCGAAAATTCAGTAATTTAAATTTAACAAATTTAAGAATTAAATAATCTCTTGGCTACCGACATTTATTTTCCATAAATGCCTTGTGCGTGTTTATTTAATTCAGACGTTTTGCAGGTGATCCGCGGCATTTGTTATTAGAAAGTCTTGTGTTAAGGTGGCTCGTCTGGATTTTTTTGGGGGATAACTCCCAAGTTTGAGCATCAACTACGTCGCCATGAGTAAAGATATGGGAAAAAGATTACTATAACTGTATTATATGAAGATGAAAGTTTCTTATGACCTGTGTTTTATTGCAATCGGCGTCTCCATGGCAACGTAATAACGCCATTACGTTTTTTAGTTATCTTGTGTTTCTCTCTACCAGGAGTTTCTTTAAGAAATCGCTTAAGGGAGTATGTACCTACCATAATTACCTCAATTATGGCAAATTGTGAACAAATTCTATGAGAGCGGTCTCGAAATATTTTGAAACGAAGTTATAACAATCATAAAAATGGTGAAATAGCATGCTATCCACACAATTAGCTAATATTTTAAGAAAATGATAAGCTTTGGAAACGCGGCTTCATCTCATACTGGTTTGATGCCATTGAAAATTGCGTACAAAAAAAGAGGGGAATTGCTCTGAGCGATCGCGAGTAAGAAGAATTTTATTAACTTGCATTCAGCTGCTTTTGTTACAGTTTTTAGACGTAATCAGGACCTACAAATTTCGCATTTTCCAAAAAGCTGTCATGATTATCATAATTCATAATTGACATTTATAATTTCTCCTCATTCCTCATGAGGAAATTGGTGAAATTTAATTTTTTCTAAACTGAACTTCAGCCTGAGCTATGTTCAAAGGAATTTTTTTCTTCTCAGCCGCAACGTTGTTATAAAAAAAAGGTGTAGTGAGTTAAGGATACGAACGGTTGCTATATAATCAGGAAGAAAATGTAGCGTCAATAATATGCTCAAAAGGTGAATGCCTATTAATTTTAGAAATAAACCCAGCAATCTGATGATTGTTTTCCTTGATATAAATACGCCCTTCACATCAGCATTTTCTTTTAAGTTACTCACAGACATTTTCAAACCTGTTTTGGGAATGAAGTCTGGTCTGAAGCACTGTAAGCCACACGAAGGAAAGGAAAAAGTTGAAACTTCGATCGGATTGCATTGAAGAAGACAAGCTAGACTCATTAGAGGACCACAATTCTATCAGTTATCGCATTTTACTGCTATGGATAACCTTCTCTAAACATGTTAAGTCGTTATCTTATCGTATGAATAAGAAGTTGCGCGAAACTCTGTGGAGAAAAAACTCTCCGGCGGAAAGTGGTCAAAGCAGGAATTGAACCTGGTCTCATGGTCTCCTCTCTACTAGCCGTCGGCATTTCTAAAAAATATCAACAAGAATAATTTTAATAGTGCCGAGTTTAGCGGCTTGTATTTAGGTGAAGTCAAACTCAAGCGATGTCTACACTCTACCAGATAGCTCTAGTCCCGTCAAGATAACCATATCGGCGGATAGGGTTTAATCTCGGAGCGGTTTCTGAAACCGAGCGAAGATGCACTGCGCCGACCCTGAAAGTGGAAAAACTCTTCGTACCATCGTGATGTGTTCATACCAGGTTAGGGTGTTTTTTTTATATCGATATGATAAGCAATCCAGCATAGTGTAGCCTCAACATTCGCTCTTTTCTTGGCAGGTGCTACTTGACCAATCAGCAAGCTCTCGACCAGCGCAACTGCAAACTAACGCGCCTGTGCAAAGTTAGAATTTGTTTGTTTGTGCTTTCATAAAGGACACTCACTGATTTGAATTCGTTCCGTTACAAAATCGCTCCAAAATCACAGTTTTAAAGCGTAAACAGAAGCCCTGTCTGATATGGTTTTCGTGCCGGCGTAAAAGCTATCCGGTAGATTGTGAATATAGACTGAGACTACATCTGGTGCTAAGAAATAAAGACATTAGCCTGCGAGCGAGCTCTCCTATTAGGGTAAGCGAAGTGAGCCTCGCGAGAACGCGCGAGCGAGGCCCCTCGCGGCTTCGCCGCTCGCTCGCGCGTTCTCGCGAGACTCGCTTCACTCGCCCAAATAGGAGAACTTGCTCGCAAGCCATAAAGACATAAGATTTTAAAGGCGGATGTTGCACCGGACGATTCGCAACGACGATTTTCAGCGAAACACAACATTACAACATCGTTGCGACATTGTTTCGAATGGTTGCAGCATTGTTCCAACATTGCTACGCTGTGTTGCGCTCAAAATCGTCGTTGCGAATCGTCTCGTGTAACATTAACTTATCTCTTTCTCAGTACAAGGCAAAGCCTTCACTTAAAGAATTTTGCCATGGTCTTTTTGGTAAAATGCTGACTCCTCTGTAAGATATATTCGTGTCAACGTTATTTCCATTTTTTTTTCTTTATTAGGAGCACCTGTCTCGTGTCCTTGTATACAAGGGATACCGAGAATAATAGCGGGACGAATCAACAAATAATTATTAAACCTCATTTCATTTTCGTACAATACAATAAATAATTAACTTTGAGGTTGCATAACGTATATATGCGTTCGAAAAGGGGTAGTGTAGTTTGATGTTTACTGAAGCTGCCAATTTTAACTAAAAAGATTCTGATTTAAGTACTGCGTATCGATTTGGAAAACTAGTCTTATCAGGCAATAAACACCACAAACTCCTACGGCTTAAGTCAAAACAATTCGGTCACAGGCGGAGCACCTGGGGAATTTTTAATTTTTTTCCAAGAGCCAGAAAGTAATTTGCCACATTCTGTTTTATTCTTTAACAATGTCGAGTCCCTAAAGAGAAAGCGGTATTAAATTCAAATGGGAGTCATCAAATTTACATTTATTCAATGAAATTTTCCTCCATGTTGTAACTCAGTCGAAGTGGCCGAGAGGTTTAGAATTATTGCCGCCAAAATGGGTAATTCTAGACCGCAAATTTCACCACTTATTAATATCAGCTGGAGGACATAAATTTTCTTGGAATATATTTTCACCGCAGGTAGGTTTTAGTTGGTGAAATGTTATAACGCGAAAAACTATTTAGATATTTTTCTGACCTTCGCTTTTTTTCTTTGGTTGCATAAACTCTGACTTCTTTTTAATTGCTCAAACAAAACCACAACAAAAAAGAATACAAACCGAGAGAGATTTAAAAGGCCGTCAAAAGAAAACTGTTGAAGTTCCGGCTGGTGAATTCATCACAAAATACAACTGATAGGTAAGCCATTTTTCCGTTCTTTTCGGCTCAGTTTTGTGAAAATCATCAAAAGGCTGGCTTAAGTCAGTATTTCGACGCTTTTATTTCCAATTATTTAGTAGACTGAAAGTTGGATAATAACCTTAAAATTAACACATATCCTTTCGCTCACGTCATGCACTTCGGTATATATGCATAGCGGTCAGAACTTAACGGAATAAGCGCCATTATTTATCAACCTGTCATCTGCGAAAACGCACACAAGTTTTAACAAGCACAATATCCCGGGAAAACTTAAATTGATTCAACTGAAATTCGTTGTAAATTGTGACAGTTTTTTTTCTTTCTTATTGTTAATATTCATCCGCCTCTTCCACGTCTCATATGCATAGTATACTCCGCCCACCCCCCTGCCTTCTCAATGTTGCGTTAAAGAAGGATTGTTTTTGAACAGGGATTTTCTATTTTGGGGGTTGATCGTAAAGGACCAAGGAAAAAATGAAAGCCATGCTTAATGGACAATATGGAGGTGGCGAGTCTATAAATGCTTTCTTTCCCAAATCACTTATTAACTGCCAGACTGAATCATAACATAGTGATTAATTCTAATAGTTCATAATTGCCGATTACTGTCTACTTGTCTAGTGCTGTTTCCTCTCAATAACAAAGTTTCATTAATGGGGGAACTATGGATATAAAGTGGTCCAGACCTGAAAATTAATGTAAAAAATCGTTATGTGTCTAAGAATCTTAGGTTCGATTTTTACAAAATCTTGCTGTTACACTACATTTAGTGGCGATTCCGATCGACGAACTGTATAATGCTGCAAAAATAACTCCAGAAATGACGATAAATCAATAATATAAGGGGATACCGTGATGAATAGAGTCAACCAAGTTATGAATTATTACCGTCGATGTTAGTGCACTAGTAATTGACTTAATAGTGCATGGCAAATCAAATGTTAATGATTTTCTTTCAAAATGTCTCAACATCACTTAGACTGCCACAAAGGTCCAGAGTTGTTAAACACCTCAGCAAATAAAGTCCATTCCATTTTCAGCTCTAACTTTTGATCTCCAAATAACGAATCAGACGTTTACACGGAAGAACCAGCCTGAAGAACTCTTCGAGGGCTGAAAAGGAATAAAGGCATAAGAGAAATGACGATAAATCAATAATATAAGGGGATACCGTGATGGATAGAGTTAACCTAGTTATAAATTATTACCGTCAAAGGAATAAAGGCATAAGAGGCTATATTCACATTTTGTCCATCGAATAACAGAATGAGGCCCTATTTTTCCCTGTGTCCAAAATAGGCAAGTTTTATAAACGAAAGTATGATTTATTTTTTATGGGACTGGAATCATAGCACACAAAAATCTTCTAGTGGGAATTTCAACATCCCGTCCTTTCATTCTCCGAAGCTCCGCCTGAGGAAGAAAGTAGATTCGCTAGATACAGAGAGACCATGAAGAAATTACATTTACTGATCTTGTCTTCAGTCTCTTAGAACTCTTTAGTTTTATGAAAATCATAAAAAAAAAATCAAAGTCAAATAAGTATGCTTCCGGTATATTGACATGATAAGAGAATCCAGCGAGATAAGCTTTGTTTTGTAGGCTTTCTTCATTTCTCTGTTAATGTTTATAGTCACAGGGGCCTACTTATGACAATCTACCATTTTGATTACAAGTTTCTGTAAGTTAAAGCAAAACCAAAGATTAACCCTCTTTTGACTACGGAGGCAAATGTTTAGCGCTCCTGATAACTCTATTTGTGCAGGTATGTTTTGAGAATAATTCTTTCTATAGCTATCTGATGTCGCATAACGTACTCGTTTCTACAATATAAAAGTGCTTCATATTTTAAATGAAGATATGATCGTCGTAGTGGTAATTACAATTTAAGCAATTGCAAATTAAACAGAAAAAAAAAACTCTTTCGGGACTTCAACAACAGTCAAACCCATGGCCTCTGCGTTAGCGCTTTACATGCTCTAACCAAGTGAGCTATGAAGACCCATACATTAGGAACAGGCCAATTTGTTGAGTTCATAAAAAAAGGCATCATGTTGAGAAAGCTACTTGTAAAGCTTTGTAGTTCGCTAAAAATGAAAATGTCAAGAATTCAGTTCTCAAAATGTCGAGGGCCCTATGTTTTTATACTGAGCAAAAATCATCGACCTACTCAGTCTATATCCTTTCCTGGCAAGAGTCATATAACTTGTAGATTCATTTTAAAGTAAACTTCCAAAGGCAGGCACTCGTTTAGGGTTGACGGCCACGGCTGAAATCTTTGTTTGTGAAGTTTTTCCCGAAGAGTCCTCTCAATACTAAAATCAGTTTGCATAATTTACTGAGCAATCTCAAGTTGAGTTACATCCGAACTAGCCTGGTAAAGACAATTAACCTTCGATCAGGCGGGCCTTCTTCCCTATAGCCATAACTTCCCAGCAATATACACTAAGGTATGCGGATCATTTCATTTCGTTAGCAATTTTCTTGAGATTGTTTTACTGATAACAATCTCGCTTGAGAGGTATGGAGGCCGATCGAAAGAGTTCTTTGATTCAGCGTTCACGGGAGCAGGGTATGTTTTATACGCCAGTGTACACGGACCCTTAGAATACGTGAAAATGTACCCTGTCAATGGCTTATGATCCCTGGATTGTCTTTTCCTCTAAAGAAAACAGTTGAAAATATAAAAGCAATGAATACAAAACATATAATTACTGAGATAACTCTCAGTAGCTTCAGTAGCTTTCAATGAAACATACCGTCTGGATCTGTGGACACACTGCCAGTTGCATTCGAGTTGACCAGATCGGTGGAGTTAGGTTTGATAAATCAGGTTTGTGAATAATATGTTATATCTGTGTATATATATATTGATGCTGGCTTTGAAAAGATTAATTTAATTTGTAAAGGAAAACAACCATTACTGCCGAAAAGGGCACGTTCTCACGTTATCGCTGCCAACACTTGCGTCGCCCTAGGCCCTCGGACAGCGAGATTGACAGACTTGCTGCTAATATTATTCCAATTTCGTGGAAACGTGGCCTGCGCCGTTTAATGTCCATTAATCTATACAATACATTGTTTCCATAATAGGGTAGAGAGCCATTGCGTGTTTGATGAATATTCAGTTATTGGTGGTTTCGATTGCACACATCGCGTGCCCAGCATGTAGTATAAATCTCATACCTAACTCATTTCTCCGCATTCCCTCATTTTTCAGACTGCAATACTTTCAAAAATACCGGGTCAGTTGTCACCAAATGACTGAAGAAATTGTGTTCTTCCGACTCAAAACATTCTGACAATGAAAATCTACGCATTTGCTAACATCCTGGTTATTTGGATGGTAAATAGACATTGTACAAAAGGTACGTAACCACAGCATGCTTTTCAATGCGTTTTTAATGTTTTCTTTCAGTTAAAGTTAAAAGTCTCCCGTACGTGTCTTTGTGCGATACGCAATTTATGACATAATTACGCCAACGGGATGAAATCCAAGGTGAAACCTGCTTAAAAATCAGTGGTGTTCATATCAAACATAATTTAGGAATTATATAATAAAAGAGGACCTTAAGTTAAATCAGTTAATTGTTCTCCTGGAAATGCAAAAGTATATTTTTTAAAACTGATACTTAACACTGCATGAAAATTCTACTGTGTCCTGACACGGGGCTAACCAACACTGAGCGATGCAGAGGCAGAGAAAAGACAGTCCAGTAAACTTGACTAGTTAGATGACTTTGATCGTGACAGTTTATGTTGTAATGTCATTAACAGGCTGATAAGGCATCGTTTTTATCGTATAATATAAAAAGAGCTTAATATACCATTCTTTCCCGTTGCGCGTAATCGGTTGTCGGATGTTTACATAATAGCTTTACCTCCGATCGATCTTCAGCTGTTTGTTTTTATAACCCTCCTTAACGAGTGGAGGTACTAACTAAAAATATCAAGAGCTCATTCTAAGTTGTTGTTTCCTTTGACGTAAGTGAAAGGCTGAACTAAAAAGCCCAGCTTGAATTAATGCAGTTGGATATTTCATGGTGCGGGTTTTTTGACCAAATAATTCTCTGTATAATACACAACTAATTACACAAAAAGCCCTCTAGTTTTAAACTTTAAGCCAGGGGAGAAAAACATTCAGTAGATGAAGGAAAAAGCTCGTCATGACCTCTTTAAAATAACTAACATCCTAAGCTGATTGTTAAACAGACTGATACATGCTGAAAGATGTTCTCAAAGTAATTCTGGGCTAAATGTTTGTAATTTTTTATTGAACAGAAATTTAAGTAGTCATTAAAATTGTTTTTGTAACCAACTGTTATTCATGACCTCTCAGCGGGTGACGTGGTTCTTCGACAATGCTTTTCCATTCTTTAACACCTGCATTCAACGCTAAAAAGCCTTCGCAGTGTGCGAATTTCAAGCAGAAAAAAATAGCGTGCACCCACAAGGGAACCATTGAATAACTTTAAAAATGTTAACAAGAAATTTTAGAAAGCCTAGTACATCACCGAGGGGGTTTAATGACTAACTGACAGTTGTTGATGAAGAACGATAGGTCTTTAATCTTCTCATGAGTTCTTTGTTGTGAAAAATGCGCTTTTCTAATTATTTCTCAGTAGGAGATCATAAGACACTGATAAGACGATTTTATCCCCGGGAGGAGGGTACTCCCTACAATGACCTATACGCCGGAGCCTGGGACTGGTAATGTCGTCCCAGAATCGCGTTTACCATTTGCTCAAATCAGTTCCTTTCACTGAAAAACGGCCACGAATGCCCAAAATTTAAACTGGTATCAAAGATGGGTTCTAACAAATGGACCACGACTTTCAGTTTAGAATATTCCGTCCGGAAAAACAGGACTACCATTTCAGATGTTTCGTTGCTCTCAAAAATTTTCCCCGCAACGACACGAAAAGCCGTGTTCCATTCAGTTTTCAACCGGATTTTTCGGAATTTTTTGTAAATGGTAAACAAGTGAACCTAAATTTCTCTAATAACTGAACATTAAAATTGTGATTATCTAACTAAAATATCAAGTGAAAATCGCTCTTTTCATCCTTGCAGCTGCACATGAATCAACAGAACAGACTCTAATCAATGACCTGATGAGAGGATACAACAAAGACGCGCATCCGATCCCAGTACAGAACAAAAGTATATACGCTGTGACATTTGGGTTGGAACTGGTTCAGCTCGTTAACGTGGTAAGTCACTTCAAATCAGTTTCAGTAGGAAAACCCACATATCTCAGCTACTGATAAAAAATCCCGTTATACTGCTGTAAACTGATTCAAATTCCGAGTGAAAGGAAAATTAGTGGTACGACTAGTCTCGTACGCAGATCTCCCAGAGTAAGACAGAGTGAGACATGGGTACGACATTAATGAATGGCCAATTCTGTCTCGTTTATCTTTCAATCCTGCCATCTTGACTCTTAAGGCTTCACGTTCTATACGCGATTTCCTGCAGCAAATTTTCATAACACAAAGTGACCGACAAGACCTCTAACTCTCAAGAAAACTTTTTTAAAAAAATCTCCCTAATTTCTGTGATAACAAGTAAATTTTTAACTTAATTTCATTTTAGGACGACAAAAATCAGATCATAACTACTAATGTGTGGGTAAGACAGGTACGTACGTAATGTATAACAAATCATAAAGTGTGTTATCTTATCAGCGTTAGTTTCATCCTGTTATTAATTCTGTATCGAACGTATACATTCCTTGTATATACCAACTACCTGTTACAAGAGAGAATAATCTCTCTTGCCAGGTGGTAATGTTGGCATATGGACTTGTGCCCAGCACGGTACTTGTCTAGCGGCTAGTTTCTCATTCGAAATGGTTGGAATGCTGGCCAACCGATCGGTGAACTGACGTACTGATTTGCTGACCAACTGACCTACATACTGACTCACTGACCTATACTCCACTGATCAACTAACTGCGGGGTCACTTGTTGACCGACTGACCGACGGACGTTTTGACAGAGTGACTGACTAACTTACTGACTCGATCACTGATTGACTGACTGACCGACTAAAAACTGACTCACAGGGTGACCGACAGACGTACTGACACTTTCGCCCTCACTGTTTTGAGAATCATACTTGGTCTTACTTATTTGTCAGAAATGGAGGAATCTTCTTCTAACCTGGCAGCCGGAGAAGTACGGAGGCATCAAACGAGTCCGCATTGAGCCAACTCTGATTTGGATACCTGATATCGTTCTCTACAACAAGTCAGTAAATCCCTTGTTTACTCAGTCGTTACTGTAACAGCTCAGAGGCGGATCCATAAAATTCAGAATGGGGTGACCGAGACACTTGCCAGCTATAGAAACTATTTATTTCACTGAGAATTCTTTACAAATAATGCGAAATAGGCCCCTTGCAGCTAGCCATTCACGTGCTACAAAACCGCCACGCTGGAGAGCAAAAGTCGCACTGGGACAAGACAAACAAAAGACATACATAATTTGAAATGGTAATTTTCTTTGTTTGTCTTGTCCCAGTGCGACTTTTGCTCTCCAGCACGGCAGTTTTGAACCACGTGAATGGCTAGCTACAAGGGGCCTGTTTCAGAGAAAAAGGGGTGGGCGCGGTCCCCTTGGCCAGCCCCTAAAATCCGCCCATGTAGCTAGCATTTGACGGGGAATACGAGAGATACTAAAATGTATCTACTTGGGAAAAATTCCGCTGTACAATTCAAATTGTAAGCTAGTTCCATTATCTATCTTGAATATTTTTGGACTACAATTTTCTTTCATAAAGCATAGTTATTTAATAACGTCACTCTTAATTAGCACCTTGCCCTTACTTGGTTTGATACGTTACCTTGCAGTGCGGACAATGAGTTCGGCGGTGGACTTGAAAAATACAAGACCCGTGTCATTATTGATCACGAGGGCTGGTGTGCATGGTACACGCCAACCTCGTTTCGGAGCACGTGTCCAATTGACGTCACGCACTTTCCCTTTGACCAGCAAACGTGCATGATGAAGTTTGGCTCCTGGACGTTTGAGGTTGTCGATCTCGACATTAACGCGGACGACTCTCCCCTTCATTCCACCCAGTATGTTAAAAGCGCCGAGTGGGATCTTCTGGGGGCCTCTAAGAAACGGAACGTCGAAAAATACGCTTGTTGCGATCACCCGTTTTCAGATGTCACCATAACTTTCGTGTTCAAACGGAAACCCTTGTTTTACATCTTCAACTTAATTGTGCCTTGTACGATAATTATGTCCATGGTGCTGTTGGGGTTTTTTCTGCCTCCGGAATCCGGAGAGCGAATTACACTCAGTATAACAGTGCTTCTGGCAATGGCGGTGTTTCTTCAACTTGCCGCAGAGAATCTACCGCGTAACTCGGACAACGTACCTGTATTGGGGATCTTCTACATCACAGTTATGATTGAAGTGGCTTCCTCCTTGGTGGCCACGTGTTACATCTTGCATGTCCACCATAGGAATTCTGGGACGGCTGTAGTTCCAGTTCCCGGATGGGTCAATGCTTACATACTCCGCAAGCTGGGGAGATACTTGGGAGTCAAGAAACCTGTAACAGAAGACAAATACGATTTGTCAGCAGAGAACGATTTTAAGAGAATTTCTTTGATGAAAAGAGACCTAGAAAAGAGACTCGGGAATAGCACTAGCAAAAACAAGTTGAAAAACAAACTATTACCGGATGTGTCATCCGGCGAATCAACCTTAAGGCCGACTCTAAGTTCTCCCGAAGAATTTAACATGAGTTCTTCTGTATACTCAGTTTCAAGCACGCTCCCGACTATCGACCTCCCCCAGGGGAAAGATGATAGTGGCAGCGGGGACAGCAACAGCGCTAAGACCGCGCAAGGAGTGATGGTATTGGTTGACAGTCTAAAGCATCGTAGACAGATTGAAAAGAACCAAGAGGAGTGGAGACATCTTGCCATGGTCCTTGACAGATTGTTTTTCTGGATCTTTGTGGCGATAATTGTGATTTCTACTCTCGTTGTACTCGGTAGAATCTACCACTAGAATGAATAGTCTAGTGAAGAAAACTTTTCTAACAGTGAGACAACTTTTACAAGTAAGACGACAACTACACCTCGTTAATGAGGAAGATGATTCCAGCAGGTCTAGCTGATGCTATAATAAGTACATTTAGGGAAGCCAATGCATAAAGGCAAGCCTAAAAGCAGAGCTCCCGTGGCCGTTCACGAAGAAACAGATTTTTGGGAAAATAATTCGAATGCAAACTAGTCATCAACAAAATCGCACACCCGTAGGCGTTTATTTTATAAATTATTACGTGTATCTCTCGTTGGCTTTAAGTGTGTGTCGTCAAGGTGTATGATTTTCGCTTTCTATGAGCGTGTGGTTAACTTTGGGTAAGTTAGGCAAAGACGTTAGGTCAGGTAAGAAAGTTGTCCGTGAAATGCACTAGTGTTTCACGTTCCTCGTGTAACCCATGCCAGTCTCGGATGACCTCGCCCTTCTTAAGCGCCAACATTTTCAAGCTTGATGACTCTCATGCTCTGTCAGCGTAAGGCTGATGGTTCTTAGATTGACAAGAAAATTTCATATTCTTTTCTCTTATTATGTAATGATACTGTTATGAGAAAGTTGACGTTGGTCATCAAGGCCTTTAGATCACTCTATATCTTCCTTGTGACTGTTATCTAATTTCAGATTCATGCCTCTCTCTCGCGAGCTACATTAGCTGCGAGAAACAAAAGGCAGTTGTTTCTAGCATGATGATAGAAATGGTATCTTACCTCGGTAAAACTTTGATGAAAGCGTACTGACATATGTTACAACGTCCACTAGTGACGTTTCACCAAGAAACAGACAAGACACTACTGGATTTGCAGAGGCACCAGTGAAACGCATATTTTTATAACCAAAAGGCTTATTTATATGATTGTTCTACCCGGGCAGTTTCGAAGTCAAGCACAACACACAAATAAAACACGTTATACAATTTTATACATTACGCCTGATGCACAATCACTAAGGGCATATTCTAGTCATAGATAAGGCCTCAAGCCCTGCAGTTTACGGTGTGTAATATGCGCAAGCCTATTTGGAAACGAGTAGGAAACCACTGTAAAGTCGGTGCGAAACCACTCACTGACTAGACTAGCAGCCAGCAGTCCCGTTTTTTTCTATTTTCTCAGTCAGATGAAAGAAACGTCCACGAGTCGGAAGAACGAGGCTACTTTAATACGCTCTAGCGATTACTGATCTTGCGAGAAAAATGATTAATCGCATTCTCCAATACTAGTGTAAACATACGACGCGGCGACGCACAAGCCCAACACGTCTCGGTGACAAATTTGTCTCCAAATTTGTGTGAAAACACAAACTAAAACTTATAAGCAAAGAGAGCTTTCTTTACAACGCGGTATACCAGGTAATTCATCTGTGGCGTGTGAGGGAAGATAGCGAACATTCATGGCCCTCTTCCAATGACAAATATTTGAAGTCAATTCTTGGTTCTGTGTCATGTTGTAGTCTTCTCTACATCAATAAATAAACACCCCGTAAACTAAACCTTGAGTAACACATGATTGTAACCGACAACGTCTTCCCTTGATCGACGTCCACGCAAACCAGCGAGCTGTGGCAACTGATATCTTGATGATCCACTTGAAAGCAGACCGCGCGGTTATGGAAACAACAGGCAAAAATGACCTTCACAGCATAAGTGCGGACTAAAAATAGATTTCAAATAATTATCATGAGGCACAGAGATTCGCTCTAGATCTCTTCCCTCATTCTCTCTTACGCACAGCTATATAAGCCATGAACAGTACTTTCGCCCTTAGCATACGTAGTGACCTTCGCACCATCCCTTCTCGTCTTGCTACAAAGCAAGTAAAAAAAAAAGCCAATTAAAGAACAAAAAATTCCAACGGAAGTTCATGAAAGATGGTAGTGCTTGACAGCAGTGTTCGACAAGCAACTCTACAAGAAAATTCTACCAGAAAATCCTAAATATATCTTCCCGTCGTGAATAGTTTCTGTTGTAAAAAGTTCAGTTTAGTTTAGGTTTTCGACTCTTTGCTTGAAGGAAGAAAAACGACTATCTGTTTTTGTAAACCATTGATACCACTTAATCAAGCATAAGGCTTCTGATAAACTAAATATTTTTTCGTAATAGTATCCACTTAAACATTTTTACCATTTGAAACCCAAATGGCATTTTTCTCGAGTAATAACGTGTCATACAAAGATTGTATAACTTAGATTGCATCTGTGAGTCAAAACCTAAGCAACCATTAAAAAGAAACCCTATTAAACAGGGGTTTCCGGTATTTCTTTTTGTTCTCATTTTCCTGAAGTTTTGTGCTCTCAGTTGGCCACTCGGAACTTTTAAGTTTAAAGAGCATTTCTGGCAACGACAGACCTTAATTGCTATCATTTAAGCCCCAGCAGATTGTAATTATTACAAGAAACACAGATATTATCTGTAAATAGTCTGCGGTATTATACGGTTCACCTGTTCTGGGGTCAAAATCGAGAAATAATTTTCTGCCATTTTAGTCTGTTCGGGTGATATTACGATAGCTGCGAGAAATAATGTTCCCCTCCCACAGCTGTTGATCTTCACTATCAAATAAACTTGCAATAACTACTTCCCCATGTGTAAAATTTTGCCATTTTAAACTTTTGTTATGCCCTGAACGCAAATTGTATGAACCGGAAGTGCCCACTCGCTGGCAAAATATTTGTAACGACCTTTCCTGTCTCCTCAAAAGAAAATAAAATAAGAAACTAGCCAGGTAAGGGAAGCATTCCGATCCTGGTTACTTCAGACTTTTGCAGCATGTTTTACATCCTTTCCAATATAGAACTTAACTCATCCAATTGAAGAATATTCCATTGATCACCCGAGGTTAACTAACGTTCCCCCAACCTACCCCGACACGGTACTTTTTTCGCGTTTGAAAACTGTGCGTGATTTGGGATAGAGAAATCGGCATTTCAGATTTTAGTCTATTTTGCCAGATTAAAGTCTTAAAAACAAAGATGCTTCACTAAGCGGTTATTTGTAACAACATAATCTAAGGTTATTGATTGGTAACAGCTTTGGATTTTACTGTCGTGCAATAATTGTACATAAGAAGGGGTGGCAGGTCGGCACCCCGTGGCTTGTACAGTTGTCTAACACAACTGCAGTTCATCATAAAATCTCATTCCCTGATATGACCACCTTTCTGTTTCCTGCAGATACATAAACGTAATTCGGAGGGCGATTATTTTCCAAAAGATGCAATCTCAAAGCTGGAAGCTTTATTGGGAAGTTGAGACTCTTTTAAATTTTTAAATCCATTTCGAGAAAAACGAAACACATGCATGGTGCAACTCGACGGTGAGAATCCCAGGCCGTCTGTTCCGAGGAATTGTCTGTTCAGTGATAAACATACGACCGGATGCAAATGCCGTGATTACGCTGTGAGGCTTTGTTGGGTGTATGGCAGAAGAGTCTTCCAACAAAAACAAATAAAAAATGGATGAGTTAAATAGGAAAGTTCATCGTTTATATGCCAAACGTGACGGTAGATGTCGTGAAAATTCTTTTCATAGACAAACTTCCTGAGCTGTCCACTGGTAGATACAAAGTCATGGAAGATACACAAAAAAATTACAGAATCGGGCGGGTTGATTGGCCGAGCGTGTAATTAGGTGTGGTATTTTAAAAGTCACATAATGATGTTTGGAATTCAGCTGTGAAAAGCGCGAAGAAAGGTCATTAAAGCATGACAAAATAAACTTATAAGTTCATTATTCTCTTGAGAGACAATAAGCTAAGTAAGCGACCCACCAATCACGCTTCTCTGACGTCTTCAAATAGGATAGCAGCGCGTCACTCATCCGGCTGGGAGTTGTCCGCCGTTGACATTTTATAATCAGTGAGTCAATCATTTGTCCAGCTTTGAGTAAGCGGCTGCGACTTTATGCGGGCGCACTCGAGCTGAGTGAACTTTAGCGTGAGTATTCTACCAGGTTGTTTCACTGTAGCTGTAGTGTACTTCAGTCGCTAGCTCACCGCTTGGTTTCCAGGGAATCGAACGGGAGAGAAAAATGGCCGGAGAAATGGAAGATCCTGTGGCATTTTTGCGAGTTTCGGACAAACTCGCACGTTTAGAGGAGAGTAAGTCTTTCGAGAGTAAGAAGTGGGTTTGGATTCAGGACAAAAAGGAATGTTTCAAGGCAGCAGAAGTTAAAAGTTCCAAAGGGGATATTTACGTCGTGGAGACCAACGATGGACAGGTATTACTGCAATAAGCTGCTTTTAATAGCGCAAAATGTACAGCAGATTTACAAGATCTCTATGCAGATCACAGGAGCACCTATGAATTATTACAACCAAATTATAATACTCGATTACCAACAATGAACTTTCTGTTTTAAGAGACTCTGTTGACTTCGGCACTAAGTATAATACTAAAAATGGAATTTTTTTCGGTAGGAACTGGAAGTGAATAAGAATGACACAGAACAAATGAATCCGCCGAAATTCGAAAAGGCCGAGGACATGGCCAACTTGACATATCTCAACGAAGCCAGCGTCCTACACAACCTCAAGCAGCGATATTTTGCAGGGCTGATATACGTAAGTACTCTGCTGCCGGCACTTGAATTTTCTAAACACTAAAATTAGTTTGGGATGCCATTTTGAGAAGATTACTGTTATACTGAATGCTTACTTTAGGATTATCTTTTCGTATTGCCGTGTAGCATCGAACATCCGTGAGTTGTAAATGTGAAACCGGAGTAATCATGAATATTTATTTTTGTACATTCCTTTGTGTGCAGTTAAAGGGGTTTTCTCTGGCTTTCATGTAGGCCTATCTGGTGGATATTATCTCTTGCTAGCTACTTTTCTCGCCATTGCTGGCGTGAAAGAGAGATTGTATACAGTCGCTATGTCAACAGAGATTTGAGTTGTGTGAAAATGCTACTTCAAAGACCGACTGTCGAATTGCATGAAAATCTGGGGTCGAGCGAACTATTAATAACATGTCAATTTAACTTAACGCACCAAACACGCTCCTGTCCCAGGCTTTGCGTGCTATGAAACAATAACCATTAACTATGAAATCAACACTGGTTACAAATGACATGAAAATATCGTTTGGGATATCTGCGTGTCTGCACAGTTGAGTTTTGGACTGAAAAACAAACGACAGGGCTTTGTTTGCAACAACAATAATGTCATATTGGGTTAACTACCGGGAGACATAAGACAAGAATAATGTACGGTTTCGTGCCGGCGTTTTGTTAATTTGCGAGATGGGTGTGAATTTATCTCCAGAACCGATTTCTGTTGCAAGCGTAGGGTTTAATTTGCAATCCTCGAAGTTTTCATCCGTTAAATTGAGAAATAAATGAGCATTCTTATTACTACTTTCAGAATCGACTTTCAGATGGTGTGTCGTTTACTTCATAAGAGTAGAAAGTCTTTAAGCAGCGTCCGTTCGTGACATCCACAAAGATGGCTTTTAAACACGTTTGAAAACACAGTTAGGGGTGATAGCATCCTGTTCTAAAATAAAACGGACCATCAACGGCGATTTTGTGTTTGTAAATGAAAATCTCCACACTTAATGGTACTCATTGTACTCTTCTGTTATTATTTAATATAGACTCCCGTGCTAAGATGATCAAGAACACCGCCCTCTTGCATGATTAAATCTGTTTTGAAAGTCAACTCTTTTGAAGTGCATGTTTACGGGTCTTAAAAATTTAACCTCCTTAACTTTCCAATGTTTCCACGCAGCCAGTTTCCAAGAAATAATAACACATGTAATGTTTTTCATTTAATGAAACTGTCTACTACCTTGAAACTATTCAAACCTCTTATCTGAAATTGACCTGTTCGACCCCAGCTTTCTTGTTCAGTGGCCTGAGGGGTGAATATTTTCACCATATATGGACAAGGGTGGGATGTGAGTTTGTTAAAGACATACTCCCTTTTCAGAGTTAAACAGTTAGAACCCTAAAAATTGTCAAAGCTGTTGGGAATAACTTTAAAAGAAAGCATTTATTTAACTTATTTTCCTCCTATTTTAATGACATTGGTGCTTTAGAGCATGTCTGAAAATTTGCCGCACTCCTAGTTTTGCTCATTCTTGCTTAAACTTATAGCAGATTTCTTTCTTTATCCATTGCTGAACAATAATGTGATACTCATCTAACAGGAAACTCAGAGAATGTTCTCTATGAACGTGACACTTGACTTAAAGAGACGTTTAACCTCTCACAGAGATGAAACTCAAACTAACCTCACAAGTTTGCAATGACTACAGCTCAGACCTATTTCCACCTAAACATATTGTAGTCCCTTTACAATAGCTTTGTGGATGTGTAACATTTAAATACAAGCTTTATTGAGTGCTATCAACAAAGAAACATGCCTGCAATTTTCACAAGCTATTTTTAACCATTTCTTCACCAAAGTATATCATATGCATGACAAAATATATTTCCTTTGATCTTTAATTGCCGTTATTGAATCTTTATAATTTTTTATTAATTAATTTACCAAGCAAGAGATGATTTTGCATGATAAACTTTTTAACAGACATATTGTTGACAGCACTTTTATAAGGTTTCGAATATTTATAAACCTTGAGGCTGTCTTAAATTTTTAAAATAAGTAGTAAATCATCCTAAATATTATATGGTAAACAACATGCATGTGTACAGTAAGAGTCTGAGTAACAATGATAATCCTTTGAATGGCAAAATGTGTTAAAAGAAAATTCCAGATTTACTCAATACGAGTTTTAAGAAGTCCTGAAGATGTTTAATTTGAATGCTCGCAACATACATGTATGATTTTTTAGAGTTGATTAATTGGTCTGTTTAATAGATAAAATTTTTCATAAGTTTCAAGTTCGCAAATTTTTCCACGTACAGTTTCATTTTACAGTGTAAATGACCTTTAATAGCTTAATTAAAACCATTTGCATTGTGCGAGGTGCTGAGTTGTGTCCGATCACCAAAGCAATTTTCTGATATAAATCTGACTATTAAGTTCAGACACCAAAGAAACAGTTGACCTCATTACACAAGTCTTGTACCCCACATTTCTGATCTCCTGATACGTGTTTTCTCATTCAAAGCCATTAAATTCTCTATTTATTATTGTACCTTTTCTGTAGACATACTCTGGTTTGTTCTGTGTGGCCATCAATCCTTATCGCAGACTTCCCATTTACACAGAGAAGATTGTGTTTGCATACAGAGGAAAACGCCGCCCAGAAATGCCTCCCCATATCTTCTCAATTTGTGACAATGCATATCATGATATGTTGCAAGATCGTGAAAATCAGTCCATGTTGATCACGTAAGTAAAGACTAAAACGAACCACCATCTTCAAACAGATAGGATATGTTCAATGTGATGATACATGAAGTAGTTACTGTGACCGTGTATAATCCAGGTGTTATTACATAAAGTAATCAGGTGCATTGGTACATTTTGGTAAGTGTAGCTCACGAGTCAAGCCAACATAATAGTCTCACTTTAATATGTCTCGAGCTTACTCAGCTACTTTCCCTACTTAAGGTGTTATCTATGTTCTAGGTTAAACCAGTACCAACCTAGTTTGATTAAGGATAATCTGGTTTAACCAGCCAGTGGATTTTACTTCAACAGCTACCCAACAGAGATGAAAACAAACAAAACAGTTTGAGTTGGTATTTCATTCCAGAAGTAAGCTTAAGCCTTTTTATTAGTGTCATCCCCCTGTTAGTCCCTCAAAAGAGTCGTAAACAATGTTTTCATTTTGGTTTTAGTGGAGAGTCTGGTGCAGGAAAGACAGAGAACACCAAGAAGGTTATTCAATATTTGGCACATGTGTCTGGCCAGACAAAACCTGGGGATCATAAGCAAGAGGTAAATAAATAAACAGTTGACTTAGTAAAAAAAAACTGAGATGGTGGCGGGGGGGGCAAGCTTATTTTTGTGAAGCTGTGATTGACCATTTTTGGTGTCCGTGAATCATAATGCACTGAAAAACTGTTCTGTGAATGGTGATTGAAATGCACTCCATGAAACGTGAACTGCCAAAATCGTCTACACTGTACATGTACATTAAAGATAAATTGAAGAAAAGAAATCGCAAATCTGGCCAAATGTTCTTAACAAGCATCTGGTGGCTTAAAAAAAATCACTTTTGAGTCTTTTCATGTAACTTAACACTTAAGTGAGTGTGCTCAGACTGACCTACAGCTGACTTCCCTAGGGAATTAATAGCCACACAGAGATCACTCAAACACATCGCAGAGATCAAATGTGCTGTCTGTTTCCTGTCTCGTGAAAAATGCAAAATTGTTGTTTGTGAACTCGTTTCTGAGACCCCCCCTTACCCCCCTTAAAAATGTATGCAATTATTAAATACAGTGGAACCCCGCCTTACGACCACCCCGTTTATAAGACCACCTTGTTATTACGGCCATGTTCTTTCAAACCAAACGTAAAAACCATTGAGTCATTTTACTATTTTGACGACCCTGTTAATGCGACCACCTCGTTATTACGACCAGGATTTTATGGCCCAACGGTGGTCGCATTAACGGGGTTCCACTGTCCCTTTTTATTATTCTGACCAAATTTCACCAGCTGAGCACATTTTTTTACATTCTAATAATTATTGATGTCTGCATTTTGAGGTTACAGTATGTTTACTCAATTATTTCAATGTACTAAAGACAATTCCAATAATTTTTATTTGCACTCTAGGGAGGTACCCTTGAAGACCAGGTTGTACAAGCCAATCCAATTCTGGAAGCCTATGGAAATGCCAAGACTGTCAGGAACAACAACTCATCAAGATTTGTGAGTAGAGCTTCTTTTTGTACAAAAACAGAAAAACATAACAGCCTATACAATAATGGATGTGTCATTTCTATAAATGTTTTCAACTGTTTGTGTGCTCTGGCACATCTGAGTAAAGATGTACATTTTCTTTGTTTACAACTTTAGGGAAAGTTCATTCGCTGCCACTTTGGGCCACAAGGAAAGCTTGCAGGAGCTGACATTGAATCTTGTAAGTCTAACATTTTGTCTGATCAGTGCTTTATTTGGGCTTGTAAGAATAGTGGACATCACTCTGTACTAAGTAGCTACAGTATACGTATACTTCTTACGTGTAGGATTTCTTACACATACAAAAATGTGGATCTAAAAAGACTTTGGCAGCAAAACTAATTTAGATCTCATTTTAACTGTAGTAGGCAAACGAACAAATTTTTGAAAAAAGGAACTAGTGAGATCATTGTCATCAATTTGTTTGAAATGTCTTTTCTCTTTCAGTTTCAAATATTTGATAATAGGACTGTTAAATTAAACAATTCAATTTTAATTTTTTTACTTCAGACTTGTTGGAAAAGTCCCGCGTGGTCCACCAACTGGAGGGAGAAAGAAACTACCACATTTTCTACCAGATTTTGTATGGTGCTGACAAGGCCCTGCAAGGTTTGTTGAGTTTGAAGTGAAAAGTAACATATTTCATTAAGATATAGTGGAATCCTAATCTGTTTCATGAATCTTCATTCCTGCGGAAACAGAAGTTATTGGGAGGTAAGAAAAACTCACAGGTTCAATTATGGTGTTTAACCATTTTGGGTCCAAATAATTACAATAAATGTAAGAGGTTTGAAAAAATCAGAATGCCTCTGTAGTAGAGCTTGTAAGAGCTTAGTACATACAACATCTTTTAAGCCATGCCTTTTACTTTAAGAATTGGTTAGTGTTTTAAAGTTTGTATATTAGTAGAGTAACATGTGTAACATATAAAGACAATGGGTTTGTCACAGCATTGATCAATTTTATTGTATGTGTTATCAATGAGAGGTTTTGTGAGAAGTACACATAAGGATGTTTTTCCATACTTGTCTTTTATTTGAGAATATTTGCTCTTACATTCTAGATAGGGTTTATTTTATCCTTGGTACATGCATGTTTCTATCTCTAAGACTAATGGATAATATTTTTCTTCATTAACTTTTTTTTGACTTCAGATAAACTTCTCATTGAATCAACCAAGTCTGGAGATTATGAGATCCTCAAGAAAGGTGCTGAGAGAGCTGATGGAATTAATGATGTGGAAGAATTCAAAATAACAGAGGTCAGTGTTTTATTGCAAAAAGGAAAGCAGAGACTCAAATTTACAAGAAACTTAGGTAATCCTAGTCTGCACCACAGATGTGTTGTAACACTGGTTAGTAATGTGCATGAAGCATTGCCGATATCCTTGTTCTGGGCCCGCAACGGACCCAAACTACTGGAAATGCAATTGAATTTCTCTTCAACCTTACTGGCAAATCAACAATGGCTTTTTAACAGGCTAATCATGGCATGTACTCAAATCCTGGTTGACACAGGTGAGGACCCAGAGTAAGGTTTTTGGGGCTGTTTCTCAGACAGACTTAACCAGAAGTTTAAATCCATCTTTGGCACAGTCTAGGGTAATCCAATCCATAAAAATATATCATCATACAGTCAAACCTCCTGTAAATGACCACCCAAAATGCAAAGGCTTGGTGGTTGTCTACGGGAGGTGGTCACTCACAAGAGTCAGACCGTAAGGGCGAAATTTTTAATTCAACTTAGTATGGAGTGGTATATTTATTCTAAAATTGAATAATGCCAATTACTGGTAGCTTTATTGACAAAATCATTAGCTATTATATGTGACAGTTCATTTACAGAATGTGCATGAAAATTTGTGGTTAAAAAAGTTTTACTTGTGTACTTGACTTCTTGTACAGAAATGTCTCTAAAACATTTGACGAACAAAAACTTAACTTCTTAAACTGAAACCTGGAAGTCTCATGTGTAGACAATAATGACAGCCAAAGAATAAATTCCTCTTTGTTTCATTTTTACAATGTACTTCACTGTTTAGTAAGACCATGTGTCTAGTGGTCGCTTACCAGAGGTTGAAAACAATAGAAAATTCTAAAACTGTCAACCGAAAAAGTGGTCGCAGTCAGTTATGGCAGGTGGCCGTTTATGAGAGGTTCCAGTATAAGGCTTTGACTGAAAACATTTTTGGTGTTTTGGGAAGGTGGTCGCTAATATGGGAGGTGGTCGCCCACAGGAGGCGATCGCAGGTGGAGGTTCGACTGTACTTACAGAAAAGGTTCTTATCTTTTCTTAGGAAGCTGCGCAAACACTTGGTTTCACAAATGAAGAGAAAATGGGCATGTACAAAATCTGTGCTGCCTGCTTGCACTGGGGTAACTCAAAGTTCAAACAGAGGCCCAGAGAGGAGCAGGCTGAGGTGGCTGACCCAAAGGGTAAGAGTACATTCAATGGTGGCTAGTGCTGCTATAATAAAATTATTATTCTCTGTAAAGTTACTATTGTTAGAAACATAAAACTATTGTCACATAAATTGTCTGGCATTGAGAGAAAACATTTGACTACCCCAAAAGTTATTAATATTGTGACCCCAAAAGCTTTTAAATTAGTATAACAGGTACAAACTCCAACTGGCTTAAGGCACATGAGTTGGTTATTTCAAGCTTCACCAAGTAGTTAACATGGGCTGGCCTACTCAATTAAAGTTACCTGTCTAGCGGCTTGAGCAGAATTTAAACCTGTGGTGCTGGAATTAAAATAAGGAGTTCCACTTTATCCAGATGGGTGCCAAGGTTGTTAAGTTCTGTTTCATTACACTGTGATAATGACTTGTTATAACTCTGGGTGCAAATAAAGTCAGTTTTACAGCTTGCCCTTGCCACAAGCTGTAGCTAGCATACAAACCCAAAAGGCATTTCAGCTAGCAGGATTGATTACAGTTCTTCTGTAATTTGAATTACCCTAAAAAACTTCACTTGCCTGTTGGGCATTTTAAGAACAGAATTCACCTGCCCGCTTGCAACCGTCACTAGCCCAGGGCAATCCGCCATGAACTGGGGTCAAACAAAACAAAACAAGAGAACATTCATTCATAATTGTACCAGGATAATCATTATAGTTGATATAGGTGTTCATTCATTGTGATTATTATTGAAATTAAGTTTTCTTTCATTAAATCTATTATCACCAGAGTTGGATAAAGTGTCATTCTTGCTGTCGATTTCACAAACGGACTTTGGAAAGTCTCTTGTGAAGCCCAGAATCAAAGTTGGCCGTGAATATGTGAACCAGGGGAGAAATATGCAGCAGGTATTCTTAACATTAGCAGTAGCTGTAAGATACATGTATTATATGGGACACTTTATCTAAGTCAAAGACACCTTATGTAAGTTGAATACACTGTACTTTAAAGCGTTACCCTTGAAATGTCTTTAAAAATCTCTTAACTCAGAGCAATATTTATCCTATGTTGTTGATCTTGTGCTTATGTAATTTCAGGAAAGAATTTTAAAACCACAAGTACAGCACTATAGGTCAAACTTCTCACCTGAATGCATTTACATTTGTACAATTCTCTCTGGAGAATATGTAAAAAAAATTTTGTTGCATAACCGAATCTCACTTTACAAGCAGTTAAAACCACAAATGTTCAGTTTGCTTTAAGCGTTTTTCTTCTTAGTTTTGGTGTGTCTTTAACTTTTTAAGCTTGGACTACAGCGGAGTTAGTAAAGGAAAATAGTTTCTTTTCTGTTAAGTCACTTCCTATAATTTCTATATCCATGTGCTTGTGCTCTCTTCTTCGAATTTTTGTCCTATTGCTCCACTCTTGGTAAATGCTGTAAACTTGCCAGAAACAACTAGACATTCTCTAGTTTGTTTAAAACAACATGCAATAAGCGCCCTCCTTCAAAATAAGCACACATCCTTTTAGATGAAATTTGAATAAGCACCCGGGCATTTACTTAAGAAAATATTGTAAACAGTACCACTTCACATGGCCAAATAATAAATCAAAACATGGCTAGAATAAAGGTTTTTCTCAGTCAACAACAATATTAAAGTAATAAAATAATGTACATGTAATCTATTATACTTTGTACTTGACTTTCAGGTGTATTACTCCATTGGTGCCCTCAGCAAGAGCATTTATGAAAGAATGTTCCTGTGGCTTGTTGAGAGAATCAATCAAACACTGTTAACTAAGGACAGACGTGCCTTCTTCATTGGCGTGCTGGACATTGCAGGCTTTGAGATCTTCAAGGTGAGTTACACCAACATTGCATGGGGAGAAAATGTACATTGGTAAAAAGGGTTCAATATTTTGTCCTTTCTCTCTGAGCCCTTTTTATTAGGGCTATGGGACAAAGGAAATTAAGAAAAAACCTACAATGTAGGTCAAAAAAATTTAAAGTTCTGGATTTAATTTTGACCTATTACATGTATGTTCATGTACACTCTAGATGTAAGATACCAGTTTCTGTGTGTGTGTTACTGGTTAATTATGCTTTCAACCTTCTGTTTTAGATGAACTCATTTGAGCAGCTATGTATCAACTTGACAAATGAGAAACTTCAGCAGTTCTTCAACCATCACATGTTTATTCTGGAACAAGAGGAGTACAAACGCGAGGGCATTGAGTGGGAGTTCATTAACTTTGGTCTTGACTTGGTTCCAACCATTGAGCTCATTGAAAAGGTACATTGTTTGCTACCCGTTTCAAAAACATGCAAACTCTGAAGTTCAAAAGCCAACTAATGTTTGTGTTCTTTGCTTCTGTCAATCATCTTTGCGGACCTCTTAGGAAACAGGCGTTTACTCTGACGAGTTCAAAAGTTCATAGTTTGTGATTTGTGATTGGTGGATTTCGATCCATTTTGTGTCTTTCTGTGTATCAAGGTTCACTGCTTGTGATCATACATGTACAGGCTGTAGAAGAGACAATAGTAAAGTTAGCACCTTTTTACTTACTGATGTGTTCATTGTGGTTGGTGCTTTCGTTCTTATCTGGACCGTCGCTTAGCCCTTTAAGTCCCACTAGTGACCAAGATCGATTTTCTCCTAACAATATCCATAAACTGTCAACAGATAAGGTTTGAGAATTAATAAAATGATCACCCAAGTAAAAATGCCTTGATCTTTTACCAAATTCTCTCAACTAATTCTTTAAGGAAATGTATGGAGATTAGTTTGGAGAATTTGTATGTGGATATTGGGGCTTAAAGGGTTAACATACATTTTATTACACTTTCAGCCCATGGGTGTGTTTGCCATTCTTGAAGAAGAGTGCATTGTGCCAAAGGCGACAGACATGACATTCCTACAGAAGTTGCACAACCAACATGAGGGCAAGCATCCTAAATATACAAAGCCTAAAATTTCTGGCAAATCTTCCACAAACCACCACTTTGAGGTTGGTCACTATGCTGGCACCGTTGGTTACAATGTTGATGGCTGGCTGGACAAGAACAAGGATCCTATCAATGAGGCTGTGGCAACGTTGTTTGCAAAGTCTACTGATGCTTTTATTGCTCACCTCTTCAAGGACTATGCCAGCGAGTGTAAGTTTAAGTCTTTGAGTTTTACTCCTAAAGTTGTGACCAAATTCTTGTCTTAATTCTCCAGTCTCAAATAATTTATCATCCTTCAAAAAACAGAGCAACAAATATTAATATACTGTTGAAGAGGTTTTTATATGAATTGCCACATGATGGTGTTTCATCCATAAACCTATGCAGGGTGGTTGTGTTTTAAGGAAAAAATGCTATGTAATATAGCTGGACAATCACCTTGTTTGCCTGAAAAATTGAGAAAGATAAATAAATAAATAAAATAATAATGGAGACCTGAAAGATTGTAGCTTCCTCCTTTTCAATTTGGCTAGAAGAATGACTGTGTCGTAAGGCATGAAATTACATGGAAGTCAATCAAGTAACAAACATTAACACACTTTCCAATTTGTCCATTTCATTTTGTTAAGGACAAAATCAAGACATAGGAATACATGTAGCCTCAGTATGTTTCAGTTGTTTTGTCTGAGGATGTAGCTCTTTACAGAGGCAATTAGTGGCAATTTACCAGCTTATTTTTCACATTGTGCAGTCCTTTAATTCGACGTGTCTTTATCCATAGCTCATGCAAGAGGAAAAGGTGGCAGTTTCCAGACTGTAAGCAACAAACACAAGGTATGATCATTTGTTCTGGTATGAAATTTGTTATTATTTACCTTAGCATTAGTCTCCAGTGCAGCCATTTTGTCTCGTCACGTAAAGCAGCATTGCATGACAAGACAAAAAATGGCTGCGTGGGAAACTACCTTACTTAGCATTAAATGGCTCCTATTTCAAAATGTCATGTTTATTCATGTAACCAACTGAGGAATGGCTGAGTTTGTTTCAAACATTTCTTCCCATATTTTCAGTAAGACAAACCTATATTCAGCGGTCACCTCTATTAAGAACACTCAACCATAGGTCACGTGAGTGCTGTCCTCTTAAAGGAATACCATTACTGGGCATGTAAGCCTTTAGTGCAAATGCACCTGTACCTCCAGGGGTCTCCATACTGGAAAAACAGCCCTTGCAAGTTAATTGTACTGAAAATCGGTTGTGCCCATATCTTTATAATCCATATCTTTATCTTGATGAGGCAGCATGGCTGAGTCAGGCCAACTTGTCAGTCTCTGGCCTCTTGCTGGATTAGTTCTCAGTTATCCCGAGTTCAAATCCTTAGCCACACTTGTAAAATAGCCAACTGGTTCGCCTCTATTATTGTCTATTGTACAGTTTCCACTACAACAGCCGTTTTTAGTGTAATCACGTGTAGCAGACTACTTTTCTTGACTCAACTGATGGACACCTTGTACAGTACCTGCCCTCATTTTGTTCAACTGTAAGTTGCAAAAGGCCTGTTTCAGCACACATGCAGTGTACCTATATAGTTTATACAATGAAACCATCCTTTACCAGGCAGACTCCCATTAAGCCAACAAACATAGGGAGTACCCCCACTGGGCTTGTGAGCCCAAACTGCAAACACACATGTACCCCCAGGGGCCTTCGTGGTGGAAATACATGTACGGCTCTTGCAAGCTAACTGTGTCCATATCTTCGTTAAGGAACAACTGACTCGACTGATGGACACCCTGTACAGCACCTGCCCTCATTTTGTTCGCTGCATCGTTCCCAATGAACACAAGAAGGCTGGCGTGATTGAATCAAGCCTTGTCTTGCACCAGCTCAGGTGTAATGGTGTGCTGGAGGGTATTCGTATCTGCCGAAAGGGTTTTCCCAACAGAATTCCCTTCCAAGAATTCCGACAAAGGTAAGCAGTGAAAAACTCTCCCGAAGTGTAGGATGGTCGAGAATTAGAATTGCCACTTCTATGACTTAGAATGAAGTTCCACAGGAATTTTTTTTTTCGCTCTCCAGATTGTTACTGGTTTTATTTGGTGCCAGTGGAGACTTTGTAGAGTTTTGGGTGTTTCTTGTTGTTGCGGAAACTGTTGCTTCGCCTTTGTTTTTTGTTTTTTTGGGGGGTATCGTTCAGTGTCTTTTGAATCCCTTGTACTTCGTCATTTGGTGATTTTACCCGTCTGCAACATCAGGAAATTGCCGACAATTTTAAATCAGTGAAAAACAAAGGAATTCTCGCACATTTGTACATGGACACGCGTATTTTCAAAACGCGTATAATTATGTATACTGTATGTTGTAACTGGACAACTAAAATCTCGTGAATTGAAATGCCTCTTTTTTTTTTGCCTGTTTTTTTTCAGATACCAGATTTTGGCACCAACTGCCGTTGCTGGTGGATTTGTTGATGGCAAAAAAGCTTCTGAAATGCTCCTGGATGCCATGCAGCTCGAGAAAGCTTCCTACAGAGTTGGAACTAGTAAGGTAAATAGGGATATCCGATAATATTTAGCAGCGAGACTCTCAAGTAACTATGTTGTTCAAAAGTAATGATCCCTAGTAGCTGAAAGAGGGAAAAAAGTTGATAAAAATGATAAGTAAAACTTTTATTTTCACTTTCTCCAACTTCTGCCAAACAGGTATTTTTCAGAGCTGGTGTCCTTGGAGAACTGGAAGACATGCGAGATGAAAGGTTGGCGAAGATCATCTCAATGTTCCAAGCTTACTGTAAAGGCTACTTAATGCGCAAGGAGTACCGCAAAATGTGTGATCAGAGGTAAGAGCAAGTCCAATCGTAGTCTTTTAAAGAAAACCGCTCAAACGATATTAAGTTGTCACCCTTTCGCGAAAGGGAATCGAAAAAACGCGATTTTTGTAGCGCGGTTCGCGACTCTCGTGTACACGTATACGAAAGGAGCTGCGAAATTCTTGCACAATCACTAGAACTTATGTATCATTTCATATTTTTAGGCCAATTAGGTATTTATTGGTTGTTGTTAGGCTAATTTGGTGGGCGGTGTCTTGTATTGATTTAATAACACCCCTCCTCCTACCCCTACACAAGATAGTCCCTCTTGCACTAGACGAACACAAAAGGCTAAAATATAATGAATTGATATCCCTCTTCTATCTGCAGAATTGGAATCGCCGTCATCCAGCGTAACGTGAGAAAGTATCTGTTCTTGAGAAACTGGTCTTGGTGGAGACTCTACACAAAGGTACAAGAAAACACACTCATTAAAAAATACCCAACCTTACACTTTCATAACTTCTTGTGCTACAATCAATCGAATAAAGTTTGATTCACGGTCAAGCCTGATTTTTTGCATGTTCTTTTTCACAAACTGCTTAGGTTGTTCATTCTACTTCGAAGATCATGTTCACTTTCTTATCAAATCTTATTCGTCATAAAATTTGAGACGTCATTAACAAAAATATCCTGCTTGAAATAGAATGTTGTCAAATCCTGCTTCTTTGCTTGGTTGCTCTTGCATACCAGGCTGTTTCAGCTTCCTCTTTCTTGAAGTCTTTACCTGTTTTCAGCTGTCCTCGATTTTCTCTTATTCCTCTCTGAATATTTTTGTTACCCCAGGTCAAACCTCTACTCAACATCGCTCGTGCTGACGAGGAAATGAGGGAAAAGGCAGAAGAGGTAATGTATTCTTTTTAGCTGAACGAGTGGAAACTAAGGAAACGTTAAGTTTTCTCAGTAATAAGAATTGCAAATACGTCGTAAATATGCATAAAACTCCCTACTCTTTTGCTTTCGTAAGTGTCGAAGTCAAAGTGACACAGTATATCTGAGTGAAAATACTGAAAAACACAAGTACTGTTGTACCTGGCGAAAGTAAGATCGGATAGGTTTCAAATCGCAGGATTTCTTCCACTGAATTAAAAGTAGTAACCTGCATTGACACCGGAAGTGAGAAAGTTCAGAAGTGAAACTTGTCTGATGCGAATCCAGTGACGGACGAGCTCAAGGTACAAGGTTTTTTTCCAATGAGAGTTGAAATTACTCAGTTTCCTAATGGATTCCATCTTAAAGTAAGCATACCGCACGCGACAAAGTCGTCATCACCTTCCACGTTTTCGTATCCTTCATGCGATGTTTCAGTTATTTCACACCGCAACAGGTCCTCTAACACACAGTCCGACGTACTTAACTGGTCCTTTTGTCTGTCCAAAATCGGTCTCAAAATTTACTTCGTAACCGTTTCTAGTCAGATGATATGCAATGTCAAAATGCCATTAGAATCAACGGTGACAGATACTGTCAGGTCTTGTTTCTGAATAAACCGAAAGCAAAACTAAATACAAACAAATTTTATTTCCGAGGGTATTTAATAAAATAACAAGGATATCGCTTAACGCTCCTCTGGGTTACCTTATCACTCAACAGTTCTATTAAGTGCATGTACTGAAGAGGAATTTTAATCCCTTTTTAAAATCTGTGCTCGTAACCAACTACTCAAGAGCTAAAAGTACGTCAAAAACCTTAAAGGCGAAGTTAAGACAGGTTATTTTTTTCAGTTTTCCGAAATTGGAAAGTTAGCCGGATTTCGTGACATCGTGTTTAAATCAGCGAAAGAGCCAGGCTTATCTGATCGTTTTGGTATATTATTTCTTCTGTTATTTAGCTCAAGAAGCTACAGGAGCGATTTGGAAAGGAAGAAGAGCTGCGTAAAGAACTGGAAGAGAAGCTCACAAAACTCATGGAAGAAAAGAATGAGCTGTTCCAGAATCTCCAAAGTGTAAGGAATATTTAGTGTCCTTTATTTTATAAATCAGGAACATTTAATTAACCTTGAAAAATAGTCGCAAAGAATGAAAACAGACACTTTTCTACAAGGCCACTTAGTCATGTGGATGTGCTTTGAAATAGTTTAAGTCAGTCACTTAGTTTCCAGAATTGGCCACAGGAAAAAATGTCGCTAGTAATTAAAGAGCGTGCATTTTGACTCTTGCGTTTGCTAGTCGTTGCTAAGCGAGTTCTCTGTCAATTTAGTCTTCAATTTGAAATGACAGTCACTGCCGTGATTTTTCTGCGTCGCTCTCATGTCCCCAGTTGATAAGGCTCGCATTTTATGCATTGCCAGACATCAAATAACCTTAATTTCTTTTCAGAATACCAAACAACCACCCAGGGAGTCAGATTAGAACAAAGCGGGCTTTTTTTGCTATAAGTGAGGATTCTTTGATTTCGGGTGGATATCCTATCCTATACTGCTGTTGTCTTTAAATTCTCGGACCTGAGTGATAAAAGGAAGTTTATAGAGACCTGAGTTAGGGGAAATACGCATAGCCTGCAGCAGGCGCCGTTTACTTTTTAAGGACGAAGGGACAAATTTTCGGGAGCGCGCATGCTCCCTTCTCCACTTAGCTTGTTCCCCTCGCGCGCCGCGCCTGCCACGCAGGCTAAATGAACATTCGAAATTTGTGTGTCACAGGAGCAAGACGCTTGTGCTGATGCTGAAGACAGAGCAGCTCAGTTTCAGAAAGAAAAGGACAAACTTGAGGAACAAGTTAAGGTAAGGCGAGAAAATAAATAGATAAATAAATATACAATTGTTTAATTTTGAAGCCACAAAGCATAATATTTCCTGTAAACAAAATAAAGACACTATTGCCGATATGGAATACCAGCACAGATCTTATCAAGAAGTGCTTTTTGACGTCTACTTTTAAATAGCAGCTTACTTAAAATATCAGGTTCTAAAGGTGATTTTCAAGGGCAAGACTCCAAATTAGACAGGATTTAAACTGTAGTGTTGATCTGGAGATCTGTTCCTTATACCGTAACTCAATTTTCGGTTGTAAGGGAATAACAGGCCGTTTTAGAAGTTGATCACTTTACGTTAGACTTTTCATGGGACGAACCAAACTCTTTAATTTGGGTCGACCTATATATAAAGTTAAAATCGTCTGTTGGGTCAGACATCAAACTTAAGACGCGTCGAACCAATCAACAGAATAAGACCAAAAATCACTTTAAGCCGAACTAAGCTTAGTATGTTGTTTAGTTTAGTTCGTCGCATGTTAAGACTCGACCTTTGTCGCGGAGACAATCTTCAGACGTTCCATCCGTCTGAAGCATAGAACGTGTTGGACGATCCAAACTCATTTAGACCAACTTAACTGAGCCAGACGTCGAACTTTTTATGAAATTAACTCACTAACTTTGGTTCGTCTCATGAAAAGTTCGACTTTTGGTGTAGGCCTTAGGTTACGTTCACACTGGACGAATTTTCGACTGGTTGAAAATTCGTGCGTGTCTTTGCTGCGTTCCCACGGAACCACGTTAACCGTTAAAAAATTCAGACGCCTAGCCTTTCAAAAACTATGACTATAACGCCATTATCGAGGTCAAATGTTTAGCTGGTACAGCCATTTTTGACCGGCGCGGTGTGAACGCCTTAACTATCTAAGAATGGCTGCGATGAGTAGTGCCGAATCTAACCTCAAAGAACTGTAGCAGTCTCTATTGTTTAAGCTCATAAGCTTTGGATCTGAGACACGTTAATTTCGACGTCTGAGAGCAACTTTTAGCTTAAGCCTTTTCATGAAATTTTCCATAAGCCCTTGGTGTCTTCGCCTGAAAATTGCTTATGCCTACCAAATGGGCCTTGCTATTTGAGAGCATTTTAATCCATTTTTCAGGGTTGAGCATTAAAGTGCTTTGCTTTTTTTTACAGGATCTCTCCGAACAGCTTGACGATGAAGAAGAAAACAGCGCTGAAATGGCAGAGACGAAGAAAAAAATGGAAGGGGAAATTGATGATCTCAAACAAGACGTGGAAGACCTAGAATCCGCTCTTAAAAAGGTGTGACAGCTTGGTTATCAACTGGTTAAACTCTAATCAGTTTTGGACTGGGAGTGATGTTGGAGTCAATTCGAAAGTGCTCATGTAGTTAACCTGCGAAAACAGCCCTCTCTCTCCTCGCCACTCACCGCCACCGGTAAGGAGCGAGAAGAGAGGGCTGTTTTCGCAGGCTATCATGTAGTGGGTCAGCTGGAGGACTCATTGTTTAACCTGCGACTCATTTCCAGTAATTTCAGTTTCCAGAGCGCTCTCTGTATTGTTCGTTCTACCTTCTCGCGAAATTAAGGGGGTAAAACTCGACTCTGGCATGAACGAAAACGCATCCATGGGAGTAATAGACTCCGCCCTCTTTTCCTCCTTGTCCCACCCCAACCAAAATGGCGGCCATTGCTTGATTTCTATGTGATTCGTTTTCAGGCTGAATCAGATATCGCAGCAAAAGAGAAAAACGCCGAACAGCTTCAAGATGAGCTGGCCGCTCAAGATGAATCAATATCTAAATTATCAAAGGAAAAGAAAAATCTTGAAGAGGCAAAACAGGTTAGTAATCCAGAGAACATCGGCCAAACTGGAGAAAGCGAGCGTGAAAGTGAGGTATGCGAGGGCCCAAAAATTTTCCTTAGCTCCCTCCCAATTTTTCTCGAGTGAAATATTCAGTAAGAACCCTTCTTTGTTCAATGCAGTGTACAAGAAAAAGATTGCTTGTTTAGCCTTAGTCATGCGAGAGCGGGACACGAAAAGGAGACGCTTTCTCTTGTTGTCCACTTCGCTTGCCACTCGAAATGGAGAGTTTGCTAGCAGGCTTATCTTCTCACCTCTTGATTTGATAAATTGCCAACCTTACACTGACCTTTGTCGTTTACTTTAAACGTGATTCTATAAATCTGAAGTGTTTTATTTATTTTTCTCCTCTTATTGAAGCTCGCTTCGCTCGCTTTTAAGAACTAATGCGCGGTCGACTTGTTGCAAGTCTAGCTAGATAAGAGAGGGAATCAATACTTGTTTTTTCAGGAACTTGAAGACCAGCTTCAAGAAGAGGAAAACAAAGTGAATCACCTAAATAAATTAAAGGGGAAACTGGAAGGAGAGATCGATGAGGTAGGTGAAAGGAATTTAGTTGTTAAGAAGCGAAGGCGTGGTAGTGCGGTAATATGCATTGCAACATGCCAGATTCCAGATCTAGATCGGGCTCGAACTTTTATCCTGTGGTCATTTCCGTAGACAAGATGATTTGTTTCTCATTGTCTCTCTTAACTCAGGTTTATACAATGGTAACCGGATGTATCATGTCCGGGATGATCCTGTTATGGACTATCTCCAGGGCATAGTAACAACACCCTTTATGCCACGGGGCTGAATTAACCCCAGGTCTTTAAAGAGTTAAAGCAAAGACGGTGGTGGTGGAACGTCTCTTTAAAAGTGAATTCACGCTGTTTCAAAATTCATCGCTCTTATTCCATGCCGTTCAATTGTAAAAATGGTGGATTCTTGAATTGGAAAGGACTATAGCTTAGGGCCTGTTTACATAGAGGTGGGTGACCAGGTGAGGCAACCCTTTCAGGTAGGGTAAAAAAACAACCCGCGTTTACATGCAATCTCAAAACCCCGCCATCCCGGGGTGCACTTTCTCAAGACAGGAATGGTCGCTAAGCATGTAAACAAAAAAAGATGGTGGGCAAACGACGTGTTTTGGCGATTAATGCTCTTCTAGTCTCACTTACTGCTCTTGATGCAACCTATCAGTGCTGTGGCTGATATCAAAGCCTCCACCAAAAGCAGTTGGAACGAATTTGATTTAACACGAATCCGAACCCGGCCGGCTGAGCCGAGCAACCCGCCTCGGCGGGTCACCCTACTTAGCCCAGCTATCATATAAGCGTGATCAAATTAAAATGAGAGGTCTTATGGACAGGCGGGTTACCGGTCCCCCATCTCCATGACAATAGGCCCTTTAAAACTATTGCTTTTTTGCCGTTCTCGTTGCCATCGTCGTTGCCGGTACTTAAGCGTTAAGTTCCCTATTTTTGCCACCTGGGAAACTTCACAAAACTCATGACTTCTTATGGTGGGTCGTATCTGGCGTTAGCTGTGTTACATTGTATTTTATGAAACTAGCCCGTGGAGACGGAAAGAAGAGTGGCAACAAGGTTGAACTTACCTGACTTCACCTTAATGTTCGTGATAGAACCACCTTAAAATACTGGCATAGTAACAACAAGTTTAGCTATAGTAGTTCCCAACATTTAGACGGTAGGGATTTTGCGAGCGGAGCGAAAGAAAAAGCAAGAAAAAGGCTACCCGTAGCACGCGATTCTGTCGGCGATTTAGTTTTTAGTGACTTGTACGAAAAGGTAGCGTGACTACAAGAAATGCTTGTTGTGTGTTGCATTGCAGATAGCAGACAATTTGGAAAGAGAGAAGAAATCCCGTGCAGATGTCGAAAAAGTTAAAAGGAAACTCGAAGGAGACCTTAAGGTGAGTAACTTTTAAACTCCTAATTAAGAGCGCCATAATTAGAATTCAAGGGAGTTCTTAGTTATAAATATTGACCAAGTGAAGCCTTGACCACTTTACGGCGAGATCATCATTTAGTCAATCCGGCTGACTTTGGAATCTGTGGGCAAAATCCTATGGTGGGAAAGCGGTCGTCATGCTGTCATGACACAAAGTCGTTTCGATACGACCTCAAGCACTGAAATTACGCAAGAAATTTCGATCACTTCAATTTTAGTTTGTGCGTAGTGAACAGAGAGAAAACATTTGGGGTGACGATTCATCGTTCTGTAAGCCAACTATTTACTCCTACAGTAGTGATTAAACTTGTATCCAAACGACCGGTAACCCATAGTGTCACCGCTGAAATGAAACATCTGTAGCCGAACTTTTACATAGTAATATTTATTTCTTAGGATGTACATAAAGAAATCTGATTTTTTTGGTGAATTTTTTATTTGGCCATTGTTAGGGGTGAAAGTGTAAGGTTCAATTAGTAAATGTATGCAAGTCAACTTCAAACCAAGGGTGACGTAAATTGGAAGAGTTACTAATCGTATAAATATAATAAATATACTGACTCTATTTTTCATTATTTTTGTGTATTAGATGACCCAAGACAACCTGGAAGATGTGAAGGGTGAAAAATCGCGCCTTGAGGACGATTTGCGCAAGTAAATGTCTCGATTTTCCCAGTGTCTTTTGTCTGAAAAACTTCTAAAGGTTTTATAAATTAAACTTACCATTGTGTCTGATTATGCCCGCAGGAAAGAGCAAGAACTCAATGAAAGCAATGGCAACAACGAGAATCTTCAAGCGCAGATCGATTCTCTTAAAAAGAAGATCAGAGAATTAGAAGTATGTTTCTCGCCCCCCCCGGGGGGGGGTACTCGATATATCCCTGGATGGGGAGGTGCGGCGCGGCCCCTCATACCCTGACCCTGTTTAAGACAAATATCGCTGATTTTCCTACCCTGTTTAAGACAGAATTCCGATTTTTGATACCCTGTTTAAGACATTTATCCTGTTTAAGACAAAAATTGATAAATCGATACCCTGATTAAGACAAAAAATGATAAATTCGATACCCTGTCTAAGACAAAAATCCCGAAAAACATACCCTGGCTGGCCGCACGTCCCCATTAAGCCCTTATAAGGGAGTACCCCCCCCCCCGGGGGTTTCTCGGCCCCTTTTCTTCCAGTCTGTATCTTGTATGCCCATGGCAGCGTATAGCCGTCGCATTTGCCCGTTGCAATTTTTTATTATATTGATTGCCATTAAGGGTATACACCCTAATTAAGCGGGTGCTTAATTTCAGAGTACGTTCATCAAGTAAATCTGATTTGAAGAGAACCTCACGCTTTAATGAGTCATTACTCATGACTTTGGGACAATACTAGATAGAAAATTTCAGTTAATCCTCTAAGTCCCAATAGTCACCAATGTCAATTTCTCCTAACGATATCCATACACTGTCAAGAGATTAGGATATGAGAATTAATAAAACGATCACTAAAGAAAAAATGCCTTGGGCCCGGTTCCTTGAAAGATGGTTAAGTTTAACCCAGGATTAAACCACATTTCAAGCATGGTTTTCTAGTCTAAGAACATGCAACTCAAGGTTACAAAATTCTGGTGAGCCTTTACCACGAGATACAGGAATGATAACACAAAATGTTACCCTAAGCGATGCAGAAGACTGTAAAATACAAAAACGGAACAAAATTGAAATCCTGGGTTCACGTTAATCGGCCTTTTAGGAACCGGGCCTTGATCATTTATCAAATTCTCTCAACACAATCTTTAAGAAAATGTATGGAGATCAGTTTGGAGAATTTGTATGTGGATATTGGATATTAAAGGGTTAAAGTTTTAGTTACAATTCTTATGCGAGTGCACTCCTGGCTCCGCCGGTTCAAACACCGAATAGCGCTCTCCATCGGATAAATTACTATTCAGCGGATAAATATTAGGGAAACCAATTGCACTATCCACTGGATAGAGATTTATCCTTTGGATAGCGTTATCCATCTTTCGAACAACTAGGCCCAGTTCATTAGGCAATGAAACCTTCTAAAAAGCGTTAACCAACTGAATATGTTGTTTGTGCTCGTCACGTTGTGGCCTTGTTAATTGGGTTTGACAGTCTTCTATTTTCGGTTAAGTCCTTTGCGAGATTTTCTTTGTGAGGTTTTTTTTTCTGGCTGAATTTTAATGAATCATTAACTAAACAGTTAAAAAACCCTCTTACATGCAGTTATGTAGTTATGCATTCTTTCAAAGTCACGAGGTGGTAATTCTGTCGCTGTTCCGAGCGAATGAATAGGCGCGGTGTTTAGTGCACTTCTGCGCTGAAATTTAGCGTTTTGTTCGGTTATCTTCTTTTGAATTTAACCGCTTTAAAACATGTGGGAAGCAGAATGTGACAAGTACAAATTCTTTGACTCTCCGGTCAAGGAATCGGCTGAATTGGCTGTAAGTAGATCGATCTTCTATGTCGCGTGTAAGATAAGGAGATTTAAGACATTCCAGGCAATTTGCACCACTCTGTAAATGTGCCCCTGTGTTTATAGTCAGCACAAGCCTGAGTTTAAAGATGCCAAGGCAAAACTATTCGCAGTTACCAGAAGGACAGTGAATTCTACAGTGCACGCTCATAGTATTTGGTCGGAATAGCCAATTGTATTATGTTTGACGTAAAGTGTTATGACCTCAGCAGCCTGTTAACAAGGTTTGAGTGTTTCAAAAACAGTTGTATTCGTTTAACTGACATCTGTATCTCTCTCTTCATTTTTATAGGCCAAAGTCGAGGAACTCGAGGAAGAACTTGAAGCTGAGAAAAATGCGCGAGCCAAGGTGCGAGGCAATTTTTTTAATAGTTAATTGCCAGATGTTGTAATATTTTGCTATGAGTATGTGCCTACATGTCTGGATGTAGGCCGACAACACAAACTGCTTACCGACTGAACAACTGATTTGAATTTGAATAACATTTTTCTCGCTTTTGCAAACACCGGATTACGCAATTACGACCTTACGCTAATTTAAATAATTCTGGGAATTCTGCGTTCATTTAGCGTTACTATAGACATCTTTGACCATAGATTAAAACTTTCCATCGCAGAGTCCTTTTAAAAATGCGCCTTTTGTTTTCTCCTTTTGCGCCTTTCTTAATGCGCCTTTTGTTAAGCAACTTAAAATGTAGTGGCATCTTTAATTGTGATCTGGACAAAGTTGTTATTTGTTTCACTCCCACTAAACGAAGTCAAGGAGAGATTAACGTCACTTGAGCGTTTTTAAAATTTTGTTGGTAAAATCCTATGGTGTTAAACTGGCTTCGTTACCTATAAATAGTACTATTTATTTCTCAGAATTTTACCCCACAAAATGCGAATTTTCCGTGCACTTTTCTTCGGCCACCATAAGAAGTGAAGGGTTCATGAGAAGGGAACTTTTGTACTAATGCACTCCAATAAATTATGGACGCACGACGGGTTTTTCTAACGGGCGTTTAATTGTAAGCACTGAGAAACATTCCAATAAAACCTCTTCATCAGTATTTCCAATGGTACGATATGACTTTTTGCAATTTCAAAAGAGATGGTTAAATGAAATTTATCGAACTCTAGTGTGATCTAACGTAACTAAGTCGCGTGTCGGTGTTTGTGGGGGCTTCATCTTTGTTTCCAATTAACCCTTTATGAGTTTTCATGTAGTACCGGAAGTATCTTATATTTCTCAAAGAACGTGTTCACATGCTGGTATTAAATGTTGACTCTTTTAAATCCTTTTCACTGTCAGAGTGAATGATGAAGTCTTGTAAAGCGATCCTAACTTTTGAGTCTGAGGACGAAATTCTGTGATGTGACCATTCAAATGAAATCTGAGCGGCATTTCTGTAACGTGGTGCTATTTGTGTTTCAGCATTTTACATGATGAAATTTGGCAATTTTGCCTAAATTTGCCTTTCGCCAAAAGGGGTTGAAAATTCGTACGATTGGGTTTGATTTTTATTATCACTTTGCTGACTTTACCCTCTGGATCCAAAAACCCGAATGCTTGTAACAACCTTGTCACGCATAAATTATCTCCAATACAATTTTTTGATGATATAATTCATTGCGTAGTTGAGTTCAATGTATCAGTTGGGATGCTAATGCTAACCACAATATAATTCAAGTCAATCATTGTACGAATCGTTTGTAAAATAACTGAAATTTTTCATAATATACGAATATTGAAAGATTTTCATACTTACTCCCCAGGATACCCAGGCTATCAGTTGCTCAGTTTAATTTGCTAAGTTTTCAATCTGTTCTGAAACAGGCCGAGCGCGCTCGAATGGAGCTTGAGAGGGAGTTGGACGACTTAAATGAACGCTTGGAAGAACAAGGCGGCGCCACCCAAGCTCAGGTAAAAAAGTGGCTTTATGGGGGTAGTCTGCGTGGTAAGAGAAATGAAGGGGAAGGGGGAGGGTTTCCTTTAATCGGAAACGCTTGCTACACAGACTATTATGGAGGTAGCACGATAACTGGTGACTCCGTCGCGGGCAAAGTAGAAACATTAACCAGGATCGAACATTAATAGGATGAACCCAAAGCTGATTAAAAAATTGCCTTTAGGAGCAGAGTCCTACGTAAAAATTACATGGAAGGGCTTTTTCACACAGTCCCAAGTTCTTTTGTATTCTATTGTAGTTATTAGGCTGATTGATTAATTTATCATCCATCATTCTAACGTTTATCCTTATCAGCTATGCTTCGGCTTATATCTTGGCACGTTATTTTTTTGCTGTTCTCAGATGGAACTCAACAAGAAACGCGAAACTGACATCACAAAACTCCGACGAGAACTCGAAGAACAGGCCTCCCAACACGAACAGTCCGTCAACAGCATGCGAGCGAAACAAAATGCGGCCTTACAAGAACTTCAGGAGGATTTAGATGCTTTGAAGAAAACGAAATCGAAGTGAGTGTTTCGTGTTACCGCGGAGATGACAAGAAAGGCTCTAACCTTTTTCACGGTGACTTTCCTATTTTCGCGACCAACAGGTCATTTAATTCTGTTTTTCAGAATCGAGAAGGAGAAGAACGCTCTGCAGAGTGATAATGATGAACTTGTGGGAAACCTAGAGACACTGGAAAAACAGAAGGTAGCGTTGCTTCTTAAAGGCGCGTGATACTTCGCAACGATTCGCAACGACGATAGCATTACAACATTGTTGCAACATTGTTCCAATATTGCAACGCTGCATGTGTTGCACTTAAAATCGTCCTTGCGAATCGTCTCCTGTAAAATCGCACCTTAAACCTATACGAAAAAAAAAACGGTGTTAAAGCAAGGGTGTCTAAATTTATTATTGTTGTTATTATTACTATTATTATTATTATTTTTTCTTTTCGTCCAAAATTTCAATGAACCCTGCAATATATTATGAGAGGGGAGGTTACCTTCAAATCATAGCTTAGTGTATTTCGACTTCTGATGTTGCGTTAATCGTGGACGCGGTTGTTTTCATGTACGATACTTTGAAAACGGATCTCCAGATCCAGAATTGGGCGGGCGCTTCTCTTTTGTTGAAACACTCCTTCTCTTCTTGTTTTCAGATCCAGTGGGACAAACAGAACCGCCATCTCGAAGAACAGCTCTCTGAGCACAGATACCAGGTAAATGCACGTCACCAGTTAAGGAGAAGAAGGGAGAAACACTCGACTACAAGTTTCAACCTACACTTCTTTCGTGCTCTAGCCGGCTTCCTGTGCGCTTATCAACAGAACAGAGGTCAATCAAGGCTTCTTAATTTGTTAATTATTAATTGTTTGATTCGTAGGTGGACGATTTGAAGAAACAGGTTGGAGATTTGTCGGTCGTTAACTCTCGTCTTGATAAGGAGGTCGCGGATCTTGGATCCAAACTCGAGGAGAGTGAATCCAAATTTGGAAGTCTTACGAAAGCAAAGAAAGGTCAAGATCAGACAGTCGAAGAACTAAAGAGAAACATTGAAGATGAGACTAGAGTAAGTGGTTGTTTCTCGTTAAAAAAAAACGTTTGCGGAAAACTCGGTTTGAAAGTGAACTGAACACGAATCGCAGTGGAAAATTTCCGGGAGCAACGGAATGTAAAATGAAGTCCTGTTTTTCTGGACGGAATGTTCCAAGCGGTAATCTGTTCCATTTCTTCAAAGCTGTCTTTGATATCAGTTTCAGGCTTTCGCGGCCTTTTTACGGTAAATGGAACTGACTTGTGTAAATAATAAATTTACGCAATTCCGGGACGCAGTTAAAGGGGCGCCTTCAACCTGTGTGCATTGCGGTCGTACACCTCCCCGAATACAGAAATCAAGAAGGTGATTTGTGTGCTTGATAACAGGATTGTATCTATGTTTCTTTTAAGAAGAGTATCACAGCCTGCTATTGCCTTAGGTTGTGAAGATACAGTCCGATTTTCAAACACAATCAGAACGTTCTTAATTTCTGTATTACAGCAAATGATTTCGGTGAAGTGCACGACCGCGATGCACTCTGATTGAATTAAGTGCCCCTTTAATCACTCCTGAATTTTGCTTACCATTTGCCCAAACTGAGAACCGATAGGGTTTGCCGATGTAAATGGTAAACGGCCAGTGTTACCAATTTGTTTTGAGATGAGTGGTTTACTTTGACCACAATAAACTTCGCAACGTTTGTAGCACAGTGAAGTGGTGACAGCCGTTAATTACCGTGCGTTGTTCCTTTCGTTAGCTTAAACTCGACGCCCAGAGCAAACTGAGGAATGCCGAAGCAGAACTCGACAACATGCAGGAACAGATCGAGGAGCTGGAGGACGGAAAAGCTGATCTGCAGAAACAGCTTGCGAGAGCCAATGCAGAGCTCTCTCAGATGAAAGCCAAGTTTGAACAGGAAGTTTCTGGCAGGCTTGAGGAACTAGAGGACGCCAAGTAAGCACCAACAAACACTTTTCACGTCCGGATGTTATAATTGTATCGTGTGTGCGGTTGATTCAATTTAGACTACGAGCCGTTAGACTATCTGCTCACAACCTTAGCCCTGTCACCCCTAGAGCTGGCCAAGCACTTTTAAAAGAACAGCTGAAGAGGTTTCATTTGAATGGTCACACCATTTATTTCGTCTACAGACTTCAAAGTTAGAACTTCACCCTAAATAAATGGTACCATGTGACAATATTGTTGAAGAGGTTTCATTTGAATGGCCACACCATAGGATTTCATCCACAGACTCAAAAGTTAGAACTACATACTAAATAAATAGTACCATGTGAAAGTACTGTTGAAGAGGTTTCATTTGAATGGTCACAGCATAGTCACACCATAGGATTTCGCCCATAGACTCAAACGTCAGAATCACCAGTGCCAGAAGGGCGGTAAATTACTATTGAGGGATCACGATGCCAAAGGAACATTCGGGATCTCGTTTACTTCCTCATTGATGTTATATTTTTTTTAGCGGGGTGGGGGGCTGCTTTATCGGCTCGTATTCCCTCAGCAGTCAGTCACCAAACCCGACCTAGAACAGGTCCTCGCAGGTCCGGATCAGCGATACCTGGACGTAAAATCGGCCGTCGTGGTGTAGAAGTCGCTATACTGCCTCCGCATTCGTAGCACCCTCGAGTGTTTAGTTTGGTCTCCTTTGCACTGCGATCGTGCCCTCCCTATATCTCGCGATGTCTTTAAAAAGCAACCCTCGCAGGAGGAGTCCCGTCATAGTTGGATTCCGAATTTCAACTCAAATCTTAAAAAAAAAAAAGTGTTTGTCATGGCGAGGTCCCCGTAAAGGCGAGAGATTTTTCATAACATTATTTTTTAACGCTGATACTTTCTTGCAGGAAAAAGCTGACTCAGAAACTGGCGGAAACCGAAGAAGCGCTCTCCACCGCCTCGCAGAAAGCTAGCAATGCTGAGAAAGCCAAGAACAGACTTAATTCAGAGTTGGAAGATGCCCTTATCGACCTGGAGAAGGTTAGTTGAGTCAGGGCAAGGGAAGTGCCAGGGGCAGCCAACGACTTTTTCTCCATAAAATAACTGTTCAAAGGAGCAAATATCGCCCAACTGAAAATTTCTCAATCTCGAGAAAGGTGCAAAATTTCTGGATAACCGTTCCATTCGACTAAGATATTCGGAGTTTTAAGGTCAGCTCCAAATTGACCACACATGCTTCTAAAGTATAGACAATTTATTTGGGACACTTCTGATGTGTTTCAAATCATTTTGTGGTTGGATGCCCCTGAAGTGCCAAACGTGAAATCCAGGCGTTTAGGGCTAAGCCCCTAATGGCCGAAGTCAGAATGGTTGAAAGACAACGGTACATGGTGGAATGTTAGCGGACGAGAAACTCAGAGAAAGAGAATTGTTGCTGATTGGAACCCAGTAAGGAAAGAGTGATGCATTTCAACCTCAGATACTTTAATGACGGACGCCGGTGCGTCGTACCAAAGGCGTCATAATGAGAAGCTCTTCGTGGGGAAAGAGAGGCAGGTTATACTCAGTTCTGATGAGGTGTTATTGAAACGTAGCTTTACAACGACTTTGTTCTAAAGAGAGAATCCTTGAAGCCTTTATACCATCACAGTTTTATTCAATGTAATTAAATCCGAAATGTCTTGGTGTTTGAATATCTTTGTAACAAGTTTATTTTTTCGTTTTCTATCGGTAGGCTCAGACAAACAGCGCCAACCTCGAGAAGAAACAAAAGAAGTTCGATCAACAAATCAACGAGTGGAAGATAAGATGTGACGAGCTGCAAACTGAGGTAGACAGTGCACAGAAGGAAGCTCGCAACTATTCCACTGAGGTTAGTCGTATTTTCTGTCAGTCATTCAAGCAGTTTTTATACATTATCGAAAGACGCTTTGCAATTGGCTGAAAAATCTCAGCTGACATTCATGATCAATCAGAAGTAGCACTATAACCAGTCCTTTGTTAGTTTCACTGGTTTTCCCGCGCTTTGCATCATACCTGTAGTTGCTTTGACTTTTGATTGGTTCATCAGATTATCAGCGCCTGTTATGATTGGCCGAAATAATAGAGAGATTTAAATCACGTTTACGACAAACGCGAACGGCAACTGTGCCACGTGATAATTTTATTATATATATATATATATATATGTAAAAATTAAGTAGTTTTATGTAGGGTTGATGGTATAAGAATTACTATGCACAGGTTTTATCTGCTTATTTCTTCAAACAAAATTAAAGGATTTGTCAAGTGAAATCTGTTAAATCTATCCGTTTGCCGTAGACTTGACTCTTGAACTCTCTAATAGCCTGTTTTTGATTTACGACACTCCATTTAAGCCATTCTTACCAACACTAGCAAATTGTTGTTTTCATTTTCTTTTCACACAGTTCTGGGAGCGTTAGAAACACTCTATGCTCTAGCAGTGCCTGGTGGCCTGTGGCACCTAACTTTTGCTCTCAGACGACTAGAAAATCTTAGTTTTATCATACAAATCATATGCTGGGCACCCTAGATTTTATAGGATCAGAGTACTGGGCTCCCTTTAACTTTCCTTAGAGCACAGCCTTGTGACTGAGGTCTTAAAGCTGATGTCAGGTTTTGTTTGGTTATAGATGTACAAACTGAAGGGTCTGAATGAAGAGATGAGTGAGCAGATTGAAGCGATGAAACGAGAAAAAAAGAGTCTCGAAGGTTTGATATTTGTAAATTGATACCTCTAAATCATAATGGCCTTTGTGTAAAAGCCTACGGAAAGCTTTCTTAGCGCGACTTTGTAAAATTGCATGCTAATCTTGTGTTTTGATCTTCGTGTACCAGCCGAGGTTGCTGAGTTGGCGGATCAGCTTGGAGAGGGCGGCAAGTCATTTGTGGAGACTGAGAAGGCGAAAAAGAGACTGGAGATGGAGAAAGACGAACTGCAAAGCGCATTAGAGGTAAAGTCATGCGTAATACACGTGACCTTTTATTACTTGATTGGGGCGACAGCACGGTGTACAATGGAACGCAGTGTTAAGGACACTTCATTTTGTTTTACAGGAAGTAGAAGCTGCTCTTGAAGCCGAAGAATCTAAAGTAACACGTGCGCAACTTGAACTCACTCAGTACAAACAGGAGGCTGAGAAGAGAATGGCCGACAAAGACGAGGAATTGGAGAACCTAAGGTATCTCCCGTACATTTAGCAGTCAGTTTTAACCAACTTTGTTAGATAGCTGTCTTCCACAAGTGGAGCGAATTCCTGGTTCTGATTGGTTACCCGAGCGGGCAAGAAAGCAGCCTGCGTGACAGGCGCCTGTCATATTTGATTAGTTTTTATAGAGCACGCGAGGGCAGCACGCGTGCGCGCGCGCGTCATCGAAATTCTCCCTTTACCCTAAGCAAACCGGCGCCTCCTACGCAGACTAGCAAGAAAGGCCAATATCCAGCCGTAGTGACCTCAAGCGGTTTTTTCAAGAAATTCGTTTCCTTTCTTTATAGAAAGAACCACAATCGTCAACTGGAGAGTTTGCAGGCTTCTCTGGAAACCGAAGTCAAAGCAAAGAGCGACTTGGTAATTATCAGCCGTTTTATATACTCTACCTTACTCTATTCCCTCTCAGGTGAAGAATTTTCATCAAATATCTTTTACTTGCTTAGTAATGAGCATTATCTTTATCTCTGGTTTATCAAACGAGTAGAATAATTTGGATCTTGCTTTTCCTGCTTCCAGATGCGTGCGAAGAAAAACTTAGAAGCGGCCAACAACGAGCTGGAAGTTAATCTGGACAACGCTCTCAAGGTAACTACGTCTTTGAATCATTGTCTTGTTCCATTTTTTAGTTTTCTCTTTGCAGTTTTTGTTTTTGTCTTTTTAATCCTGAGAATTTGTTTTAACCCTTTAAGCTCTAAGCTCAACATACAATTTCTCAACACTGGCTGCCATACATTTCTTGAAAAAATGGTTAAGAGAATTAGTTAAAAGATCAAGGCATATTTTCTTCAGTGATTTTTTTATTATTTCTCATTACCTTTCTACTTGATTATATACTGATTATTTACTGATTATTATTTGGAGAAAATTAATGTTGGTCACTTTAAGCCCCGTGCAAACGGGCGCAACAACTCTCAACAATGTTGCGTCCGTTTGCACGGGGCTAAAAGTTTGACCGGTTTCAAACTTTGCGCAACAACACGCAACAAAATCCAACAACATGCAACAGGGTGTGCAAACGGACGCAACATGTAACATCCAACAATGTTGGGAGTTGTTGGTCAACAATGTTGCGTCCGTTTGCACGCAGCCTTAGGGACTGAAAGAGTTAATGCGTTATTTTTGTTTTTGTCGTTAATCAGGCCAACGGAGAGTTCCAGAAGAACGTAAAGAAGCTGCAACAACAAGTGAAGGTGAGTTACCCGCAGATCAGCACGGCTGATAATGTTCTACAACTGTTACAGCATTTTCTAAGTGTTTAGCTAAGGTGAAGTACAAATCTGTGGCAAAGTTTCAGTGGAGGTTAAAATTGGTCATAACGAAAACTCCAGGACTGATGATTCTCATAATTCCATTTTCAATCCTTGGTCTTTTTCACCCTAGAGTATACTTCTTAAATTGTACGTTATAACAACAACTGCAACAACGTGCTCATTATGTCATCTTTATTTAGGATCTGCAATTAATGTTGGAAGAAGAACAGCGTGGCCGAGATGAAGCCCGAGAAGCCGCGTCCAAAGCTGAGCGACGCGTTGGTGAAATCAACTCTGAGCTGGAAGATTTGCGTGGCCAATTAGAGCAGGTATAATGGTCTTATCTTCCACTGGTGGTACTTGCTTCCCTCTCCGCTAATATTGTAGATAAGAGGTTTCTTTAAACTCTTTCTATGAGGCCTAGTTTAAACGTCCATTTTTTTCCATATACCGAACCTAATCCCTATAAAAAGGTACATGGAAAACATCGACATGTGAATCAATTAACTCCGACATAGCTAATTTTGGTCGACTCATGAATAAGTTCGAGTGCCCCACATGGGAATTTCGACTGTGGAGCGTTTCAAACGTCGATATTTTCACGTGCTGAACCTAATGCATAAATTACTATAATCTATTTTCACTGGTAAGCATTTTAGACCATTGTACATCGTGAAATATACGTCTTAATCAACCGTCGAATTTGTTTCATTTGGGTAGACCCCAGATAGTTATTTAGTTCGGCACATGAAACGTTCGGCCTCGACGTTTAAACAGGGCCCCATAAGATTAGATAGCCGGAATTAAAGGTAATGTAGATTTCATGCGTTAAATCATTCATGAAAAAAATGTGTCCCGTGATCGTACTGCCGAGGACCTTGCCTTTGAATGGTCAAGATAATGAAGATTTCATCCAGCCCGATTAAAACGTTTAATTTGCTCAGCATGTCCCCTAGTTGATTCTGGAAAAAGCGCGTTAAAAGTATGCTTGCTAAACATGAGGCGTTTTTGTTTTTTGAAAGGCCGAGCGTCTCCGTCGGCAAGCCGAACAGGAGCGTCAAGAGGCGGTCGAAAACTTGTCGGCGGCTCAAAACCAAGCGAATACTCTTTCTCAAGTCAAACGCAAGCTGGAGGGAACCATCGCCCACATGCAAGAAGAAGCAGAAGACCTGGAAAATGAAGCCAAGAACGCTGATGACAGAGCCAAGAAGGCTGCTATAGAGGTTAGAGCCTTTTAAATTTCCAGAAAAAATTAAACGATGTAACCCGAAAAACAGAGCCAAAAACATGTGTGGTTATACTTTATTCGCAGAACTACTCGGCCGGGATACGTGGCAGTTACCACGAATCTTTAGATTATTTTGACAACCCCAAAAAATCCCTACTAAAATAACGCCATCTGAAAAAAATACTTGCCAAATATTCCTACCCAAAAAGTATTTGGGAATCAAAATTTTCAAACCCAAAAATATCCTTTGACCATCGCCGTCACTTGAGTAGGAGTACCCCCCGGTATGTTTTCTGTATATTTTTAATGGACTAAAAGCCCAACAATTTTTTATTTTCCAGCTGGCCCGTGTACAACAAGAACTGTCACAGACCTTGGATCGTTTGTCCAATTCAGAGAGAGGACGCCAATCAGCCGAGCGCCAATGTAAAGATCTAGAAGTAAAACTTGAAGAACTCGAGGCTCAAGGCGGCAAAGCTCTAAAGAATCAAATCAAGAAATTAGAACAAAGGGTAAGCATTTGAAAACAAAAACTTAGGTTCTGGTAACAGCGTGCAAATAAAGTACTGTCCGATAGCCCGGGGCTAGTGAATTTTGCTATCAGGCTAGTGAATTCTGTTTTTAACTTGCCCGACGGGCAAGTGATGTTTTATGAGGAATTTGAATAACAGAAAAGCAAAAAGTTTTTGGGGCTAGTTGAAATGACGTCTGGACTAGTAAATGCTAGCTTCAGCTTGCTCGAATGGCAAGCTGTAAAAATGATTTTCTTCGCACCCTGCGGTAATATATTATCACAGTCAACTCTGTCTATGACAGATACAATTGAGCCAGAGCCGACTAGCACTGCGTTTACGTCTGAGAGAGTAGTCCACCATCTAGGGAGATAAAAAAGGAATGAAGAAAGGCGGGGATGTGTATGGACTGAATACATGAAAAGGATATTTGTATTATCCAGTCACGCAGTATCGCAATACATAACCAAGTGTGCAAAGATAATTTTAGCATTTGACCACGGGTCGGGGGGACTATCTCAATAAGCGGAACGCTTGACTGCAGAGAGGTAGGCCGCGGGTTCCATTCCGAAGCTGCGGGAGCACTAGCTCAATCGGCGGAACGCTTCGCTTGGCTGCAGAGAGGTAGACGGTCCCCAATACGTTTTTCGGGATGCGGGACTCGCCCGATTTCAAGGCCGGGATTCGAGATTTTAAAGCCAAATTGGGGCGAGATTCGAGATTGAAGAATGCCCAAAATAACTACTGAGATTACGGGATTGAGGGAAAATTTGGGGACCCTCGAGGAAGACGGCGGGTTCAATCCCGAGGCAGGACCACTTCTCAGGGTTTTAAAATAACTAGAAAGTGAAGTTACTGTCTTTGCCCTGCGAACGGCTAAACCTTCACGTTGCTCGGATGAGCACGTAACTGGTGGGCTGTCCCGTCTCCAGCTGAAGGCGTTAACGTAGTGTCCTCAATTAGTACTTGGTGCTAAATACATTGACACTCAAATAAAGTGTTTTGTTTTCACACCAGGTCAGAGAATTGGAAGTAGACCTTGACAATGAAACAAGACGAGCTGGAGAAAACCAGAAGAATTCCAAGAAACAGGAGAGGCGTCTGAAGGATGTACTCCAACAACAAGAAGAAGATCAGAAGAACCTTCAGCACTTCAAAGACCAGATCGACCGCCTCAACAAGAAGGTCAAGAGCACGAAGGCCAACCAGGAAGAAGCGGTAAGATTTCGGTTCTGCTCTTACTACTTCCGCTGTGGTGTTCTTATGCATCGCTTTTTATTTGCCGTTTCACTGCCAGAATTAATCAAGGTCAAAAAAGGACAAAAATTTCAAGTTCTGTTTTGTAAAATACTGGCAAAACAAATAGTACCATATGAAAGTGCTAGTGCCGAGGTTTCATTTGAGTGGTAACACCTCAGAAGTTCGTCCACAGATTTAGCCTGTTCCAGGCTCTCAGATTGTGGGGATGACGCATAAGTGAAAGACGCGCGAAAAGGGGGTGGTTCCTCCCTTTTTATTTTCATGATCGCGCTTTCTCAATTTCGCAGACCCGACTATCTCGGAGCCTGGAACAGGCTACGACAGATTCGAAAGCTAGAACTCCATACTGAATAAATAGTACCATGTGAACATACTGTTAAGAGGTTTTATTTGAATGTTCTCACCCAAGAAAATCCTCCACAGACTCAAAAGTTAGAATAACCTTACAAAACTTTCCATCACTGATTCGCTCTGGTTGTGAAAAGGTTTAGTCTGAAGTGTCTGAAGTACCAAGCTAGGTAATTAGCGAAAAAAAGAATTAAAAAAAACAGCCGAAAGGGTTTTAATTGAGTGCCGGTCTCCTGGATATTGCAACATGAAATCTCCTGGTTTCCCGTACTGGTCAGCAAAAATCTCCCGGACAAAACTGAATTTTAAGCCTTTATTTTCTTTTTTTTGATTTAGTTGGAATCACCCCCATATTTAATTTTGTATCATAGTTCGGTTTCTGTGGCATTTCTTATACGTTTCATCACTGACAAGACCATCTCGTCAAAAACGCGAATTTCGACAGTTTGCACCTCATGCAACACTTCGTATAATGTCCACATATAGTGTCGTGCCGATGAAAGAATTCTCAGGGAGAAGTTTAACAATGGGCGATTTGAGTGCAAAAGTCTCATGTGTCTTTCTTATGTTTTCCTTTCAGGAGAACCTAGCCGCCCAGTATCTCGCGAAAGTGCGTAAATTGCAGAAAGACCTGGAGGACGCTGAGGATCGTGCAGAAACCGCTGAGAGCGCCCTGAGCAAGGCCCGCAGTCGCGCCCGTGCTGGCGGTGGAACCGCAATCGGCAGGCAGACTTCTCGAGAGGTCTCTAGGCCTTTAAGTTCTTCTTCGCACCTTATCTATCGTTCTTATCCATCCTCGTTACATTTACTATCGTCTCCATCATCAAACAGACTCAACAGACTGACCGACAAATACTCGAGTTTTTATTAAGCTTATAAGCGGTTGTAATGCATTTTCTAATAGTTGAGGTGATGACTGAAGTTACTTCGCTGATTTTCTATGATCTTCTGTTTCTGTAAATAAGCTGTTTCTGAAGGAATTTACTCCTATCTCTCTTTGGACTTAACATCTTTTCTTTATGTTTTTCGCAATGTTTCTTCCTATCTTGTTCAGTGTTCGTTGTCACTGGCATCTCGCCATGTCATTCAACGATTTTTCTTCCCCCTCTACTCCCCCACAGTACTTCTATCACTACCCCTGTAGGTAGCCCAGTTACACAGAATCCATGTAAAGATACGCTTAATTTTGCTGTTGGAAATAAAGCTTTTCCTTTTAAATTGTCCTTCCCATTTGAGCTTTTATAATCTGCAAGAATTACAACCAAGAAAAGTCTCAAAACTGTCTGAATTTGTTCTTGATGAAATGAAGACTTATTTGGGCTAAATGTAGATAAATGTTTGATTTGTTTGTCGACGAATTATTGGCTTGCTCTGAGTAGATAAATTGTCAGAAAACGAGGTGAAAATTGCATAGGTGCGGGAATGTCAATATTGATCACAAATATTATGCGTTGACAATTCACCTTTTCCACACGAAAAAATAGAATTAGCATAAACAGAGGTAATCATTTATGAAAGGAAAACGCTCTGACAGCGTAGACAAACCTAATTCGAACTTGTTTCTCTGCAGATTTCTCCAAGTTTGGTATTTGCTCCAAACCACGTCCCGTTTTTATTACGATCTCTGATAAATATGACCTCTACAAATCTCCCATAAAGCTGACCTTTTGCTAATAAGTTGACGCCTCCCTCACACCCTTGCATAATCTATATACAGCGATTCTATGAAATTGACGTTTCTCCAACGAATTGGATGTTTGCTTTACGGTTGGGTGACATGGCGAGATCTGTAACGTATAAATTCAGGTTCTCTTGTCTACCTTTGTTGCAGTTACACACAATGAAGGTCCTATCTGGTGTTGTGTATGGTATCTTGAAGCTCTCAATTCCTCGTGATATTTTTAGTTTCTATCTCGTTCTGCTCTAACTCTTTTCATGCTCAGTAAGCTCAGAGTTATTTGAATGATCAACACTAGCTTGCTAATTAGAAACTTATAACTCTCATTAACGCTCTTTTCTTTAACCTTGTATTAATTAATCTTGTTTTTTTTTTTTTCATACGACTTACAGACTCACATCACACGCTGTTTGGTATTATATAAATTCGCTATTGCTTTTTCCCAATACGTATTTATTATGCAAAGATTAATTTCTTGAGTGACAAGTGTTATGTGCTGTCTTGTAGTTAAGCTAATCCACGTCAATATCTCTCCAAACGGTGGTACTGTGAATCGACGTCTCCACAGGACTTGACTCGGCTGTCTCTTCATTTTAAGCAACTAAATCGCTCAGTTACGCTTGCTAACTTTGACACGTTCCATTTTCTATACGTGTAGATATTGGCTGCATTCTTTCGTTCTTTGATAAGTCTGAAAATGTTCCTTGCCCTAGCCGTCCTTTCTTCTTCTTAAACTTTTTTCTTCCATGGAAGGATTTGTTTTTCTTGCAGTGTAGGTGATGATTTACGCACTAACGTCCGTTCATGTCAACCTTTATTTTTCTCTTAATTCTCAATTTACTATGAGTAATGTTTTAACGATAATGATGTTAACTTACCCTTACCCCACTCTCAAGTTTTTCCCTCGCCTTATCTTTAAACTATTTGTTGTTTTAATGTCTTACGAACTTTGTTCTCATTGTTAACTAAAACTGCATCGTCCACCCATTTATAATTGCCCTTTAATATATTTTCCCTGTATTTAACTAGTTTGGTTATGTCTGAGGCTTTGTTATGACTGTCTCTAAATCCAGCTAACACTAATGTTCCTTAGGGATTTAGTATTTTGACCGTTAATTGCCGATTAATTAAGTATATATTTTCACTGGGCGAGACAGTAGTTATAAATTGTAGCTTCATTTGTGGTATTAACCTTTTGCTCTCGGCATGTTTTATGCCACAGAGGCTGCGCAGTCCCACTCCTTCTAGCCCTGGAGGCGAGGAATGAAGAGCTCTCTTAGGTAACTGATTCAATCGGTCCGTCACCACTGAATCAAATCATCTCATTCTGTCGTACTCGAAGTCTCACCCACAAAGGCAATGTGGTCTTTCACTTCATTTGGCAAGAGTCAAGAGTCACTTGTTCCACTAAAACTCGTAACTTGCCGATCATCTTACAGCGCATATGTGGCCAGTGCATAGCTTGTTTCACTAACTTATGCTTGTAACGCAGAGATCATACTTCACTTCATTTGTTGCCCATTGAGTTTATTGTTCCACTAAAGATCTTAGCTCACCGATCATCTTACAACTCATTTGTGGCCAGTGGGTCGCTTGTTTCACTAAAGCTCGTAACGTAGCGATCATCGTTCAGTTCAATTCTGGCCTTGTGACTGGCTTGTTCCACTATAGATCGTAACTCGCCGATCATCTCACAGCTCATTTGTAGTTCAGTCAGTAGCTTGTTTCACTATTGCTCGTAACACAGCCATCATTAGTCAGTTCATTTGTGGTGCAGTGAGTGGATTGGTCCACTACAGATCGTAACTCGCCGATCATCTTAGTTAAAGCCCGCGAGTCGACTGTTCCACTGAGAAAGTAACTCAACGATTATCTTACAGCTTAAATCGCTTGTTCATGTAAAGAACATCTTTTAATTTCATTTCTGCCCCAGTGGATCGCTTATCGCACTAAAGCTCGTTATTCACCATTCATCTTGCTTATTTGTGGCCCACTGATGAGTTGCTTTTTGCACTAAAGCTTAAACCGCACTCAGTTATCATCTTTAAACTCGATAAATTTTGTGGCCATTAAGCGGCATTGTGCGGTCGTGTACCACCTACTTCTCTGTCTCATTTTGTGTGGCTGTTGTTGCCTTTCATCTCCGCTATGTTAAAGTCACTGCGCAACGTTGCAATACATTGTGCCATTTTTGACATGGATGATAAGAAGCTTGCGCCTTAGTGCATGCATGTAACACTAAAGTAGACGTCCCATTGGTCATTGCAAGCCATATTTCATCTTGTTCTGCCATGCATAGAGCCATATTCCACTCAAAGCTCGTAATGTATCAGTTTATTTCATTGTATGCTTATGTCCTTGTCAACCGTTCGACTTGGTTCCATCTTGCACTGATCTCGCCCAGTGAAAGTACATCACTGCACCACACTTCACTCGTCCCCTGAACTCTTGACTGGAGCCATTATTTCTTACATTGGTACTTAACTCTCTATATACCCAGCAACACACTTTGCACACTTGTTTTCTGACTTGAACACTTGCACTGTAGGGTTTCACAGAAAATTTCTTCCAAGTGGACAAAACAGGACACTTGCACGATTTGAAATCGGCGTTTCACAAACACTGTCACAGCACAGCAACGAACCTATGAGTGCTCGTTTTTCAAAGCAAAAGAAATCACTTGTGTGCAAAGGGATGTTTTCTCGCAATAAGTTGCTAACCTAGGTATTTGGCACTTTATGGGTAGGTTTCCTCTATCGTCCCTCCACAGCCAATAAGTTCGAGCACGCCCTTCAGAAGGGTAAGCACACTTTCTCCCTTGTCATGTTGCTTTGGTACAATGATACCTTTGATGGCTTTGTTAATCATTTGATTTGCTTTTTAACCAACCTTGTATGTTATCCTACTAAAAGGGCCGAAATGTGTTCCGTTTCTCCAGCGCAAGGAACAGTCTCCGACTTCAAAGACTAACTAATTAGTTTGCCGTGTATTAAAATAGAATCAACAGTAACCCGCGAAACTTTGACACTGAAAGAACTGCTCGGTAGCTTAAGATGAAAAGGTCACATGCATTTTAAGATTTTGTCTCCAGAATTAGAATCAAGGAAGAAACACCATTTCCAGAGGAACAAGTTTCACTAGACGATACAGTACTTCTCTCGTCATCTCTGGAGTAAAAGCCTCACTCTACTATGAAAATAATCCTTGCTAGTTAACCAAGATGGTTGCACATACTCTCGGTATGAACCCTAACGTGATAAAAAGCATTGCTTTCTTGCGATGCAGGAGACGAGCGTAGTAGGATAAATGTGGTTCTTTACCCCGCCTACCTGTCCCAGTGATGACAGTTCAATAATCCTGTTTTCACGTCGCGTTCATTAAAACTACTTAGCAGTTCTTTCATTTGCTTAAAGTAAAATATTTAATTTACCTTAAATTCATATTCAATTTAACCTACACTTTGCCTTGTTTCCTTTTCTCCGCAGTCTTCCTTCAGCCGCGGCCTGTCTGCGTCTGGACGCAGCCACTCAGCAACCTCAATGGACGATAGTATGGAAGCTTAGAATTTAACTGAAAATTTATCATTAGGACTAAATGCGGCTTGAAGTTTAAAATGATTACAGGACAACTCATAGTCCGCTAGGTTTCAATTATCAAATGCTATTTTTCTACATGTTTTTTTTAAGAACAAAGATATTTAGAGGATAGTTAGGCCTCGAAAATATTTTTCTACAAATATGGAATGTAACTATCCATAACCAATACTTCAGCTAGTTTGTTATACCGTTTTTAGGAGAGTATGTAGTAACTAGAACTATTTTGTCAACAAAAAATATTGCAGCCAATAAACTTCTGCTTAAAAAATGCTTTTTGCGTCTCTGTCTTTAGCCTTCGTAGCTGGCGGGATCATCACTGTTACTGCTGTTAATGGTTTGCAGCTGGTTCTGTAGCGGCCTATTGGTTGGCAAGAACAAAAGCGTTTACCCCCGCCAGGAATTTATCTCTTTACGTCATGGCAAATTACTCCTTCAAATTTGGTGTGAATTGCAAAATTGCCGTGGCAGCCATGGCAACGTTCCATACGTTTAGTGCCAAGATGACGTCGAAGTTTTTTAAAATGTTATGAATGAAGAAGTCAGGGCCTTAAACGACGCTTTAGAAAACCTAAACACACGAAAGAGCAAATCAAGAAGGATTCTAACAGGTATTTCGTCGAAAAATTCAGAAACTTGTAAACTTAAGCAAAATTTATGCTCTGAATTTTTCAAAGCGTGGTGTTCGCGATACGATTAAAAAATATATTAAAAACTCTATTTTGAGCGTAATTTGTCACCAGTGGTATCAAAAGGTAATCAAATGGTAAACTCGTGAAATTAGGGAATAATTTCACTTGCGTTTTGTCCAAATTGTAATAATTTCCCGAATCTTAAGGCGCGCGTGAAATTATTCCCTAATTTAACTCGTCCCCATTTGATGACATTCCGCCGCTCTCTCGGGCATACCCGAGAAGAGACATACCCGAAAGAGTGCGGGCTCATTTCCCGATCAGCGGCCAGAAATCGATCCTATGGCAGCCAAATCTCGATCTCGCAAGATTTGTTTTCGTAGTCTGAAAAACTTCAGTCGAGAGAACTTTGTGCATGATATGCAAATTGTGCCTTTCCACATAATTGATTTGTTTGATGAACTTGATGATAAGCTTTATGCTTTTGAGCAATTGTTTCTAAGTGTTCTCAATGAACACGCACCTATCAAGCAAACAATGATACGTGGTAATCAGGTGCCTTATATGACGGAACAATGGAGGAGGGCGATCAGGCATCGCAACAAACTGTGGAAAAAATTCACGCGCAATCGTACTGATGCAAATTACGAGGCATACAAAACTCAACGTAATACCTGCACCTCTCTTAGGCGAAAAGCAATAAAACAACACTTCGCGAGGAAAACAGCAGACACCGAACACCCGCGCGAATTCTGGTCTACTTTCCGCCCCTTTTTGCATACTAAAAGTAAGCAAGCCAATGACATTATCTTGAAAGAAAATGACAGGATTATTAGTGACAAAAAGGAGATTGCCAATCTGCTTAATGACTACTTTGTTCACATTGCTGACAGCATGCCTGAAATACGAGCAGAGGATTACGGTGAGGATTATGCAAATCATCCCAGCATCAAAGCAATCCATGAACACAGGGGTTCTAGTGCTCCAGCTTGCTTCAGTTTTCATCGCGCAAGTGAAACCCAGGTTGAGCTATTACTAAAAGAGATCAATGTACGTAAGTCACCTGGTCACGATATGATCCCACCAAAGTTGATTAAAGAAACGGCAGCTGTTATTGCGCGGCCTATAACAAGTATAATAAACTGTTGCATTGAACATTGCTGTTATCCTGCTAGCTGGAAGGTGGGCATGGTTACTCCTCTGTACAAAAAAGACGACGAGTTTTGTAAGATCAACTATAGGCCCGTAACTGTGCTCCCTGCTCTAAACAATATTTTTGAAAGGCTTCTATCGAGGCAGATGTATGAATTTTACAATGGGGTCTTATCAGACTTCATAAGCGCTTATAGAAAGTTTTATAGTTGCGAGACCTCTTTGCTAAGGTTGACCGAGGACTGGAGAATGATGCGTGACAGGGGGGAGCTTGTTGCGGTAGTTTCTATGGATCTCTCCAAAGCGTTTGATGTTATTCAGTATCCACTCCTCCTTTCGAAACTGAGGGCCTATGGTATGGACGACAAAAGTTGTGCCCTAATTAGGAACTATCTCTCTAGCAGAACTCAGAGAGTTAAAGTTGGAGACACCTTTTCGACCTGGGAAAGCGTCAAGCGTGGGGTCCCGCAGGGGAGTGTGTTAGGTCCCATGCTATTCAACATTTTCTTAAACGATCTTTTCTTCCACGTCAAGAAGGCCAAGTTGAACGCTTATGCGGATGATCATCAGGTATACTACTCCCACGTCGATCCGGCAGCTCTGGATGCATGCGTATCTCATGATGTTGGCGTGGCCAATCAGTGGTACCATGAAAATGGGATGTTAGTTAATGAGAGCAAGCACCAGTGTCTAATCCTCGGTGATACGGAGTATGGTTTTTCCTTCCCAGTAAAGGACATGTTAGAGATTTTTGGAATGGAAATAGATAATAATCTGAATTTTTCTAAACATATATCAAATGTATGCAAAAAGATTAATAATCAATTTAATGTTATGTTGCGCTTTAGAAAACTCATACGCAAGGAAATCTTATTCAAACTTTACAAAGCGTATATTTTACCTCACTTTTATTATTGCTCCTCTGTCTGGCACTTTTGTGGAGCGCGCGATGCGGATAAGCTCGAAGCTTTAAATAAAAGAATACTTAGATTTATACTTGGAGATTACTCGTCTCCATACAACACTCTTCTCTCAAAAGTCAGCTCTACTTCTTTGTTTAACAAACGCATTCAAAATTTCCTCATTCTGTTATATAAGAGTTTGTTTTTCACTCATTTTCCTACTTATATGAAGAATATGTTTTCACTCCGGTCCTCTTCCTATGATCTTCGTGGCAACTACATTCTTTCACTAAGTAAACCTAAAACAACTACCTATGGTCTTAACTCCTTTTCTTACTTTTCAGCTAAGCAGTGGAATGCACTGCCGGACTTTTTTCGTACCAGTTTTTTTGCAGACTTTAAGACTAAAATACAGGATGTTACCTTCATGTAGATTCTTTTTGCCTGACATACTTAAACTTAAAATTGTGAATTGTAAATGATATTTTCTTTCCTTGCATTTAATGTATATATATATTTTCTATATAGTTTTTATGTAGTGTCAGCTCGAAGATATTAGCTTGTTAGCTACTCTAAAATTCGAGTTTAAATAAAGTTTTATGTTATGTTATGTTATGTTATGTTATTGCGCAGCCATGCTTAAGAGTACAAGAGGATGGCTTCTTGTTATTAAGAACGATAAAGCAAGGTTTTTGCCTTATTGGCGTACAGTTCCGTCCCTTTACATAGAGGGTGTCCAAACAAGCGGATGACGACAGCCGAGGGCAGCGAAGCCCTAGCCCCGCCGGGTTGTAGCATCTCGCTCTGCCGCAGGGTATCCCGATAAAAATTGCAACAATCAGGAGACTTTGAAGAATAGACAGCGCGCGGAGGACCATGGGAAGAGGGAAAAGGAGAGAGTCTCGCGTGAGAAATGTATTTATGATGGTTTATGTAACTTTTTCTTTGGGGTGTTACATGGTCTGCTGTTCTGTTGCTTCATTAGCGGTAGGCTATATATATTTGAGTTGTTCTCATTTATATTCATTCGCGTCTTACGACCGTCCCTACGCCTTCAAAACTGAATACCCAGTGACCAGGGGTTTCTCTTAGACGTAGTTTTTTGCATGCTGCTATATGAAAGGTTTAGCACGTTTTGTATGTTTACTGAATCATTGTTACACGAGCATAGTTTAGATCATTTTGTAGGGTTGTTTTTCTTGCTGTAATTTTTTACATTGTCGAGTTTTCATTCTGTTTGTTGTATTATTTCCGTCCATTCTGTTGATGAAGGCATATTAAAGAGGGTCGCACACGGCTCGTGTTGACGCACTCCAATTGAGGTTGCTTGTTTGAGGGGGGTAGCGAATTAGAATATAAACGCGATTAGATTCCATCTCGAAACCCGCACTCGAGACCAGAACTGATCAAGTTCAGGAAATCGTGTTTGGGAGTCCTGCCGATCAAGTTATTTGATCTTTTCCTCTCGCGGACATCCTTGAACTCTGTAATCCGCTCCTGCCTTTTTCAGTTATCTTCATACCATTTTTTCAAGTGGGGAAGTCGGAAAAATGAATTACATTTCATCACGCTCATTAAAACGCGAGTGGTCGTCCTTCTTTCCTCCGAGCGACGCGCGGCGAGAGAAAAAGTAAAATTATGCACGCCCCTCACGCGTGCTTTCGACCTTCTTTGACCGAAAAGAAAAATGAGAGTCTTCTCTCAGTCTAAAAGCTCAGTGGTTTATCCCGGTTTTTCCGGTGTGGCTCAAGTGCCTGCTGGAAGGGATTCGATCCTCGGGGGGTACTCCTGAGAAATTCTTGTTGGGGACAGTGCCGCCGGGTTCTCCAAATACTCACCCAATTTCAGACCAAAAAGTAGTATTTCAGTTTTTCCACAAGCATTTTCAGACCTGGGCTCATGTTTACATAGTAATGACTTAACCATAATTTAATACGTATCGGTCTGTCATAATCACTTCGATTACATGATTACAACGCCAACCAAAATATTTCTTGAAATACATTTCAAATTCGAAAAAGACTCTTTCTTTCTTATTCACTTGGAATTGAAACGACAAATACGTTTTTACTCCAAAACCATACCCGATTCCATACCGAAACAGCCCAAACAACAAACCATTTAGGGCGGCTTATATATACCTATGAGACCTATATAGCTTATGGGTATCTGTGGGTATCACAGGAGTACCTCCAGGGATCGGTAAATAATCCAGCTAAATATCTGAAAACATGTTACTTTTTGTACCCACACCTCTATAAAGCTAAACCTATCACCCGTTTTGGTAAAGTTATTGGCTTTTGATCCTGAAAACCCTTAAGTGGTTTCAAAATCTTCAATTTACGTCCCTGAACGGGATGAGCATTCCGTCCCGCGATATTGAGGTTCTCCCCCGGGTAACTTGCTCCTTTCACCACCGATTGACAGATAAGAGAGGGGAGACGATTGCATAACCCTGAAACCCCGTCATAACCCATCCTCTAATATATTCAGGATTGCCTTTATCGGGAGTGATAATTTTAAAAGGCAGTTGATTGTTTAAGGTAAAATTGGGATAGCTCTCTCGAAGGATTTCTGCCTAAACGAAGAGTGTTATCTCTGCGTTAAAAATTTTCACTTACATCCGGAAGAACGACCTTGGAACCCTTGGGAATTGACTAACTTGATGAACGGAAACAAGTTAAAACAATAACTCTTTGTTTCTTAATGGAAATAAGTTAACATATCGGCATTCCTGATTGGTTCTTGTGTTCATGTGACTCGGGGGAAACTGTAAACAAAATCTTTGCAAGCACTGTGGCTTATCTTTCTCAATTATCTTCTGTTTCTGTGCCTGTGTTCTTTTTCTTTCCCTCCGTCTTTTACTTGAATTTTCGAATTTCTCTGGCTATATCAAAATCAATGATAGCCGCAAACCCCAAACTTTGTTACTGTCAAGTGTTGGGTTTTCATTACATAACTCTGCCTGTTCCGTGGGATCGGGCTGAGGGTTATTCGATTGTAGTCGTTACAGAGAACCAGTAATTATACAGCAACAAGAATCCGCGATGCATTTCAAGGCGCTCATGACGATTGTGCAGAGTTTGGACAGTGATACACACGGGATGAAACAGAGACGATGTCCCAATCGCTCCCTCGCTAGGCTGCAGACCTACCAGGTAAAATATTTTGTTTTGCGTTCAAGTGATTTTGCTTTACAGCTGACTAATCAGCTCTTTAAACACACCGCACTTGCTCATTCATTTTAATATGAAAGCACCCAAGCGCGATCAGTATTGAACAGTCTGTAGCCCGTCTTTTTACTTCGTTTCGTTCCGTGTCGAACTATTACAGAGAACATTGGTGCTTCAAATGTTAAAACCCAATTGCCCGATGCACATGTCCTGTGCATTGCAATCTTTGCTTTTCAATTTAATCCGCAGGCACTCCCTTCGATCGGTCCAGTTCAAATAAGCTGTGCAGTATTGTTTAAGACAAAAGCAGGGGTATAAAATATATGCGCATATTTAAAGTGTTCGTTTTTAAGAACAATCAAATATATTTTTCATTTTAGTACAGACTGTAATTTGACTGAATCATACGTGATGTTTAGGTGACCTTGAAATGGATGAAAATGTATTTGTCAGCAGCTCAAATCCGCTTAGCTACCCTTGTTTTCTTTCTTGACCTTTATTTTTATGCATATGTGCTGTAAATAAATTTAGTTTCTTCAACTGCACTTTTGTAGCTTTGGGGACGTCGTTGATGGTTACCGGGAATCCGAGCAACTGTCTTTCTTTCTTTTTTTTTTTTTAATGCAGCTTGTATTTAAACAAATTTCGGCGTTCAATGACATTCGCACCCTGTTTCATGCATTCAAAGCGCTAGTTGCATCAAATTAAGTGCGTGAAGTTCAGGTCATTCAAACTCTTTATTTTAACGCTTGGCGTTGGAAGTTTCTTTTGATTGTAGCGGGTATTTGTGCGACTATTCCCGAAGGTTTGCATTCCTCGTTCGAAAACACACCGGCTTGCGAGAGACAAAACCGCTGTGACCGGCAGAGGAAGATATCCGAGAATGTACGATTCGATAAACGTTTTATGGCTTCTACCATTTCATCAGTCAAAAAGAAAAGAACTTACACCACATACCAGCCGGATTCGAACATTCTTTTTTTTTGCCGAAGAAATAGATAAACAATCATCGCTGAAGGTTAATCTGATAATCATATATGATATATTATTCTGCGCAATACAAGAGTTGCGGGAATGAACTACCTTGCTTATTAATGTTGACTTTTCCAATCTGGCCGGTCGTCTGAAACAGAACGAAATGATTGGGACGGCCCTTTTCTAATAGCTTGGCGTTTTTGAAAAGAGCGAAAATGTAAAATTTCGCCGGCCGGTTATTTTCTGTACAGTAAATGTAAACGTTGATTTTTTTTTCCACGAAAGCGTATGAAACACATGATTCAAGAAATGTTACCCTAAAAAATAAAGTCAAAAAATTATTGTACACGATCGGACACAGAAAAAACTAAACTGAAAAAGGTTAGGGTGCGGATGTTGCGAAATAAACTTCGGTTTTAGGAAAATTCACCACACGTCTAAATTTCCGGTTCCTGTCACCTCTCGGGGGTGTAGCTCAGTGGTAGAGCGTCCGCTTTGCGTGCGGAAGGTCCGGGGTTCGAAACCCCGCACCTCCACTTTTTTTCTTGTATATAAATTTTTCTTCCTTGTTTTCTTTCTTTTTCATTAAGCCCTTTTCTAATTCACCGAATGTCTAAAGTGTTTAACAGTTAAGAAGCAAGTTTCATTTTTTTTTTACTTAGTTCTAGTTTATGTTTAATAGAAAGGGACACACTCGAGTGGTTAATTTTGAGGTTAATTTTATCGGGATTTTTAATGATGGGATCATGAAGAGGTTGCAGCACTAAAATAAACAAGATATTGAGTGAATCTTCATGATCCCGTCAAGAATTCGGTGTGAACCGGTGATTCGTTTGTGGGATTTGTTTCTACACGCTTAAGCATGTTTAGACCTAAGCATATTCAAACCTGACCTTTCGCTGTAGATTTCCAGGAAATTATTTGTATCTTTTAGTTTAACAACTTTTAGCTTGTTTTTCCGTGTTTTCGACCAAGTTCGTGCAGTATATTTGTTTCTGTTATGTATTATATCGATTTGAATGATGGTGCTGTAGCGTGTCTCCTGATTTTCAGATGTTTGTTGAAATGAATATTTATAGTTTTGATTTTTGCGGGTTGTTACATGTTATATTTTGAAATTGTCGACCTTTGGATTTTCTGGTCACGCCCGTAATTGATTGACGGTAAAGTTTAGACAGCCAGTAAAAGTTTGACTACTTTTAGTAATGTTTTTATCCTAAGCTAATACCAAATTATTTTTATATTGCTCGCCTTGTTTTATATTGATTGGACAAACTACGCTTCGCAACGAAATTTAGGAACGAAAATCGTTTAGTTTTGGCCAAACAAACAACTCAAAGAATTGCATGCTAATGAGTCTGCCGACCAATCAGAAAGAGCCTTACCCAAGCGTTAATCTCGGCTTGCTGATCATGCAAATGGCTTGTTGGTCAACTATAACATCAAAGTGTGGTAATTAAAAGATACCGTAAAATTCCGAAAATAAACACTGAGGCCCTTTTTGAGGGGCTTATTTTTGGTGGGGCTTATATTCGGGGGGCTTATCTATGGAGGGGAATTTGCGTTTCAAAATTGATTGGACTACCCTTATTGTTGGAAGGAAATTTACCGTTTTTGCTTTGTTTTGCTTTGTATTTGAGGACAATTCCAGGTACAAGCCCCCGGGAGGCGTATATTTGGAGGGGCGATCTAACGGAAGGTTTTTGGCTTAACGAGCTCGGGGGGCTTATATTTGGAGGGACTTATATATGGAGGGGCTTATTTTCGGATTCTACGGTGTTAGGATTATTCGCCAATCAAAGAGGGTCTCCGGTCGCTGCGCTACAAGTCATTTTGCTGCATCATGAAGTCGTTTCGCTGCAAAGCATTTGTCGTTTCGCTGCATCACGAAATTGATTCCCTTCATAATAAGAGCTGAGTCGCTTCAAAGACTTTTTTTCACTGAGTCCACTCTTCGCGCCTTTTTTCTACCAGTGCGTGAAGTTAGCGTTTTCCACCGTTAAGCAAACTTGACGTCCCCGTACAGTTTCACCATTTTCCGCGAGAAAGTTAAAGCGAATCTAGGGCAAGACTGAGTATCGATAACAAGGGAGGTATAAAGGACTGGTCAGCGCAAGTTGACTACTGAAGTCTGTTATCTCAAAGAGTAGTAGCCGGCTATTCTTACTTACCGCTTTGTTTCTTGGTCAATACCCACCATTCCCCCCCCCCCCCCCCCTATCCCCCGAGTGTTCCACCACAGTAAATAACTGAAGTAACGTAACACCTGTTAATAAGTCCACATATTTTTCACAGGGCTGTGAGGCTGACGATGACGTGGAAGATCAGAGTTACCATCAGAAAGCGGAACCTGACACAGTTTCACAAGAAACACAAGAAAATACTCAGGTATCGCTACCCATCTGCTGGGCGTTAACCGTCTTTTTTGTTCAGTCCTCCGTCCACTCAACCCAAGATCAGGCCGAATTATAGCAGCTGTTAAAAAATGGTCCAAAAGAATCATTACCCAGATTATCCATTGCCTCTTTAATTTCAGAACGCATTGCAAAGAAAGGGACGGAAAACTATTCCAGTGGCTGGTCCATGGGGGGCGGGGGGTGTTTGAGGGGTCCAGACCACCCTAAAGAATTCCGAGCAATTTTTTAAAGTGTTCAGATACCTGCCACGAAATTGAAATAAGCTACAAGAAAGCCCGAAGCTTCGCTAACAACCTTCATCTCATAGCTTAAAAATATGACTTGCGCTTCATGTGCCTTTCAACTATGGGATGTGATCAATTAATTTCATTAAACTTGGACAACGTCATTTTATCACTTGTCACAAGGGACGACTGTTTCAAATCTCGTTCTTCATTTTTTCTTGATGTGTCACGCGGCACGAAAGAATGGGAATTATTGGCTTTTCCCGGGTGCACAAGGTGGACCCCTTTTAAGAAAAATACCCAAATCCACCCATGTCGTCCTTTTAGGAAAATCAGCCGGTTAAACAGTCTTTTTTTCCAAAGAAAGGGAGACTCAAAGAGCATGAAGGTCTATATGCAAGACTGAAACTTCGCAACGGCAAAAGTCAGATAGAGATAGACGGGCTTTTTGTTACTTAAACCATCGAACCTCTTCTTAGATCCCTTGATCCCAGAGATGCCTAATGAACCACGTGACTTATATTGGACACTTGACCCTTTTGGCGGGGGTGGGGGAAGTGTTAAAACGGGAGGTTTGACTCTACTTACGAAGGTTGCTTTCTTATTATCAGGATTACAAAATCTGGCTGATATTTCGACTTGGCCTTCTGAGTGGCATGTTCTTCGTTCTTTTTGCCGTGCTGGTGATCGCAGGTGAGAAAAAAGAAACCGATGGACTGCTTCTCCTGGAAAGCATAGACGCGCTGTCTATTTTTACTCGATTTTTTTCGAAGGAGTTAAAGACACTTTGATGAACGGAATAAGTTTAATTCAGTCGGATGTACATTTAAGTTGATCGCTGATAAAAAAAAAAAATACTTTGGAGGTGCGGGGATTCGAACCCCGGACCTTCCGCATGCGAAGCGGACGCTCTACTACTGAGCCACACCCCCGACGAGTTGCCTAATAAATCGATGGCAATTACGCCATAGTTAATGGAATGGTTATGAAACCCATTAGACTCCTTTGTTATATGTTTTTGTTAGCTTTTTGGACCTGACTGTGCTCAACTTTCATGATCAATGGCATTCTTATCATTTTGAATTTACTGACCAATAGAAACATCGTATTAATTTATTCAGTCACAATTTGTGAATAAAAAACAAAAGATTGTCCAAGGGAGCTTCCAACACAAGCTACTTACAGCACCGTTATTCTCACGTTTGATGTTTGCCGGCTTTCATAAACAAATCTAACCAGTCTCTTGTATACCTATGATTACGTCAAGCCGACAAAAAACCAGCTGTTGATACCGGAAAGGACGCCCTATCCACATAGGTTCCGTTGACGGGGATACGTTTTCAAAAATGAGATTTGCTGCTGTGTCAAAAAACAAAGCAAATTCCGAAGTTAGCTAATCGTTTTTCGATCGTTTTGAAGACGACTTTTTCTGTTGAAACCTTTGTCAAAAAAATGTTACAAGAATTATATTTTATGTTTATAAGATGGAAATTTTCAGTTTATAGTTTCAGTTAAGTAATATAAAGATAACTACATTTTTTTTATTTTATGACAATTATTTTTGTTGTCGATGCAGGGTGGCATGGTCGCTTTAAAACCTTTTTTTTACTTTTTAAAAAACATTTATCATAGTTTTTGTCTTTCCTGTTTCACGAAAATTAGAGAAATTCAAATCTTATTTTTGACCATGCACTCTAATGAACTATATCAGTTGAGAAGTGCCAGCCTCGTACCCAGGCCAGTTCGCGCTATCCGAGTGACCGGAGGAGGCGCCGAGGACGACTGGGAACGAGGCTGGAGAAGTGCTGTTTAAATTCTTAGCTTCCAATTTTTTTATTCACCTCTACAGCCATAAAAGCAGACAATGATATCCAGTGGGAGCCTGCCTTCCGTATGTACAGAGGCCTGTTTCTCTTTGTCCTCGAATTCTTTCTATTTGGAATCAATCTTTACGGATGGCAATCTGTAGGCATCAATCACGCTCACATCTGTGATTTCAAGAACAAATTGTGCCCTCTACGCGTGTTAGAAGTAAGTTATAGACTGCAGGGGAGGGGGGGGACTCCTGATCAAGCCAGATATAACGTTTAAGCTTAGTAAACACCTTTTTGCGAGCTTCAGTGATCTATTCCAGCGTATCGGTGTAATTTTTTCAAACACACCATCTTGAAATGAATAAATCATTTGAAAATGTAGACTTTGCGCTTCATATGTGGTCGCAAAACACTTATCCATCGAAGAAGCTCTCTCCGGGCGGGTGGCGCGGAGGAGTGAAATTTGGAGAGTATTTTCGCCCCCTTCCGTGCCCCCTCCCCCGAGAGAGGTTGCGCGCAGGCTACAAAACATTTTGAAAACAGACCTTTTTGAAAACGTTGACGTGGCGATAATCATGTGATTTCTGTGGTTCCGATTTATCCGGATTAATGTAAACATATGAGACTTTGTCCAATTTTGGTGACAAGGCGTAGATTAAGTGCTCACTGTAGTTAAGAATTCATCATGTTTTTAAGTCATTTTTTTTTCCTTAACAGACCTTAACATAATCTTTTTAACATAGCGTTAACATAGGTGACATCCCAGATGAACTGAAGTCATGCGCGACTGAGACAAATTAAAACTAACATACGTATCCCTCAAATATTTTTTGTAAAGGATTAAGAGAAAGTCAAAATGAATGTTATTGAATTGAGACCATAAAGGAATAAACTTGTCCAAGACGTAACTTCACAACACGAAAGCTAACGCACCTTTCCTTTTTTGACTAACATAGTAACATATCAATTTCACCCTCTTCAGTGCACGTACAAATCTATAGTCCTTGTGTTTTTTAACGCTTCTTTTCTTCTTCTCTTCTTTCTGAACAGCTTGGAATCTTTTTCGCCGTTGCGTGGGGTGCAAGTGCTGTTGTTTTCCTTTTCTCCAATCAGTTTGGAATTGCTCATTACGTCCATCCTATAACATTGACCTGCATGTTTGCAGTTTTCCTTATCAACACCCTGAACTTTAATTTTAGACACTGCAGATTCTGGCTTCTTAAAGCCTTGGTAAGTGCGTTTTATCTTAAAATTGTTTTCAACAGTAGTTATATTTGTGGGTTTTGCTTTGGTGCGTTTTTCAAAAATTCGATTCGGTCGCGACAGTTTCAGACCGCGATCGGTTGCCCTTCATTCATCAGAGCCAAGCGTGGCGAGTGAAAAAGTAAAATTATGTAAATTCATGGTAAAAAGGGGGAGAGATGGTGGCTCAAAAAAAAAAAAAAAGAAATTAGCAGTCTACGACACTTTGTCTAGTTCTTACCTATCGAACAAAGCGATCGTGATTCCAATTCCTAGCGCCCTGTCGCCCGCACCCCTTAACATTTAGTTATTGCTAGTCAAAACTACTGTTTCTCTCAAATATCTTTGTCTCTTCTGGGAGGTGGTCACATGGAGGTACGACGGTTATTGCATTCTTTATGAAAAGAAAAGGGCGAATTCCTTCAACGCACCTCGTGGGGCGGTCGTGTCAAGTGACCCGAATGATCCAGTCTTGCGCGATAACAAAAAATTAAGTATGATTCGAGTTTTGGTTTAGGTATTTAATTATTTATCGTTGTTTAATTATTTTTGGCAGTGGAGGGTTTTGACGGCGCCATTCCACCATGTAGCATTTGCAGACTTCTGGCTAGCAGATCAGCTAAATAGTCTAGTGGTAGCCATATTGGACATGGAGTACCTTGCATGTTTCTATGCCTTAGATTTCTACTCGGTTCAAGGTAAATATTCAAATCATGAATGTTTTCTTTTATCATTGTTTTAGTGAAACAGGCGATTCATAAAAAGAAATGTGAGATCTTTAAGCAGGAGTCTGATCTATGACTTCTGTCTCGTAACTAATGATGATGCTGTATGACTGAGCTGTAGTAGACTATTGGAAACTAAGGTCTCATCCGTTTTCGTTTGAAAACGCATACATTTCGATGCGTTGAGATCTACCGTCCACACTAATACGCTGAGCGTTTTCATCGAAAACGCATGATTTTAAAACTCTCTTGAAAATGGATCGAAACGAAAACGCATACATATCGTATTAAAGTGGAAGGTCGAAAAAGGTCGAAATGCATCAAACGATGACAGAAAGTATCTTGGGTGCGTGTGTTTGTAGCATTCGCGTATAGTTCAACTTACGTCACAAAGTGCAATTCTATCGTTTTCGAACGTTTTAGTGTGGACAGTCGAAAACGCGTCAAAACGGTAGTGTGGACGCGAATCGATCGGTGCGTTTTCGATGACAACGAAAATGCATACTTTCGAAAACGGATTAGTGTGGAAAAAGCCTAAAGCTATAAAGAGAAAACTCAAAACCAGTGCAAAAACTGTATGTAGAGTTACATATCAGAGAATTCATATGCAAGATTCCAGTTGCGCTTGGCGTCTCGACCAACCTCGTTCCTAGTGTTCTCGATCTGATCTCGTTTACAATCTGATAATTTCTTTTCTCTTCTCTACTTTTCTTAGATCGTAGCCAATGTGGTAGCAAGCAATATGGATTGAGACCGCTGCTTGCTTGCCTCCCTGCTTGGTGGCGCTTCGCGCAAAGTTTGCGCCGATATGATGATACCAAACAAAAGTTCCCACATCTCGCCAATGCTGGAAAATACTCCACGACATTTTTTGTCGTCTTTTTTTCAACAGTGGCGACAACTAACAAAGGTAACTGTGTGCGATAGCTCTGGGATAACTTTGCTATAAAAAATGGTGTTGTAACTGTAGCTGACAAGTCGTCCTTTCTTGTCAACAGAGAACTCCGGAAAACAACAAGTGGACTTCTACTTCTTTTCCTGGATCTTTTCAGCACTCGTAAGCACAGTTTACACGTACATTTGGGATGTGAAGATGGACTGGGGTTTGATGGAGCCAAATCATGGGTTTCTGAGAGCAAAGCTGCTCTTCAAAAACTTGGTAAGGACTGGCAGTTGTGAATAAATAACTAGCCTGCGTAGCAGGCGCTTGGAAGTAGTGGGCGAAAGAGAGAGTGGGCGCGCGCGAGGAAGACACGCGAGGGTGTCTCCTTCTCGCGCGCCCGTTTTTTCTTGTGCCCACTACTTCCAAGCGCCTGCTACGCAGGCTAATAAATAACCAAAAAGATGACAACAACAACTAAAATAATGTAAAGTAGCCTTAGGTAGCTTAACCAAAGGCATTTTTGAACAATGTACGTCAACCGGAAGTGGACTTTTTGCATCCTTGGGCAGTGGTTTTGCCAAAATTTTCAGGCAAATCGTCGTTATTATAACAGTAAAGACACTTAGCGATGCAAATTTGCTAGTGTCAAAGATCTGACTTCCCGTCTACGTGCGCTGCTCAAAACACCTTTGCTTAAGCTCCCTAGTCTCTAACGGAAAAAACGTTTGCTTTTTAATCTCTTTACAGTGATCGATTTCGGCGGAATTAAGAAAGTCACGTCTCGTATTGTTTTTTTTTTCTTACAGGGATTCTATTACTTCGCTCTAGTTAGTGACTTGTTCCTTCGTCTTTCGTGGATTCTGACTATTTCCGTCGGAGAAGCGGGTCTTTTCCACTCGGAAATTTTGACTGCGTTACTAGCTGTATTAGAAGTCTTCAGGTAAGGCCACCTGAGTTATTTGTAGCCGCCGCCATTAGCTCATGTTAAGCTGGGCCTGTTAATTAATAGGGAGATTCTGACACACGGCAACGGCTACGGCAGCGAATTGGAATAAACGCGGCAAAGTCCCTGAAAAAACGCTAATTCATTTTAAAGTGACGTTTTCGCTACCGTCGCAGTCGTCGATACTAAAACTCCATAGTATCTTTTTGAAACCGCCCTCCAGATTGGTTTAAGGCTCCTTCGACACCAACCTCGTTCCCAGGTTATCTCTCCTACCCGTCGAGACACTCTCTCCCTCGCTCCCTAGGGACGGGTAGGAGAGAACCCTGGGAATGAGGTTGTTTCTACACGTACAAATCCGGGTAAAAAAAGATGCCGTTTCTAGAATGTCCGGATACGTGTGGATGGCACCTTAAACGGAGAATTTGAAAGGAGAAAGTGGGAACAAAACCTAACTTGGTTCCCGTGCTTGTTCCTTCTTTCCCGTTGTCCGTTGCCCGTTACCCGTTACCCGTTGCACCTTCCTCACTATAGTAGCATCTGATCCGATAACCAACAACAAACACTGCATTACCCATATTCGTGTGTAATTATGAGCCATTGCTTCACACGTAGCCTGCGCGCAGACGAAATTAAACTCTGGTTAACTCCGTCTGCGAAACAGCTCCGAAATCCTTGTTCTGGACTTCCAGCTGTGTACCCAGATTTGAGTACGCGCCACGATTGGCCAGTTAAAAAAGGCCTTTGTTTTGTTTGTCGTGATCGCCAATCAGGTTGAAGGGGAATTCGAAACGCACTTCCGGTAATTCGTTGAGTCCGTTGGGGGTCCAGAACAAGGATCTCTGCGCTGCTTCGCAGACGGTACTAATCAGAGTTTAGTTATCGTCTGCACGCAGGCTACTTCACACGTTGCTTAACTAACTCCTTGCTCTCTTCACAGACGATTCATCTGGAATTTTCTACGCGTAGAAAATGAACATCTATGCCGACTAAAGGGAGCAAATCACGCTCATAGTCGAGAGGAACTGAGAGAATATGACGAAGATACTGTATCCGAGGAAGTCGAGGAGTAGTTGCGAATGCTGAAAGTTACCGAAGATTCAAGACGGAAAAGTCGTAATGGACGCCTTCTCGCTAATTGTGCGAGATTTGAAGACAACTGACTCTGATCAGGGAAATAATTGAAGTCAAAACGGTGGAGGGAAGCAAAAAGAAATTGTTATATACAGAGAAGAAGGAACTTGACATAAATTAATTGTTTAATATATAAAAAAGGAACAACATAGTGATAAAAAAAAGAACAACAGGGGATCGAAACAACAAGAAATTCTTAATTAAAACGTTAATAGGGGAAGAAATCAAAGAAAAAAGGTTGTATTGTAAAGAAGTCTGTTAAAAGACCTCTTACGTTATGGCATTGTTCCGAGTTAATCGGGTTTTAAACCGTGACCGCAGAGATTGTTCAGTTCACCAGCTTCTGTTGCTCTGTGACTTGGTTAAGGTGGACGTGAAATGTTTTCATACTAAGTATGAGTTAACTTTTAACTTAATTTAAACATCATTTAATAAACTTCAAGAGATCAAATCAAGACTGTGTATTAACTGATTTAGGGACCTTTTTCTGGGATGGAAATACATTGAATAGCCCGGAATAGGTTTTCTCGAATCACCACGCTTTGACTATTACCTCAGAAACTGCGCTCAAATGTATTTTCGTTCATTAGACGGGCGAACGCGGCGTATTTGTCGTGGGCTCTCTTCGATTACTGATGTCGCGTTCTTGCCGCTAATTTGCATCGATCGTGAAGAGTCTGGACTACTTTTCGGCGCTTTCAGTGCCCGAGTAGTAGTTTAGACTCTCCACAAGACTTAGTTCAGTTTCTTTTTTTTTTTTTTCACGAAGTGCAAGCCTTCATTGCCAACTGTGCACGGCTTTTTAAACTTATGATTTACAAACAAACGAATTAAGGTATCAGCCACCCTTAAAATTACCATTTTTCCATATTTGAGGTTTCAACTTTTTCAAATAGATATGCTTGAGAGCTTTCTTTTAAAAAAAAATCAGAAGAAAATATTATTTCTGTCGAAAGATATCGGGGGTAAAAGATTTTTTCTCGTTAATTATCTTAATTGATCGTTAACAAGATCTGTCATACCCGTGTCATACCGGTATATCAATTAACTTGCCTGTGAACTAGTAACGTGATACCGAGTGCGTGCTTCGACGCAACGCGTGCGAATTGTCTTCGCGTTGTTTATAGCCTTTAGCATTTAGTATTTTCCGTGGATATTTAGAGTTTGCTTCGGTGAAAATGCCTCCAAAAAAAAAGAAAAGGTCGTGTCCGTTTTCGTCATCGAAACCGAGAGCGAAAAAGAAATCGAAGAGCGAGTTTGACAAAGAATGGGCCGCAAAATTGGCAGAGAGCGACGAAGGCTCATTTTATCAGCAAGAGAAGTGGCTCGGGGAGTTGGATATTCAGAAAAGCGAAAATGCTGCAGTTGCTGAGAGTGCAAGCCGCTAGTAAGGCTCAATACTTTAATTTCACTAAAAATACTTCCCCATCCCACTGTAAAATTGTTTCCAAACTACAGCGTTACATAACGTATACTTAACTCGAAACAAAAATGTTGGTTATAAATCCATAATTTTAACGAATGAGAGAATAAGAACGTTCCTGTTGTCCGTTAATTGTGTGATCTCTGAGTAAGTAAACGAAATTGAGGTATTCTTTCTGGGCATAGCCTTGACTGAAAAGAAGTCCATGGTGTTAATTGCACTGTTCACTTAAACAACAAAGATAAAGTTCTATTGTAGCAACGCCATGAGCATCAAAACTTGCTCTGGCAAACTCTTTAGCTCAGGGAACAAATCGTATTCTGCGTCATCACTTTCATCACCGTTATCACAGGCGGCCCAGACGTAGTATGTGTCACTGAATGAATATATTAGTATCCACATGGACAAATTAATGCGATGAGTCGTCGAAACTCCCATGGACTAAAATAGTCTAAAAGTCAAAATATAACAAAACAAAGCTAAGATACCTTCAACTGAACGTATCCTTGTCTTTCCTGGCCGGTTTAAGTGGCATTTTGTTGAGTTTTGAAATTGTAGGTACTATCCACTATAGAAGAATTAAAGGCTGGCTACAAAACAAACAGACCATCTCCACGCGCCTTCACACGAAGCGCTATAAATTCGAGAATAATCGACGAATCCACTCCAAATAACCATCGGCTAATCTGCAGGTAACGTCTGCTCCTGCCTCTGGCTCACTTGCTCCACAAAACCCATCGCAACTGCACAATAATTGCTCGCTCATCAACAACCACTGTTGACCTTTACGCTTCGATATGACCGCAAACGACCAGGTGTAATACGCGACGTGAATATTCAAGCTTAGCGACCGCGTTCGCGCAACAATGCAGCACTTGCTATGGGAGGGATGGTACTATTGCTTCTAGGTCAATCGACTGACCGAAGGTTCGCTGCGTTTGTTTTGACCAGAAAACAAAAGGCGATCGCGATCGTGGTTTATTATTATTATTATTATTATTATTATTATTATTATTATTATTATTATTATTATTCTCAAAACTCAGGGGCACTCAACGATGACTTCCCCCTAAAAGCATTGAAACAGGGGCACCCAACGACAATTTTCGGAAAAATATCTGTTCGGAAGACGATTTGAGAGCTAGAATTTTCGGAACATTTGTTGTAAAATTTCTTGCTTGCCTGCTTCTCCTAGGATTTTCGAACATCTAAAATATGGTATAATTGCCTATTTTTAACGGATTTTTACTCTAAAAAGGTCACCTAGAATTTTCGGGAGCCTTTTTTCTGGCTGAAATTTTCGAAAAGGTGAGTTTTGATCCCTATAATTTTCGGATCACTACACTTTCAGCTAAGAAATCCGAACAGATGAAACATTTTTAGGGGATAAAAATATGCCTATATCTACTGTTTAAATACTAAAATACCTTTACCAATGCTATGTTTTAGTGGTTTTGAACTATATTCTCGTTGGGTGCCCCTGATTGAAAACACATTTACGGCTGTCCAGAGTACTTTTGACCGAAAAATGCATTCTAAACAGCGCTTACATAAATTTAGTCAGGAGGGCTAAAAGCGAAGCTAATGATTTATAGTTTGCTCATACTAAATATAAAGTATATCGTGTAATGCTAAGCGGAGAAGGCAACGAGACAGGGCCACCCAACGACTGTTTCCTCAAATACTTTCAATTGAAAACACTTTTGTAGCTATTCATAAAGTACTTTTAGCTCTATAGAAATGCATTCTAAGTGGCGCTATAAAACTTGCATCTCAGTGTTCGGCCATTCTAGAGGAACTTGAGTCTTTTCCAAATTACGAGGAATTCAGAATTATTTTCCCGAAAATTTTAGATGCGATTTAACGTTTTACGAAGGAGGTAATTTTTCAGATACCTTCTTTCATCACATTTTTGAATCCGAAAATTTTAGGATTCCATTTTACTCTCTACGAAAAATAGCCTAACCCGGTGAGTGAAATGTGAAAAATTAAAAGTTGGATGCCCTTGACCAGAACTGTGAAAAACAACAATAGGTCTAATTGCAGCACATTTTCTTGTACATTTCCTTGCCGTTGATTTGCATGACTGCAACCTGAAACGTCCAGAAAACTTCCTGGTTTTCACTTTTTATGGAGAAAATGTGGTACACGTTCTTGTTCACTTTTTCCACTGCTGCTCATTTTTTTTAGCTCCGCTATAAGATTCGTATCTGTTCGGTGCTCCTAGGGCAAATTGGATCTTTTTAAAAATTATAATGGCTTCAATATTATTTTCCCGATTGATTGACCTAGAAGCAATAGTACCATCCCTCCCATAGCAAGTGCTGCATTGTTGCGCGAACGCGGTCGCTAAGCTTGAATATTCACGTCGCGTATTACACCTGGTCGTTTGCGGTCATATCGAAGCGTAAAGGTCAACAGTGGTTGTTGATGAGCGAGCAATTATTGTGCAGTTGCGATGGGTTTTGTGGAGCAAGTGAGCCAGAGGCAGGAGCAGACGTTACCTGCAGATTAGCCGATGGTTATTTGGAGTGGATTCGTCGATTATTCTCGAATTTATAGCGCTTCGTGTGAAGGCGCGTGGAGATGGTCTGTTTGTTTTGTAGCCAGCCTTTAATTCTTCTATAGTGGATAGTACCTACAATTTCAAAACTCAACAAAATGCCACTTAAACCGGCCAGGAAAGACAAGGATACGTTCAGTTGAAGGTATCTTAGCTTTGTTTTGTTATATTTTGACTTTTAGACTATTTTAGTCCATGGGAGTTTCGACGACTCATCGCATTAATTTGTCCATGTGGATATTAATATATTCATTCAGTGACACATACTACGTCTGGGCCGCCTGTGCCGTTATCTGAATATGGATAATCAGAAACGTAGCAAGCCTCCGCAAAAGGCAACTCTTGTTCATAGGGTCCCACGACGTGGTCAGCAGCTTGCTCTGGCAAACTCTTTAGCTCACGGAACAAATGGTATTCTGCATCATCGCTTTCATGACAGTTATCTGAATCCGGGTAATCAGAAACGTGGCAGCCCTCCGCAAAAGCCAACTCTTGTTCGTATAGTCCCACAACGTGGTCAGCAGCTTGCTCTGGCAAACTCTTAAGTTCAGGGGACAAATTGTATTCTGCATCATCACTTTTATCACCGTTATCTGTCGGGTAATCAGAAACGTGGCAAGCCTCCGCAGAAGGCAACTCTTGTTCATGGGGTCCCACGACGTGATCAGCAGGTTCTGTGGATTCACTCTTGGAAATGAAGAGTTGCTCCATGAGAGATACGAGTTCCGTAATACTGAGCTGAAGCCGATAACAGCTCCTCTTTGTAGTCCATAGATTCTTCAGTTACAGGTTGATTTACAGAAGCGACCGGCAGAGGACGTTTATCACTCATCATCTTTTTAATATTTCCTGCCTCCTTTTGGTTAGCTTTCCTTTTCTTTGAATGTCCAAAAAAGGGTGAAAGAGGCCTTATCTCTGCCTTCGATGGTTGCTGATTTCTTGCGTTGTTTGAATCTGAATCTTGTCGTTTGTTTTTAAACGCCTTTTCCGTGCGGCGTCGGGAATCCTTTCTTGGCTGACTCCACCCTTCTGACATCTTTGTCTTTTTTCTTTCCGCAACCTTTGCATATCTTCGCCTCTTAACAGTTGGATTGACTGATTCTTTTTCGCCGAAAGAATCATCTATATCGGAATAATTTCTTTTCATTGCTTTGTTAGCAAAGGTAGAGCTTTTAAACCGGCTTGTTTTCTTCCTTTTTTTCACTCTCGCCATGACTGCCATAATTTCGCTCAGCGGTGTAATTTTTGTAACCTTAACTTCGTAGTGAACTTTCTTTCCGTTTACTGCGCGAGATTGCTTTCCATCTCCCATAGCCGAGTCTTTGGTTGCTTGCTGACGGAAATCTTTCTCGCAGGAAACAAGCTGGGTGCGGTCCTGACTTTCCTGTTCACTTCTTGTTTTTAAATAAGTAGACAGTTGACTTCCAAGGAAAACGTTTAATTCTAGAAAACTCTCCTGACTGGAGGAGGAAAGAGGCTATTTTTCCTCTTGCTCTGGGCGCACACAATGAAGTCCTCGCCTTTCATAAAAGTTTCAAACAGACGTCCTTTGTCCCATACGGGCGAATTTCTGTCTTCGCGAAACTCGCGAAATACATTAAACTCCTGCTGAACATTAACACAGATCTTTCTTGCTATGCTTTGCAGTGTTTTTACCACGCTCAGCGCAACATAACGAAACAACATGACAATAACTGCCACTTGGAAGAGGCAGCTCAACACGAATCTTTGTATTTCCATCTTTGTCGTTAGACGTCCAGACGTCTCAAGCCATGCAGCTCGCGCGCAATATTTCGCCTGATCGCACGCGCTGTTTCACTGAGATCAGGACAAATGTAGAGGCACAAAAGATCGATTTCATGTGAAAGAAAAAGAGATATGATTTAGCATGTTTAGGTAAAAAAACGCAAGGTTCTCGCATTAGCACGCGCCCTTAATGCTGTTTTATAAAATTATTATATGGGGGCCAATGGAGTTGCATAAAATTCTGAAGGGGCTTTGTTCGCTTTACATTTAATTGCATGAAGCTCGAAGGTCGGTGTCAGAAGGTAGCCTGCGCGCGACCAAGCCCTTTATGTTAAAACACTCTGATCGAGGGTTACATCGAAGAGACCACTACACTCTTTTTTTTTATAAGAATTTATTGGGGTATCAATTACAATAGCCTGCGTAGCAAACGTTTCCGTGCGGTTTAGGAGCAAAGAACGAGGAACGAGAGTCAAAGACCGCGCGAAAATGGCGTAAGTAAAAGAGCGGGGAGGGGTGGGGAAGAAAGGAAGGAAACTTGGCTCTTGTTTCATTTCTCGCGCGGCCAAAACCGAAAATCCTGTTCCTCGGTCTTTCTTTGCTCCGAAACCTAACGGAAACGCTTGCTACGCAGGCTACAATTACAAGTGTTTGGTATCTAGATCTGTATCGCGTTACATTGTGCACATGCTCCATCGCTTTTCGTTGGAGTCAGCGAGGTCAAGATGTCACGTCAAACGACACTTGGCCGTTCCTTGGCTTTTGGTTTTTCGCCGTTCAGAGAAAGGAATAATTTTAAACGGTTAAGTTAAAAACATAAAATTGTACTGTATTTACAGATGTTTCAACACAGAAAATTATATGTATCCTTTTCAAAATCTCAGCCTCGGCTTTATTCTTAAAATATTCTTAAAATTTCGCAAAAATCAGCCTCGATATTCTTATAAAATAAATTCTTATATTAAAAAAAGACTGTATTAGCTCTCACTATCCGTCCAGTTACAAGGGTTAGATGATAGCAGATGATGGGGTAAAAAAAATATAGATTTTTAAAAAATATTTACATTGTTATCATACGGCTTTTCAGGGAATGAAAAAGAGTTAAGGATGCCAACTGGCTGGAGGTAAACCAGCTGGCTTTGCAAGCGTGGCCGAGTTGTCAGGTTTAACCTGAAGAACGTTCAAGAAGAGCTCTGGCCATTAAGAAGCAGCTGATTCACCGGCTAAAGGTACCCCAAGACCAAAACGCTTACTTTAACTGACGAAAACAAAATACTACTGAGAAAATTATTTTCCGCGCTAATGTTTTGATTATTATTAGTTATTTGTCCTGTCCGTTTCAAAGCCTGCATTGTGTTGCCCATTGTGTCAGCGGATTTTACCAGGCATGCACTTCATATATGATTCCTATGGTTAGGCAAGCTCCATGTCATCAAACCGGCGTGAAAATTGCAGCATTTCTGGTGGTTAATGTTTTTCAGTAAATATCACGATTTCCTTAGCAAACCACGATCGAGAAATGGATTCAGACGCTAACGCTCCAGATTCCAGGGACTCTTTAGACGATCCTGGTCCTGGAGACACTAGTGAAGGAGCAAGCGATCTTACTGAAAAACTTCATTCACTCAACGTGAACGCAAAACCTTTCGTTCCAAATGTGAATGCCCCGGTATTTGTTCCTTTGTTTCTGAAAACTCAGGCGGCCGATGGTAAGATTTTTTTCTTTAATTGCTAGGTGAGTTTTGATGTTATTTTAGCCTCATTTTCTGCTGAAAGTATGATGCGATAAAATTTTGTTGAAAGCTCCAGATTCCAGGGACTCTTTAGACGATCCTGGTCCCAGAGACACTAGTGAAGGAGCAAGCGATCTTACTGAAAAGCTTCATTCACTCAACGTGAACGCAAAACCTTTCGTTCCAAACGTGAATGCCCCGGTATTTGTTCCTCCATTTGCGGCCAATGGTAAGATTTTAATTTTGATATTATTTCAGCCTGATTTTCTGCTGAAAGTGTGACGCCATAAAATTTTGTTGAAAGCTGACTGTTCTGTTTGGGGGTTCGAAACTTTTCTAAGCTACAGTAACCTAAATGATAAGCTTACTGTTGTAAGTTTTAGACTGAAATAAATTTTCAACCCTTTAAAGATTTTCCACAGTGTTAAAAAGGATTAGCTGTCGATTTGCTTCTTTGTATCTCTGTATCTGTTAAGAACGAATGTCGCTAAGGATTGATCAAAATTGGAAATGGTAAAAAAATACCTTCCCTCATACTTTGTGTACACGTAGTTAGTACTTCAGATGAAACTGCTCACTATGGCATTTGTTTGACTTCTAACAAAAACCTGCACTGGGCATTAGGGGGCAATTGGGCCAAAAATTGCATTTTTTGGGACAATTTGCTCCTTGAACATTGGAGTTTTGTTAGGTGAATAGTTCAGAAAGCAGACTAACAGTTAAGAATCTGTTTACATGATAGCAAAATATCCGGTACAAAATGAGCAGTGCTGCTGCAGCGCTGCAGAATGACTTCAAGAAGCGCTACAAAAGAGCTGTAAAAGGGCTGGCTGCAGCAGTAGCAAATTTTGGCTGTTTCGCACTGCTGTGGAAAGCCCTTTGACAGTGATAAACAGCGCTGTTGCAGCGGTGCAGAAAATTCCCGAATCACTATCTGCGCTGCAAAGTGGCTTCGAAAAGACAAAGAATATTGTTAACGGTAATGGCCTACCACTCGTTAGTACAAAAAAAATGCAGACTTCAATAATACAATAATTATGAGACATGGTAGAGGAGTTGACAAGGCCTTAGTAGTGGAGTAAAAACCACTAGAAAGTCAAAATGCAACTGATACTTTATTAGTATTCAAGCATACACGTTACAAAAGCACATGACATATAACAAATCTGCAACAGTCTCGCTTTGTAAATATTCAGCAATTACGGTCACTTATCTAAATGTAAGAACATCCATTTACATGCTGACGTTGAAGTTTATCTTTTTTAAAAATAACGAGAATAAGAGCGATTGTTCTACATAAAGTTTGCACGAACAGCAGCCAAATGATATTTTGATTCGTTGCAACAGGTTAAGCCTTATAATCATCCTTCCTCTCAATAAAAATGTTATCAATTTTTCTTTAGCCCCGATGGTCCCTGTTCATTGTCATTTACAAGGGGGGAAACGTTTTTTTGACAAGGCTTAAAAATAGACATTTTTGAACACATATTTTTTTCTTACTAGCACTTTGATTTAGATCAAAATTGAAACAGGATGTAAATATTTCACCTTTTGTGAACCATATCATGCTTAAAAATCTTCGGGCACTCAATACATGCCAATCAAATGAAAATGTATACCTGAGACAAAATAGTAAATTTTCACAATTTTTGTTTGCTGCTATCTTTCTGTTAAATAATGTCATTGGGGCGGTGTTAAGCAAGAATGTTAGATGGTTCCTATAGATTGCATTACTTTATGTTTTATTTACAGTCAGTTATCAAGCAGATTAATGATTTTTGGTTGACAAAAACAGGCATCGTGTGGTTGGCAGTTGATTTATTCACATTGCTACCCCCGATATAACTTGGCAGCAAAATCTAATTATTTGACGTTTTTCAGCAAAATAAATCACTTCGATGGGATTATTAGTAGATAACTGACACATTACATACCATTAACAAAGCAATCAATGCAAGAAACATTACAGAGCCAAAGTCAAATCACTCACAAGTCACGGTTCATTTAGGTCTCATCCACTATTTATATAGTAATGCATGTCGTCACATTCAAATCCCTTCCCTTATCTTCAGTGCATATCTACAAAGTTTCCTTTCACACTGACACCCTGCCAAATTACTGCAGCTGCGACTGGCAGAAACATATTTTTCCTTACCGTGCATGAAAATGCTACTCCGTTGGATTCTCTTACATGTCCAACACACTGTCTTCAAGGTAATGTATCTTATTAGTCACGCAATGTGTCACATCACAAGCGCATCACTGATTTTATAATTCTTCTTTCCTCTACATAAATATTAGAATCTTCATGAACTTGTGTAAGTTTCATTAAGCATAAAATCAGAAAAACAGTGTACCCAATCCTATGTGAATTTAGAAAGAAAGCGTCATTTGATCTGTTCGGTTGGACATGCAGCTTGCTGATCAAAAAGTTTCAAAGCCGATTTGTTGTCTTCCTGAATTTGTGTGAGGGCCTTGCTCCTAAAGAGAACAAGTCAACGAGGTGTAATTGAATTACCACCAGAGTCGACAAAACTGAAGTCTGAGTCAGATTTTTGGCGGCACTTTCATGTTTCATGGCATGCAAGGTGGGAGACTAAGTCAGAGATGCTTATTTAGTCCTGTAAGGGGAAGCGGGTTTTGCCAAATCCCGGCCAGCACAAAAGATTGCAGCACATAAACAATTTGTGCAAAAGGAGACTGGGCAATATTATGCTTCGCTTGCAAAGCGACTTGCAGAGCAGATATATTTCTTATGACCACCGTGCCAAAGTTGTTCCTCAAGTTATTATACGTACAAGGTTTATTCTTAATGTCAATTTAGGGAGCATGAAACAGTTCTGAAATGCTAACGATTTGTCATTTCAATTCTGAAAAGATAATTTTTTCTAATGAATTAAATTAGCACGGGATGTTTGTGGGAAAGCCAAGAATAAATTTTATTTCTGCGAAAAAAAAAGGCAAAAGCACCTGGCTGACTTGTCTTTCACCTTGCATGAAGCAGAAGTGCTGCCAAAAAATTCTGACTCGGACTTCAGTTTTGTTGTCTCCTTCAGGACCTTCAGCTGCAATACTTGCAAATGTCCGGTAATATCGCTATAGTATACACTGATTAACAATGGAAATTTTGTTAACAATAATAGTTGTTCTGTATAGGAGCAAGGTGTCTTTAGGAATTCAGCAAAGATTGAAGTCCCGGGGGTTCTCGACAAAGTTTTATAAAGGGAGGCTCTGCCCTGAGGTGCAACCTCTTACTCTTTTATACACTATTTCTGGCAGAAAAGGTACCCCTTCGTATACCTTCTGTTGGAAATGGTACCTCTTTCACATGCGTAGTTTAGAACTTTGCATCCCTCTTAACTGCTGTAAATGCACTGTTAAAATATGAATAAATCTCAAAACCAGACCGTATACTCAGCTCTTTTCACGGCCATGAAATGCATCTGTAAGCCCTTTTTGGGCTTTTTGACCAACCGAAATGACAGTTTTCCCTGTCCTTTCATATACTTCAACAAGTGAAATCCCAACCCTCTCATATACTTAAAGCCCGAAAATGGTATCCCTTTCAGGTGGAGCCTCTCTGTATTGGCCATTTTAGAGAGTACCCCCCGGGATTCAAGTTGACTCTGAATTTTGATCAACAATATGTCCAATTCAAACAGGTTAAATAGCATTTCCAGAAGGGTCTAAGTCTAAATAAAATGGTGTGCACTGTTTTTCTTACATTATACTTACTGTAATAAAACTTTCATGAACTCTTGAAGATTTTAATATTCGTCCAGTAGAGGAAAGAAGAACTGTATTATAAAATAATGGTGTCAAGGATAGCGCTCGCTTAGGACATGACACATTGCATGACTAAGATACGTTACCTTGAACAGTCTGCCTGGAAAATTGCAAGACAATCCAACAGAACACTATCTTCTACATTTTTCTTCTGCGGTGAAGAAAATTATGTCTTTCTATAGGCAGCTGCGCAGTAATTTGGCAGGTTGTCACAGTGAAAGGAAACTAATAGAGGTGTGCATTGAAGATGGGAAGATGAATGAAGGAGTTTCAATGCCAACGACATACATGGAGGAGATCTATCCATGACTTGTGAGTGATTTGACTTTGGCTCTGCAATGTTTCTCGCATTGGTAGCTTTGTTAATGGTATTTATTATTCATTCAAAATATTTCCCCATTTCTGATTGGCTCAAAGCACACGCATAATTCATCATAACCAGTTACTGATGACCAAATTTGGAAGAATTTTGTCTTTAACGAACAGCCTTCTACAGGTTAATGCACCGTTAAGCGAGAAGACCTGAGGACGAGATTGAGTTATTTTCATTGTCAAAACTAAAATGGCGGACACTTCACTCGTTTCAAGAGTATGACCTACAGCTGGAACTAGGCGAAATAATCACTAAAAACATAGCAAAAACAGCAAGAAGACAACTCGGAAAGCGACATCTGCTATTTGGAGAATATTTGAGGAGCTGGACAAACCTAAATGTAAACTATCGAAGATAAACTTAACATCGATGCACGTATAAGCCTGTTTTAGCTATGTTTTTAAACTAGGAATTATTTTGAATGAATAATAAAACAATTATGAATTCGGCTTTCGTATCATATGACGAATTATGGAGATCTCGGAGAGGGTCATCCACCTCAGCCTTATAATGGCCTCGACAGATAACACCTTCCTCAATCTCCATAATTCTTCACAAGATACTCAGCCTCATTCATAATAATTGTTAAGTAATGTGTCAGTTATCTATTACTAATCCCATCGAAGCGATTTATTTTGCTGGAAAACGTTGAATTAGATTTTCCTTCCAAGTTATGCACCTATCAATGTAAAGCTGGGGGGGAGCAGGGCACAGGGTGGGGATTTGATTGTCTTTGTTGGCCCTGGGGTAGGGCATTTGACTGATCTTGTTCTTCCAGGGAAGGGGATATTTGAATCTTTCTTAATTTGCCCGACGTGGAGATATTTCACTGCCGACTCGGACGAAAAAGACTGAGACCGAACATATGTTTTCCGCTTCCACGCTTTACACATGCGCCGTACGGTTTGAAAAGATCAGGAAGTCATGGAGGCCAATGAGAACAAGCGAATGCTGAGTGGATTTCACTGTTTTGTCTTCAAATTTCGTTTGTTTGAGCGTGTTTTTGATCAATTGAACCTCTTAAAATACTGTGGTATCAAAGTAAACGGAAGTAGAGAGAAACCAAGTCGATTTTTGCAAGTACAATAATATTGATTAGTGCATGGCTCATTCGCTACAATCACTGTAAAGTTACAAAACTGACTTTCTTTGTACCCTTTACTAAGAACGGCATATTTAAACTTACAAAATGTGGACTTTCTCTAAACGTTTATGTATTCTATACGCAGTGTAACAAGGATTATGGCTAAAACGTATAATTGCAGCTGTAACAGGAACATGTATCTTAGGTGATACAGCAACGTTTATAAAAGATAGCAGAGTTTTATTTGGAGAATTTTTATTGCGCCTTTCTTGGGTTCTGCCTTGGGATTGACAGCAATGTGCAGCCGGGGGTGGGGAAATTTGGTAGCATTTGACTGAAATGATTTGCCCGTGGGCAGGGAATTTGACTGCAAATTTTTGAAAAAAGTCAAATCCCCACCCCATGCCCTGCATTACATTGATAGGTGCATTATATTGCGGGTATTAATTTGAATAAATTAACCACCAACCACACGATGCATGTTTTTGTAAACCAAAAATGGTTAATCTGCTCGATAACTGACTGTAAATAAAACGTAAAGTAATGCAATCAATAGGAACCATCCAACATTCTTGCTTAACACGGCCCCAATGACATTATTTAAAAGAAAGATAGCGGTGAACAAAAGTTGTTGAAATTGACTATTTTGTCTCAGTTATACAGTTTCATTTGATTGGCATGCAAAAATGTATTGAGTGCATGCAGGTTTTTAAGAAAGTTATGATATGGTTCACAAAAGGTGAAATATTTACATCCTGTTTCAATTTTGATCTAAATCAGAGTGCTAGTATAAAGGAAAAAATGTGTTCAAAAATGTCTATTTTTAAGCCTTGTAGAAAAACGTTTCCCCCCTGTAAATGAAATGAACAGGGGCCATAGGGGGGGGGGGGTAGAGAAAAAGACAGTGATAACATTTTTATTGAGAGGAAGGGTGATTTTCTGCTATCATGTAAACAGATTCTTAACTGTTAGTCTACTTTAAGAACTATTCACCTAACAAAACTCCAATTTTCAAGGAGAAAATTGTCCCAAAAAATGCAATTTTTGGCCCAAACTTAATTTCTCCCCTGATGCCCAGTGCAGGTTTTTGTTAGAAGTCAAACAAATGCCATAGAGAGTAGTTTCATCTGAAGTACTAACTACACACAAAGTATGAGGGGGGAAGGTTTTGTTTGACAATTTCCAATTTTGCTCAATCCTCAGCAACATTCGTTATCCTTTTAAGGGATGGGTATCTTTATTCTGGAGCCACACTGACACACAGGAAAAAATAACGGATTCCCATTTTTGGATATTTTAGGGTATTTAAAGAATACGCATAAAAATCCCAAATTTGGCAAAGTGAGACAAGTCCCAACCGGGGAATTCCCGAACCAAGTTCCCTGATTGGGACTTGTCTCATTCTTCCAAATTTGGGATTTTTGTGGGTATTCTTTAAATTCCCTAAAATATCCAAAAATGGGAATCAGTTATTTTTTCCGGTGACAATTAACTGTAAATGCTAAAACTGGCATTTAGCAAGTGCCCTCATAATCTAAAAGCCCATGCTGGTACTATCCATCAAACATCACTACCTACTTCAGGCTTTTGGCTGGCTACTTTGCTGGGTTTTCTTCTGACTCTTTAGTCAAAGATGTCAAACTGAGCCACCTACTAAAACAATAAAGCTACCCTTTTTCAAAGCTTCCCTCCTGGGAAATTGTTTTATTGTTCATTCAAAATAATTCCTAGTTTAAAAACAAGGTAAAACATGCTTACCCCCACCCATGTTAAGTTTATCTTTGATGATGCATGTTAATCGGGAAGTTTAGGAGATAAGGGATGCCAGCTCCACAAATATTTTCCAAATAGCAGAAGTTGTCCATCGAGTAGTCTTCTTGCTGTTCTTGCTATGTTTTTAGCAAGTAATTCGCTTGTTTATTCTTCGTGAAACAAGTGAAATGTTCCACCATTTTTTTACTCACCACCAAAACAGCTCAACCTCATCCCCAGGTCTTCTTAGTTAACCGTTCAATAATCTGGCAATTTGCTGCACGATTGATGTCATTTTTCACGTATCGCAAAATTCTTCCAAATTTAGTCGACAATAGCTGGTTATGATGAATTATGCATGGGATTTTAGCCAAACAGAAACAAAGAAATATTTTGAATGAATGATAAGAAGAAATATAATACCAAATGTAGGGTATATAACCCTAACTCTAACTTTGAATGATGAAATAAGTGCCTTCCCCACCCCAATCCCTGATTACGTACCATCACCCCTTTCGCCCTTTAAATTGAACTGAACATAACTGTGTATGTTCATGTTGTTATTGTTTGTTGCTAATAGTTGCACCATCCACTAATGGTGATGCCAAGCCAGAAATTTCTGAACAATATCAACAGGTCCAGGAGGGTAAGCTTATGTATTAAATTATTAGAAAGAAAGAAAAAGGACCAGGGGGGGGTGGTGAACTTGCTAGTTTGTTTGTCCGGACGATCTTGGCCATCGTGACGTCACGAAGAGAGAAGCGCGCAACTTCGAGGAGTTTTCGAAAATGGCGCCGTTGTCATTTCCAAATGCTACTTTTAAAGTTGGTTTTCCTGGATATTGACGCTCCAAAATGGTTTTTGTCACGGTAGGATAGTGCAGTTCCAACATCTCTTTCCGAAAAGGTGAGTGAAATGTGTATTAATCCGAAAAATAACGCGTATAAGAGCTGTAAACAGTTTCTGTCAATTTCCTCGAGTGGAATAATGTGCCGCAAAAGTTTGCATGTTCGCACAGTAATATCGCATTTTCTCGAAATCGGTGAGGTGTTGAACATCGAAACTTGGCATAAGGGTGGGTTACTTCTATTGGAAAACATTGTCTCTGAAGTTAATTGAGATAAACTTGCAGAAAAAATGATCAGTCCATTCGAGTGTGCCAGCGTAGCCTCTAAGCTGATGCAATGGTATTCATTACTTTGCTGTTATCTCCAATAATGCCAATAGTATCACCTATTCAAGCTGTCTTTTCGGGATAAGTAAATTTTAAAGTAGCTTCTGATAGAGGGAAAGTATAGTTGCAACAGCTCTTTCCGAGAAGGAGAGTTAATTGTATTATATTCTGCTGATAATTACCTCGTAAACAGTCTAAACAGTTTAAGCCAATTTTTTCAAGTGGAATATTTGTCTCAGAAATTTGCATGATCGCATATTAACATCGCATGTCTTAGAAAATCGGTTTGGTGTGGAAATTCGAAACTTGGCAGAAGGGTAGATCAGCAATAGTGGAAAACATTGTCCTTGATGTTTAATGGGAGAAATTAGCAGTAAAAATGATCAGTCCATTCGAGTGCGCTTAATATTGATATAAAGAGATGACCTCGACTCGGTTACCCCGGCACAATGTAAGTCAATTATTTTTCGGTTTTAAGAAAAAGTAAACCAAAGACTTCCCTCAACACTATGTATCTATAATAATTACACCAGGAATATATATATTTTTAACTCTTGAAGGTTGTACCATATTGTTGAAGCAAATGATATTTCTCTGTAAGCTTACATTAAGTTTTCATAAATAGCAAAAAAAATTAATAAGATTTACATACAACTCCAAACATGTACATCTGTTATGCATGAAGCAATTTCATATCGTTCGATATCAATAGTTAGTGCAAATGGAGTCAAACATGTACAGCGAAACTTGTATAATGTAAGCGGACACCGCAGAGAATGCTGTAGTGCCCACTTAATACAAAGTTTCTTCCTACTACATACAGGTTTCGATAGAAAATGTCATATGAGGCAGACCTGCCAACTCTCACAATTCTGCCGTGAGTCTCACGATTTTTTAACTTTTCTCACGGTCTCACAACAAGACTCCCAATCTCATGGTTTTCGGGGAAATATTCTAAATTGAAACATTACCTTGTTGAATAAAAACATAAATTTTGTGGGGAAATTCTTGTGCCTGGATAAGCTTTGACTATTTTAGCCATGAAGTTGTCTTGGCCCAAAGAAATGACTCTGCTGTATGTTTCGTCACAGTGATAACCTATTTTCTGGCCTCTTCAAGTCATCCAAGAAAAAGCGGCATCTAATTTGTTACATAAGGGACCACACTAAAGCAAGGTTATATTAAAATAAACAGTTGATTCCACTAATGGAAAATGGGTAGTTTAATTTTGATCCGGAAAAAATAGAATCTCACTACTTTTTGTAGAATCTCCCGATTTTTTTTCATGAGTCTACAGATTTTCCTTATTAGGGGTTGGCAGGTCTGTATGGGGAGCTAAGTACCATTCAAATAAAAGGCGGAAACACTTGGACTACTTCCAGAGATATGATGATATACATTTGCATTAATATCTTTATTTGTGTGGAGCAATTAATTAAACCTAGATTGTACCTCAAATTTTAAGATATCAAATGAATGAAACAAGCTTTATACAAACAAAAATGAAATGAGAAAGTACTGTAACTCATTTATATAATTTACAGAAGTCCCCTGGTGACACCAGCCAAGTGCTATAGGGCAAGACTCCCAATCTCATGGTTTTCTGGGAAAGCAAAAGGCATCTTAAAATAACAAAAGGCACATAGGGCTCAGCCGAATGGTACCATAATGACGTCAACACGTATGGAAACAGGCCTTTTCTCCGAAACCTGCCCCATTCCCCTATGGCTATTTTTATTTGCGTTTACCCTACCTCACCTCCCCTCCCCATACCTGATGAAACAAGGCTTTCAACAGTTTGTTGAGATAGGATGCTTTTTGTTTTAAAGGATGAGCTCACCATATTTTATTATCGTAGAGATGGGGGTAAGATAAGTTAACAATAATAGACAGATTATTATAGGTGGGTTACTCATTTTTACAGCTATCCCTGGAAGACGAAATGGAAGTAAGGAGCTGACTGGCAGCCACTGAGATTGAGCTGAGGAGAAAGGAAATTGAAAGAGAAGAGAAAGAGTTGAAAAGAAAAGAAGAAAGGTTAAAACAAAAAGCAAAAGAAATTAAAAACACAGTAATAGAGGCGAAGCGCCGGGTAGCTACCCAACTGCAATGAATGGCAGGGCAGCTAGACTGCTTGGCTAACCAAATTCTAGAAGAGACCAAAAATTAACGAAGAAGTAAAAGAAAAACACCAGTGTAAGAAAATTTTATTGATAACAAACCGTTTCTTTTAATCAAAGTCAATGTGCAAAGTTTTTAAATGTAAACAAGTCTAAGTCAGACCTGTTATGCAAGAAAGAAAACACATTATTTTGTTCACTATATAAAAAATAAAAGGAAACTGGTTCTTCTAATTTCTTGTATCCTGTATGGTCTCTTCTTGCTCCATGGAATCCACTCCATCTAACATCCTCCACTTCCCACACCGCACGACTCTCTTCGTGGAATCTATTATACTAGATCTTTACAGACATCCAGTAAGCAGCACCTCCTCCATCATACACTGCTTGTTTTTTCTCATCATCTACAGAGTATTCCCAACTAAGGAAGCACCTAATTATAAAATCAGTCAGATAAAAAGAGATTATTTATATATACAAAAGTCAAAACAAAATAAATAAACGCAATATTATCACTTAAAATCCCTAATTATTTGTTAAGCATCTCTTAAATCAGATATTATAATGGTTTTCCTCACCTACTCCCTAAACTTCACATTAATATAGGTGAGTTAAACCACAATCACCACCCCCACCCCCCGAAGCAATGGTAAAAAAATATGTCTCCCTTGAATTATAAATTTTTGTAACTTCAAGCAACCTATCAGGATAATCCAAAGACTGATTTCTAATCTTAAACCAATAGCTAAAAGGCAAGGCTATGTGAAATATATCAGTAGGGGCAGTACAACAGCAAATTTTAAAGAGGGGCTTTAGAGCTATTATAATGGACCACCTATAGTCATGGAACGATTGGGTCTTTACTAAGTTACGCCTACTGAGAAATTACCACAAAGCTACATCAGCTGGGTGATAAAACTGTACAAGCTGGGTGATAAAACTGTGCAAGCAGGCCCTGAAGATTGTTGCAACTGGACAGTGTCACTTGATGTAACTGACAATAGCATGGAGTCCAAGTAAGTTAAAAAGCATCAATGATTGAAAATTAAACTGATGCCCCTGCACTCCCACTCCCAGTAGATCCCCTGCCTTGACATTACCTAATAAACATACATTGATACTCGTGTCATTTTCTGAACTCGTGTAGTTATTGAACTATATTGTCATTCTTGAACTTTGGTGTCTTCATTGAACTACACAAAAAGGAAAACCAAAAAAATGTATCTTTAAAGAAGTCTCTTTTTATATTGTAAAAGTGTGAGAAGGATGATGATATTCATCGCATGAAAATCCTGCAATTTTTTATATCCTTAGAAGTTTTTTCCCCCACCTCATTTTTAATATGCGGACGCCCGGGGAAACACATTTTCAATATTACACCATTGAAACGCTTACCAGTGTCCGTTTTCTTGGCTTTTTCTAGTTTTTTTTTTCTATTAACTCTGTAAAGAGATTAAGGCAAAGCTACATACCCATCCTTTCTGCGGATTCTCCTCCTGGACTCTCTGCATAAAGCCCTAAAAATGTTGATGTTGATCAAAAAGTTTAGCTCACGGCACTTTACCCCAGTGATAGATTCTGTTTGACTATTTACAGGATAAAAACCATGTTTTCCTTTGTTTGTGGGGCGAAGAAGCAAAGGGAAAGGCAATGTGAACCTATCTCCATCATGAGCAATGAATGTTTCGACAAAAAGATCGTAATTTATAGTGAAAAGTTGCAATACAATAAGCTATAATAATATCCTTGGATAGATTTGATTCAATACGCTTTATTAACATTTTGATACGTTTGACTCAAACAGGAAATCGTTTCAAAACCCTTGAAGATTATAGCCCATATTCTATAAAAAAAAAACACTTGCTTCTTACATTTGTTTAGTTTCAATGAATTGTTTACACAATTTGATAGTGTAATATTAACATCATGACGCTATGTTTCGTGACCTGTCCACGCCACTTTCGCAATTTTTGTAAACATCCCTGAGGTTTGCGACTTTTATCCCACTGATCATTTTTGCTAACTTATTAGTTGACTCACTTCTATCACTAATTGAGAGACCCATACCATATTAACGTCATTTGTTTTTCTCGAGACTAAATTCTGCTGGGCTCTTTAGTTATACGTCTCTAAAGACGCGCCGGTATGAGTTGTACCATCTGGTCGATCTCGGGAAGTTCTTGATTTTTTACGATGGAAATGCTCTTTCCTAGAATATATTGCAATTTTACTATATAGCATTAATAGATAAACACATACCTTCGGTCGTTTCATCGCAACGTCTCGACTTTTACCTCTTGAAACCACGAAACAATTTCGCTCGCTGAATCCATTCAAAGTTCCCGGGATAAATTTCTCGTGACGTCACGATGGCCAAGATCATCCGCCGCGCGATCCCTAGAGGAGCGATTGACGAGTTCATCACCCCCCCCTGAAAAGGACACTTGTGTTATATTATATGATGCCATTACACCGCTGACCACACTGCTTGTCTGTGAAATGAAAATCGCTGCCCATATACTGCGGTCGAAGGTTTCAGATGTTTTGCAAGGCTTTCTTTAGTGGTAAATCACCTTAAACAGGGTTGTCATTAAGAGCCGGGGGCCGGGGATTTTCCCAGGCTACTAAGAGAGTGGCCCCCGGCTACTTTTATTGGAAAATAGAAGAAAAATAGAACCCAAAAAAATCCCTAGCCATTTGATTCCCCGCCTACTTGTTGTGTTTACCCGGCAACTTGAAATCTTAGTGACAACCCTGCTTAAATAACATTAAGATTGGGAAAATGCTTCACTAAAGTTAGACTTCATTGTTTACTTTACTTGAATTTAGCATTTTTTTTACAAATTATGCGATTTTCCTTAAATTGTGCCATCAGATGCAATTTGAGGTCAATTGTGTGAAATTGCACCATCACGTAATATATCAGATGGCCTTCCAAGGGCACAAAGAAGCAAAAAAACTATTACCAAGCATATGTAAACATACATACACATTTTTCTTTATTATATAAGCCAAAATTACCCATCATTATCTTAAAAAGTATTTACTCTGACTCAGATTAGTGAAATTTTGAGTAAATTGATAAATTTATTTTAATTTAATAATAATCTTTTACTAGGAAACTTTCGTCACATCACTGTGGTTTACAGAAAGGTCCTAACTAAGATTAAAAAGTACTAAATTGGATTATAAACAGTGGAAATGTTGAGCAAGCTGTATCTAAAAATTGTGACCCGCCTTTCTCCCTCAGGTCCCCCTTTTAGCTTCTCTATGGGTCCTGTAGACTCCAGCGTAGAAGATCTGAATCATTATACGTTCTGGGAAACTGCCCACCTACCCCTCCCCTAAGCCAACATTAACACTTACTTCTCACGTAGGGCAAAATGTTGGCTTAGGGGAGGGGTAGGTGGGCTGTTTCCCAGAAACGTATAATGATCTGATAATCCTGGTAAGAACACTGGCCCATGTGTTTTGCTATTTTGATGGTAAGTGCATGACTTTTTTTGTACAGACATCCACTACATGCCATGTTCTGTATTAACAGGGGCCAATCTTCAACAAAGAGTAGATCCTGCCCAACTTCAGTCATCTAGGTAAGTGGAACAACAAGCTTCCCTAGCTGTCCTTGTTAATTTGTCAGCTCTGTTGGCAAATAACATTTCAATAAAACATTTGGGATGCTTACTTTTTACACAAACCATCCAGGTGGAAATTCTGTGCGTAAACAAAAACATGGTCATTGGTAATTTTTATCACCCTTGTGTAATGAAGTCATCTCTTTATTTATTTTATCGATTTCTGTGGGGTTTGGTCGTTGTTTTGTCTGTTCTAATCACATACTTTGTTTAACTTATTTTACACTGGTAGATCTTTCCAGGAACATACAAGTATAGACGAGTTGTCACGTGCAGTTGGTGGACCTCTTAGAGTACCTCTCCCTGAAAGATATGAGGTGTGTACAGTGTGTTATTTTAGAATGCATTATTGCACAGCCTTGTTTTTCACTACCTGCTAAGGAATAGCCTGTTCCAGGCTCTCAGGAGCCTGGAGCAGGCTAGCTAAGGAACAGCAATAACATAGGGGCCTTCCTCTGAAGGCAGCAGAGATTTCTATACAAGCATTAAAGCCCTGTTATGCGCTGAAACTTCATTAATACAAAAGTGTGAAATTTTAGAAGGTAAGTTATTATATTTCCTTTCGGGATATTGTTTTCTCGCTTTCTTAGTGAATTTACATAGTTGATTTCTTTTAGTTCAAGAACTTCGCTACGTATTTTTTTCTAGAAAATGATATTTTTTAAGGCAATCTGCATGTTGTCTTGTTTCAATTTTGCAACTTTGCAAAGGCTGGCACGCCCTTTTTTCTTAGCGCGGAGGATAAAGATGGCAAGTTCGTCTCAAGAACGCTGTCAAACGTGTCAGTTAACCCTCGGACGTACACGCAAATCCATAACCCACCGTAGTACAAGGTGGGGAGGTGGATTTGGTGGAACCCCTCCCAAGAGGTTTTGATATGTTGCAGTTTTTCGAAACGATTTCGCCGTCACTGGAAGGCCTTTGATCTTCTCAACAAGAGACAGAAAAACTTCAGAGGGGGGTTTGTACAAATTTTCTTAAAGTTCAACTTAGAAATAAACTCTTTTTTTCTTGTACCTTAGGTCAACGAATGCAGATCCAATATGGCGGACACAGACAAGGGACAATGTGGCATCGTTTGTGGGTGTGCCAAGAAAATCCAGGCATTGAATGATGAAATTCAGCAACTCAGAGAAGTTAATGGTAAATTGAAGGAAGCGAACCGCAAGGCTCAAGAAGATAAAATGGTTCTAGAAAGTAAGATGAATGTGTTCGGAGAAAGTTTTTATATAAGAGGTGTAAATTCTGCACGCAATCCAGACCGTTCTGCAGAGAAACTCGAGTACCTGAATGCCCTATTATATCTGGGTCAAATGAGCTCAGATATACAGACCAATATGTACCGGTTTGTTCATCCCAGTTTGGTCTGTGAGAACAAAAGTTACCTTTTTGATGACATTAAAAAAGATATTCAAAAAATAGGTGACGGAAGACTCAAGGAAAATGCGCAGGGCAGATGGAGTGGGCTCATGAAGACTCTCAACTGGGATGACCGAGTTCATACACAAAAGGCAATATCGCTTTATACTACAAGGAACAAGACGTGTCATCCTTTGGTAAGCGAAGAGAGATTAAGGGAGGCACTGGCTGTGTGGATAAGGGTTAATGGCCGGAATGGCGTGGAAACCATCAAAGAATTGATTGAAACGTGGAAAACCATGACGAATTGACAATTCTAACGGTACGAAGCTATAAATGTTTTAACAAAGTCTACGAGTTCTCAGCTTCTACGTTCGTAACAAGAACGATCAGTGATAGGATTAAGAAAAGTAGATCAGAAAATATTTGCTCGTTTTCTTTACCAGCTTCCTTGTGAAGGTCCACTGATTCTGCCATTTAGTATTATTAACAGGAACAAGACGCTGTGGGAGCGTATATTTGGGCGTGGTTGTACTAAGCGTACGTGAAGAGTGTTATGTGTATGAGGGATATGTCGGTAGTGCAGTGGTATTGTATATTTGAGGGGTAAGTTGCGACGTATGAAGAAGTAGGCGTGGAGTTATATTGGAAGTTGATTGCTAAGATGATGGGTGTAGTTTTTGAGGTAGTTGCTGGGTTTCTACATGGAGTTGTTTTTATTGGATGTTGGTAATAGAGTCAAACTCTGTTAATAGTGGCACTGAGGTGTTGATAGAAAATGTCTGTATTAAGTCACATGTTTTAGAAACTTACTGTTTTCCATCAAATAAAGATTGCACATTGAAAAATTTTTGACACGAATATTTACTTTTGCCAAAAATGTGAACTAAACTCTTATAAAGTAATCAGTTACAAACACAATGCAAAAATCTATACCCCGATCTGCCTGTTTTCTTTTCTCCTTGAAACTAACTGTTTCTTTTTAAGACGTTCCATCTCACAATACTCAAATGAACTCTACCTGTGTTTCCTTGCAATCTTTTCCCTTTCACTGCTTTCAATTTTGCTTCAGCATTATTGTAGTCTTTGACAATTTAACTTACTTTGTCAAGAGCCATAATAGGACAGAGAGGGACACTCCCAGTCACGCCTTTGGGATATTTTAATCCCAAAAAAGTTATTTTTAGAACTATGCGGACCATGCAGAAACAGTTTCCGGTAAACTGGTTGACTTCCGGAATATTCAGCGCGCCAAAGCGAGGCGGTGTCAATAACTGAAAAAAATGGCTGCCTAAGTGGAGGGACGGTGTGGCGGGTGTGTACTTGATAAATTGTCCTTCTTCAACGAAGAACCTACCATAGAAATTGGTTAAAACTTCTACAAAAACGGATCCTTTGCAAGAAACGGTAGAAATACAGTTAAAGCGACCGCGTGGACTATCGTTTTTGTTGGAACAGCTGGAAAGACGACAAGTAGCAATGCGGCCCGGATAAGCGTTAAGCGTTGAACACAAAATGCGGGTCCTACAAAGACGACAGTACAAGTGACCGTGTGGACGTATTTTCTGTTGAAAAAGGAAGGAAAAAAACGTATAAAGGTTTCTAGTATTTTTCTCAAGGACATGACCAGGAATCATGTGGAAAACACCTTTTCCTGCTTTGACTGATATTTTGTAACGTGCTTCACATTGGACAATTAACAATTAAGCACTTTAATATTCTAGAACACGAGGTGAATAGAAACGGAATATTCGCGGCGAGGTTAATATTCCTAAAGCCACTATTCACCAAGATTGAAAATCAGTAAGGAGACCATTTAAGTTCAATTTGATTGACGGTTTTGACGGATCAACTCATGTGTGAAAATCGGTATGTGCAAAAGTTTGATCTTTACAGAATTTTCAAACATTGCAAATCAAATCGCAGTTAAAAAATCCTTTCGCAAACAATGGCCTAATGGATTATATGGAATCGCCAGAACTTTAAATTCTGCTTCCAAGCCTGTGAAGAAAAGAAGAGCTTTGTTTTCATCTGTCGACTCGCTAAGTTAGGGAAAAAGGTTTAATTTTGTGCAGCTTGTGTTGTTCTTTAATAAGTGCAGACAATTGTGGCCCGGTTGCTCGAGGTAAGGAGCCGTTTCTCTGTAGTTTTCTTGACATTGAAATCTCGAGATTTCGTAAAGATTTGCTTTTATTTTTTTTGGTCATAAGTTGAATTTGATTTCTGGGGAAAATTCACCTTTGAAGGAAATGTTGAGTTTACAAAACCACCTCTTCCATTTTTAAACTGTAATTGTCAACATTCCAGCGAGCGAAAAATATTGCTCAGTAAAGTTAATCGGAAAATGCTCTTTTGAATGCTTTGAAGTCTTTTCTTACCTTCAAAAAAATGGACCCTAGGATTTTGCCGAATTCTGAAAGGTTCTTGCTCTAAAGAGATTGGCAAAACACCGAGCTAACGCATTATTTACTCGTGAGGCTAAAACACTACAAAGATCACCGAGTGTGTATCCTGCAAACGATTTTTGCTTGTAAAAGCTTTATTTGTGTAAGGTTATTTGTGTTTTTTCATGTTGCAAACGGTGTTGAAATAAATACGACAGTATGATAATCTCATCTGGAGTTTATTATTTACTCTATGTGGTTTTACCAAGCCTCATATTTTCCTCATACACCTGTAATAATTAACCTTTACAGATCCTGCACCAGAATGTGTAGGTAAGAACAACCCCAAACATTTGTTAAGTGTGTTAAATAATATAAGCTTGCTGCATGTATAATAAATGTAGGGGTTTGAATGCAAATCGTACCACAGCATAATTCAAGCTTCAGGCATTGATGGATGCATAGGACCTTTTGATGTTGTGTTGCCACTTATTGACCCAGCAAGTTTCCTCTATTTTAGTAATTAAGCACTCATGGTTTTAGGCGTCGGCTGCTGAATCTAGTCTTTTCTTTTTTTCGTTATAGAAGGTGCTCAAAAGTATTAAGAATAAAAACTATTGCAATAAGTTCAAGCTGTGTATAGCTTCTTACTGAGTTGTGTCTTATTTTTTATACTCCCCTCCCACACAGAAAAAAATAACAAACCTAATTACTCATTTTCTATAGTGAACGGCAAAACCTGTTTATTTAAGCAGACCCCATATTAAAAGTTACATCCTATGTTAAGCAGATGAATAGCTCAGTATGTTTGAAAAGTTTCTAACCATATTTTCAGAAAAACAAAAAAATGTTTTAGAAAATAAATGTATCCATACCCATTTTAAGGGGTATTTTCTTTGTGTTAAAAGGTTTCAACCAATCATAAGAGCTGCAAACAATAGCCAACTGAAGAAAACTTTACATTAATTTTTTATTCCTGGCATGCCTGTTTTAATCAGACTCATAAGAATTTGTTATAAGGATTCATATACATGCTGCGGTGCAAAGTTTTCTTGATTTTGCTGCCTAAACGAATCAGAAGTATAGTAGAGACAATAGTAAAGTGAGCACCTTTTGGCATTTCAACATGTTTAAACGTTGACTTTATTGATATTAATGTTGCATTCTAATGCTCTTAAAGCCGAGTCTGCAGGCAGAGTAAGTTTGTGTAATCTTTTGCTTTTAAGGCATCCTGCACCATGACACCCCAGTCGTTCCCTTTAAATAATCTAATAAACTCACATGTTGATCTGCATATTATGATTGATCAGGCCTCATGCAACCACTAAGACATCACAGAAAATTGAGGCTGTTATTATCAGTTAAGCTGATCTGTATTTGAGCATATGACCTTCATTGAGGAAAGCTTTAAGTTAAAAATAGCAGTATCACACTAAAATAAAAATCAGATAAGAACTTCCTTTGGTCACATCTTGACCTCTTAATTAGGTCAAGTTTCTTTCATTGGTGAGTTCATCAATTTATGCACCTGCATGGGTTGCATTGAGAGAGACATTCTGGAGCAATAAAACATAGTGTGTGACTGAATCAGTGTATCTATTTGTGCCATGGCTTGAAAGAGGCAATGTCATGGAAAGCATCTAGAAGGAGACAAATTAATATTAATGTAGTGTGTATGATAACATGTGTGTCACTCTGTTGGTCACACTCTTTCCAGTATTCCTCAAATTTCAAATCCCAAAGGCATTGGCAGCCACATAGTTTAACAAAAGTATAAAAAATAATAAATAAATAAGTGCTCCCTTTCCCCAAAATATAGAACTTGCACTGTTTGTCAGACTAGTACATTATTTTCCCCACTATCAATTCCGTGGCAAGGTCATGCAGACATCTTAAAAGAGAATTCATGATTGCTAGTAGTATTGTTCCTTCAATTCAACCTGTCAGAAAACAACAGAAAAGTTTGCAGACACTGAAAGACATATAGACTGCGAGCAGTCTCTCTTTTGCTTGAAAATCTGTAAGCAAGAGTATTTGAGCACTGTATTCGAATTTGCGCCCTCACAAATAATCTCACTTACAGATTTTCAAGCTGAAGAGAGACTGCTCACAGTCTAAGAGACACACAACCACACAACATAAATGATGTACCAATTTTATGAAACCTTTACATGTTGTATTTTATATTATATCCTCAGGGAGGGAGCCAGCCTGGCATAAGGACTCAGTTCTTCTCTCTTTACACCCTCACTCATCCTTCTTTTTACCATCTATTTTTATGCATTAAAGGTTGTTATAAATAAAAAAAAAACCTGTGTAATTACCGTAGAATTGGGCGGGCATCAACAAAAAAACTTTGCTGCTTTCTGTTTATTAGAGATATCCATTAAGTACAGATTTGTTTTTCTTACATTTTGGAAAGAAACGTTTTGCCACATTTTGAGTTATTCGACGGCTGAATACAGGGTGTCTGTTTAATATGGGGTCTGCACACCATTCAATGCAGAAAATGAGTTAATTCGGCTTTCACTGAGGAGGGGAGGTACAAGAAATAAGACATAATTATAAACAAGAAGCTACACACAGCTTGAACTTATTGCACTAGTTTATATTCTTAACACTTTCAAGTGCTTTCTATAGAGAAAAAAAGAAAAGACTACATTCAGCAGCCGACACCTAACACCATGAGTGCTTACTAAAGCAGGCAAAACTTGCTGGATCAATAAGTGGCAAACACAACATCAAAAGGTCCTGTGCATCCAAACCCGTACATTTATTATGCATGCAGCAAGCTTATATTATTTAACACACGTAACAAATGTTTGGGTGCAGGATCTGTAAAGGTTAATTGTTACAGGTGTATGAGGAAAATATGAGGCTAGGTAAAACCACATAAAGTAAATAAACGCCAGATGAGATTATCATACTGTCGTATTTATTTCAACACCGTTTGCAACATGAAAAACACAAATAACCTTACACAAATAAAGTTTTTACAAGCAAAAATCGGTTTCAGGATACAACTCAGTGATCTTTGTAGTGTTTTAGCCTCGCGAGTAAATAACTCGTAAGCTCGTTGTTTTGCCAATTTGTTAGAGTAAGAACCTTTCAGAATTCGGCAAAATCCTAGGGTCCACTCTTTTGAAGGTATGAAAAGACTTCAAAGTTTCAATATTTTTTGCTCGATGGAATGTTGACAATTACAGTTTAATCGAGTAGAAGGGGTGTGTGAACTCAACATTTCCTTTAAAGACAAATTTTCCCCTGAAATCAAATTCAACTGACTTGTGAGAAAAAAAATGAAAGCAAATCTTAACGAAAGCTCGACATTTCAATTCAACAGGACAGAGAAAACTACAGAGAAACGGCTCCTTACCTCAAGCAACCGGACCACCATTGTCTGCACTTACAAAGAACAGCACAAATTAGCTGCACAAAAAACTTTTTTCCTCTAAGTTGGCGAGTCGACAGATGAAAACAAAGCTCTACTTTCCTTCTTGAGTGATGTAGCAGCTATCGTAAGGTCTCCTCTGATTGGCTAACAGCTTATTCCTTTGCTTTATTAATTTTTATATGTCCCTTTATAATTTTTTAACCTGAGATTATGTTTGATAGTTGATTGTAATTAAACTAGAAGGTTAATTTAAATTTCATACTAGAGATTGTCATTCTAATACTTAAATGGAAAGCAAGCATTGCGTATAGAGAGCTTGACACATAAAGAGACGTATTTAACGTATTTATAAGATAGCCTGCCTAGCGGGCGTCCAAAACTGAGAAGAGGAAGGCATAAGGAGAAAGGGGGAAAAGAAAGCCTTTCTTCCTACTCTCTCACTCCTTTTTTCGCCTGTCACGGAGACCAGCATTCTACAGGATTTTCATGGATTTTAAGGGTTCAAGGATTTCAAGTTGCGAGGGTTCCAAGCATTGTAAGGGTTTCGCGCGTTGCAGGTGTTTCAAGCGTTGCGAGGGTTTCAGGCATTTCAAGTGTTGCCGGTGTTTCAAGCGTTACAAGGGTTTCAAGCGTTGCGAGGGTTTCAAGCATTGCAAGGGATTCAAGTGTTGTAAGGGTTTCAAGCGTTGCAAGGGTTTCAAGTGTTGCAAGGGTTTCAAGTGTTGCGAGGGTTCCAAGTGTTGTAAGGGTTTCAAGCGTTGCGAGAGTTTCAAGGGTTGCAAGGGTTCCAAGTGTTGCAAGGGTTTCAAGCGTTGCGAGGGTTTCAAGTGCTGCAAGGGTTTAGAGTGTTGCAAGGGTTTCAAGCATTGCAAGGGTTCCAAGTGTTGTAAGGGTTTTAAGCGTTGCGAAGGTTTCAAGTGGTGCAAGAGTTTCAAGCGTTGCAAGGGTTCCAAGTGTTGTAAGGGTTTCAAGCATTGCGAGGTTTTCAAGTGTTGCAAGAGTTTCAAGTGTTGCAAAGGTTTCAAGCATTGCAAGGGTTCCAAGTGTTGTAAGGGTTTTAAGCGTTGCGAGGGTTTCAAGTGTTGCAAGAGTTTCAAGTGTTGCAAGGGTTGCAAGCATTGCAAGGGTTTCAAGTGTTGCAAGGGTTTTAAGCGTTGCAAGGGTTTCAAGTGTTGCAAGGGTTTCAAGCATTGCAAGGGTTTCAAGTGTTGCGATGAGCTTGAAAATCACATTAACAGGGAAAAAGAAAAGGTATAGAAAGAAAAAATGAGGGATAATGGCTACTTTGGAGCCCCAGGGAAAAGCGCCCTGGGGACGAGGTTGTTTGGAGCCGAAAAATACCTTTTTGTCAATTTGGCGGTATTGGCATAATTTTTCAAAGTTTTTAACTAACAAATGACATTTACTGCATTAATATTGTTAGTACTTTTTATCTCAATTTCCAGTTTTTTTTTTATTTACCTACTATAGTGTTTATTTATTTGGCCATCTGTAAGCTCAATTCAATTCTTTTTTTTGCTTAAATTCATTTACTTTTTAAATTATTTTGTTAGTTATTTATTGTTATTTTATTTTCTTTCTTTTTTTTGAATTTTAACAATATTTATTTATTCATTAGTTTATTTAATGTCTTGCAGTGATAGATATCCGCCTTTGTAGGACTTAAAATTTATGTAGATGTAGATGTAGGTACATGTAACATTTTCAAAATCTGCCAAGATATGCAAAATGAACCCGACAGCACAGCCTCGAAAAAGTAATCAAAATATGCCACAGTAAATTCTAGTCAAATATCTGTCGACATCTAAAGTGGCTAATTAAGGTCGCAGTCTCTCCACTAAAATAAGGCGAGAACGCCATTTTTGTGTGTCCGACGCACAGGGTTATTTACGGAGTATTTTCTGACCCGTTAAGATCTGTGAGGATGCGTGTTCGTTAAACAATTAGTGATATGTTTAGGACAGTAGCTTGTTTCCAAACATATTTGTTTTACCACTGATGTTTACTGAAGACTCGAGTCAATACACATCCAATTTAGGGGGTTTTGACTTGCACGTATGTATACTGTAGACAAGGATGGTTAGAGTATAAGAAAAAATCATTCAGTTAAATGATATAAAGGTCGGCCGTAGACAGTTTATTCAGACATCCAAGTTAACTGGAAATACGTGTATCGCAGAACATCGCGAACCTAGGCGGGGGTGGGAAGGGGGGGAGGAGGAGACGCCTATAAAATTTCAGGGATGGAAGGGGGAGAGAATTGGAGTAAATTGTGTAGCTTGGGAGGGCGAGTTTCAATACTGGCTCTAATATTGGAAGGTGAGATGTAGTCAATCCTGTTTGACCCTCCTACATGTGTAATTATAGTCAAAAGGAAATGGGTTTGATGGTGGACAACTGGAGGCAAATAAATGCAGCTAACCCATGCCATCTTTAATAATAAGTGAAATAATAACTTTTTTTAATTGAAGTTTATTGATAAGTACAATACAATATACAATATTAACAAACAAAGAACGACGTTACAAAACTAAAATAAAAGGAACAGACAACATACAACTGCTATACAGGATGTTGCAATTATTAATTACAAAAAGAAAATGAAATAGACAGGTAAAATTAAAAAATAACCAAATAACAGAAATAACTAAACAAGTCAAGCTTGTTTGCAGCTAAAGGCTCAGGGATTCACGGACACTTGAAGGCTCTATAGGTAATTTGTATTTCAGAAACGCTTTAAAGGCTAAGAAACTACATGGTTCGCTTTCTTTGGCTGTGGTGTAGATATAAAAATGAGGCACAATCAGGCAAAGATTAAACGTATGGAAGGATCGATTCTCAGGGAGATATCCGTAAGTAATAGACCTATTCGACTAACTCATTGTTGTACCCAATTCAGACCCCTTGGGAATAAAACGTTTTGTTTCAGGAATTTCCATATCATTTAAATGTGAATGCCACATTATAATGCAAATACAACACACAAAGAGATTTGAATTGGGTACAACATTGAGTTAGCCGAATAGTTCTATAATAACTACTTGTGAAGTCATTAGTAGTGAGTGGATGAAATGGTAGGGGATAATGCTGTAGTGAAAATAACAAGTAAATGCTGGTAATTGGAGAAGAAAATATTTATTTTTAAGTGAACTATATGACAGTGTTTGCATTTGTTGTAGTATATAATCACACTTGACAACTACATTGTACATGCATGAGAAACAAATACCCATGCAAGAGTGAAATGTCTACATACAACTGTTACAAGTCATGTTGAAGGTGATCAGTTTCTCAATTCTCAACATGCATGAGGTTGAAATTCCCAGACTGACAGTCAAATGCACACTTTCCTTGAGCAAATGAATTCACAATTTGTCCAGATATTTATGGAGTCCAAATTCCAGTCAAAACTTCGTGTACTGGACAAAGATGACGTAAAAGAAAAGACTTCTTTGTTTTCTTTTCAGGGGAAATCGTCAGGTTTTTGTTCTTTTGCTTTCCGTCATCTGTGTCCACTAGGCAATTTGAATAAGTGCCCAAACTTCCATCACAGCCATCCTCTCCACCCATTTATTACATGAATTTGTCGGGAATGTAAAGTGCAGAATGGATTGATCTTATAGGAGACCCTATATCTGCTTGTCGTTTAATTTCTTAAAACAATATTCTGCCAGTGAAACACATTTAACTTTGGTGAACATCCTCTTACTTCTTTGAAAGGAGAGTTAAATTTTCCCTGACTTATACCACAAGAGGCACAATGTTCAAAATATAAGGATTTGTAAGGGAGAAAAACAATTTTTTCTGTAGCCTACGAAGTAAAAGGATTAAATAACAATCGGCTAACCTTGCTTAAAACCGTTGTGTTTCTTCTTTCCTGTGTGGTTTCCGAGCCGATTTATGCCCATTTTTAAATGGGTGTTATTGGAACCGGTTTGCTCTAGCTCGATTGATTCATTTCAAACCCTTTAGGTTCCACGCTGTACCTCTGTTCAAATTGTCTTATGTTCTTCCTCTAAATTTTCTTTATTTTAAAACAATCTGCCTTATCATGCACGATGTATTCAATAATGTAAAACCTCCAAACGTTTCCAGCTTATTTACCTATTCTTCAAACGTACATCATCATAATACACGATTTTCTGTGGCTGGCAATTTCTATATTAAGCACTCGAGAACTAACCATATGAAGAACTCCTTTTCAAGAATTGGTGTAAAAATATCGAATAGTATTCCCGACAGTGATCGTGCTTTACCTAAATATAAATTTAAGAATACCCTACACAGTAGGCGACTGGATATTTTGATACTTATGTTGGCGTGCGTACTTTAATTGACATATTTAGTATAAATATGAATTTCACTCATACCTTGTTTCATTTACCTATTTTTAAGTATACAGGTGTATGTATTTACTGTTTAGTGGATTCAATATGTCGATGTTCCTGTATCTGTGTAATTTTATTGTTATGTTTCAACCCTGTTATTGTAACTTTTTTACTTTTCCTTCCCGCCTCGATTAGCTATAGGCTACTTTGCGGGCAAGGATTAATTATGGTTTGTATCAGAAGGGTTATTAAATAAACTTGAACTTGAACTTCTAGATCTCTCTATAATAGATTCCCGCGTGACGAGATTATAAACTCTCTTCACTCGGAATTATCGTTGTTAACTAATGCATCGGTTTGATAATCAGTGAAACTGTCACTCAGACAAGTGGCCAATAATTCCAACACTCGAGTGGTTTTCTGTCTGTTGTATTGTATCAGAACAATAGCGTGACTTCAATGAGAGCTCCCAAAGTTACTTTTAGGGTATCGGCATGAATACATTGATGGCAACAGAATCAAAAGGGTCACAGTTTATAAAGCTGCTTGGAGTTTATGTTAGCAGTGATCTGAATTGGACCCATCACTAACCCATCATGTAGACTATACATTTAAAAAGGGAAATAAGAGGCATTAGTCTCTCAGAGTTCTCAAGCAGTTTGATGATCCACCAGCTGAAACCCTAGCAATGCTTGAAACCGTTGCAACCCTCGCAACCCTTGCAACCCTCGCAACGCTTGAAACCCTCGCAACGCTTGAAATCCTCGCAACGCTTGCAACGCTTGAAACCCTTGCAACCCTCGCAATGCTTGAAACCCTCGCAACGCTTGAAACCCTTGCAACGCTTGAAACCAGCACTCCCTCCACACGCGCGAGAATTATGAACGAGGCGGAATGAACGTGACACCATATGAACAATATCATTGGTTTGAAACCCTCGCAACCCTTCACACTCTGTGAGCCAATCACAGTAGACCTTAGGATAGCTGCTACAGTACTGTCCTTCTTAGGATTGAAAGTACAATTTAAACTTCTGGCGATTCCCATTATGCTATTGTTTCCGATTTGATTTGCAATGTTTAAAAATTCTGTAAAGATTAAACCTATTGTTTACCGATTGCCACTGATTTAGGAACATTAAGCTCCGCTTCTATTAACCTCGTGTTCAATAAAGAATTGCTAATTGTCCATATGTGAAGTGCGGAACAAAATATCAGTCAAGCAGGAAAAGGTGTGTTCCACAAGATTCCCGGTCATGTCCGTGACAAAAATACTGGAAACCTGTATACGTTCTTTTCCTTCCTCTCCACATGGTTGCTTGTACGGTCGTCTTTGTAGGACCCGCGTATCTTGTCTTCAAGACTTATCCGGGCCGCAATGCTACTTGTCCTCATTCCAGCTGTTCAAACAAAAACGATGGTCACGCGGTCGCTTTAACGGATTTCTACCGTTGCTTGTAAAGGACCCTTTTGTGTAGAAGTTTAAAGCAGTTTCTATGGTAGGTTTTTTGTTGAAGAAGGCCAATTTATCAACTCCACATCGTCCCTCCACTTGTGCCGCCATTTTCTTATTTGTTGACGCCGCCTCGCTTTGGCGCGCAGAAATCGTGAAAGCGAGTCTTCCGGAAGTCAATCAGTTTACCGGAAACTGTTTTCGCATGGTCCGCATAGTTCTAAAAATAACTTTTTGGGGATTAAGATATCCCGGCCAACGCCCTGAGTGTCCCTCTCTGTCCTATTATGGCTCTTGACTTTGTGTAATTTTACAAATGAATGTATGCCTTTGATACTTTTAACAAGTCTTATTTCACCTAACTTTCATCATATCCCACAAGAAAAGATAAATCCTTTACTCTACTTCTTTGCTGAACTACACAGCTTATACAGTATGTTCCAATCCACGACAAAAATCCTGTCACTTCATGACAATGTTTTGAAATGCACATCTTCAACACAGATTTGCTCTCAGACAAATTCCAACTTAGGACACCACTGTTTGCAGCGCAAACAGTATGGTTTATCTCAGCTCCACTTATACTCTCACTTTCAGGAAGATCAACTGCCATAATATGTCTTTTTAGACCGATCACATTGTACAGTGTATTCCCATTACTAGCAAGGGCAGATGAAGTTCCTGAAGGCCAGTATCCACATGGATTAAAAACGGAGCAACAAATTGCATAAACTCCTATAGCACAGCACTGTTTACAAGAACATTGGTATAAACTATTAACATTTGATATACTACAGTATTCAACACTGCTAGAACAAATATCAACTTCAAAGTTGGCAGTATGTACACCTTTAAGCTCATTTAGTATATACACACTCAGTGATCTTGGTGATTTAAGCAATCTGATTGGTTCGCTATCTCGGACTATTCAACAATATTCACCTCCTAGCGAGTGGATAATGTGTGAGCTCGGTGTTTTTCCCGTTTTTTTTAGAGAACGATCTTTTAAAAGTCGACAAAATCCTAGGGCTGACTTTTTTTAAGGCAAGAAAAGACTTGGAAGGATTCAATACGGCGTTTTTCAATTTACTGTAGCAGGAGTTTTGTGCTCGATGGATTGTTTACAACTCCCGTGTATTCGCATAGAAGAAGCCGTTTCGTGAACTCAGCGTTTTCTAAGAAGAAAATTTTGGTTCAAAAATCGAAGTTTATTTATGACAAACAAATTTAAAAGGAAATGTTTGCAGAAATTCTACATTTCAAGTAAACAGGAAAAAGAATGATACAGGAAGACGACCTCTTACCTCGAGCAACCGAGCCGCCATTTTTGTCAGCACTTCATGCGAAGAACGACACAACATGCCCTTTTGGATATAAACTTGGCGAGTCAACAGAAAACAACACAGCTCTACTTTTTTTCTCAGGTAAGGAAACAGTTCAAACTTTTAGCGATTCCATTGAAGCCATTACGCTGTTGTTTGCGAAATGAGTAAATTTGTGAATTGCCATGTTTGAAAATTCTGCAAAGATCTATTTTTAAACTTACGCGTGATTTGATCTGTCAATCAAATCCTACTTTTGAATGGTTTCCTTTCTGATTTTGTTGAGATCACTTCGTGTGTATATACTAAAACGAGTTTGACTAATAGTCGCGGGTCGCGGGTCCAAAGTCGCGGTCGCGGGTCCAAAGTCGCGGTCGCGGGTCCAATGTCGCGGTCGCGGGTCCAAAGTCGCGGTCGCGGGTCCAATGTTGCGGCAGGGGAAAATGATTTGGGGTTCGAGGTAACAGCTGAGTGAAAACGACTGATATGAACACAATATAAAGGGAAAAAATCTTTTTTATGCACAATACTCTACGGTAGCCAATTTACAGGTTACGCATGTTAGAGTCAACAAAATAATGTCTCAAGAAAAGACCTAAAGGAAAAAGCTGACCGACTTTTGTGTTCAGCGCAACTTTATTTTTTTTTCTCTCTGTCGGGCTCAGTTATGTGTAAATTCGAGCTTTGAATATACTTATGAATAACAGTATCTGATAAAAAAAAAAGTTACCATAAGTTACCATTGCTTTCTTCTTGTCGATGAATTGCTCACAAATGCTTAAGGGTTCAATTACTGAAAAATATGCGATACACTTCATAGACTACAGATTATAAACGTTACAACAACTTAAAGCCTTTTTTTAAAAAAAGCGAACTCGGGCTCAAAAAGCTACGAGTCTGTCGGTAGAAGAGACGAGAACTCTTATATTTAACAGATGTTTTCGGCAAAACTGAAAGAAAATGTAAATAGGCGCATGAAACTTCATTCAAGCGGTATTCAAGGCATGAATTTAATATGGAAACAAGTAATAATCCACAGAAAGAAGTCTGTTCCTCGAAGCAAGATTTTCGCTTAATGCTTTTATTTTTACAACTGAGACGGCAACCCATATAACTTCTTGTTCTCTTCACCTAAATGGCAACCAGGACAACCTGACAATAGGAAGCCATTCAACGTGCGTCTCAGTCAAATCTTGAAAACATGCATCGTAAATAACTAAGTGAGTAAGTAGGTAAGGAAATAATAACGCCCGATATCATGAAGCTGAAAAAGAAAGTAAACCGGACACTGAAAACGGTAAGTTATCAACTCCACCAGAGCTAAGAAAAGACAATAAATTAGGTAAGTAATTCCAGATTCCAGGTACTGGATTCAAGTCTTTGTCAGTAGAACCAAGAGACTATGATCTATTCTCTCTTGGTAGAACTTGGATTCCGGATTTCAATCGTTATTGGGAACAAACTCCTTTCTGTGGACAAGAGAGGATAAAGCTCGAGCTTTATTCCCTCTTGCTGTGGATTATTACTTGTTTTTTATTAAAGTCATGCCTTGAATACCCGCTTGAATGTACTTTACTGGCACTTCAAGCCCAACGTCTCTCCTCCTCTTTCCAGTTACTTTTGCAAAGAGTTTATTTTGGGAGTTTGCGACTGTTACGCGGGTAATCTTTTAGAGGACGGGTAGCTTGCGAACTAAACTGAACGCAGGGTTGTCGGAACAGCAATAAGAAGATTTATTCCAAAGATGAACGTAGTTTCCACTGAGTAAAACTCCACAACAGCACGTAACTCGTTAAACTTACACGGCCTCCGCCAACTTGAACAAACACTGCCTTCGTCACACTTGACTAAACACGACCAACGTCAAACTCTCTTCGCTTGTGAAAACTAGTTAAAACTTAACTCGGGCTCGCCTACCTTATATACGTTTACAATAAGATTCTAGAACTTTCCAAATAGTCTAATTATAGAAAGATTACAAAATATACCGCTTTTAGAAACGCTTACACAAGATCCTAAAATAAACAAATTATGAACTCTCGCGAAGCTTCTAGAAAGTCACACTATTCACGTAATACAATTTTTCGTAACAGCGACCAGGAAGTTTTTCAACAAGCGTTTTCTTTATTTTTGCCAAAGCATTTGTTAAAATTGAAACAGTTCTCGTTTCTTCTACCGACAGACTCGTAGCTTTTCGAGCCCGAGTTAGCCTTTTTTAAAAAAGGTTTTAAGTTGTTGTAACGTTTATAATTTATAGTCTATGAAGTGTATCGCACATTTTTCAGTGAATGCACCCCTAAGAATTTGTGAGCAATTCGTAGACAAGAAGAAAACAATGGTTACTCATGGTAACATTTTTTATCAGATACTGTTATACATAAGTATATTCAAAGCTGATTAACTGGGCCCAACAGAAAGAAAACAAAATAAACTTGCGGTGAACACAAAAGTCGACCAGCTTTTTCTTTTAGGTCTTTCCTTGAGAGATTATTTTGTTGACTCTAACATGCGTAACCTGTAAATTGGCTACCCTTGAGTATCGTGCATAAAAAACATTTTTCCCTTCATATTGTTTTCATATCAGTCGTTTTCAAATCATTTTCCCCTGCCGCGACATTGGACCCGCGACCGCGACATTGGACCCGCGACCCGCGACCCGCGACTATTAGTCAAACTCTAGAATACTCTACTAAAACAATTATTCTTCTCAATCTCGGTGAATAGTGGCTTTGGGAATATTTTGCCACTATTCACCTCGATTTCAAAGAATAATTGTTAAATATATCCTCATTCCTACACATATATAGACTTTACAATTATTGTACTAATTTATGCATGGATGGTATTTCCTACAATACACATGTACCATGACCATGACTGTTACCATACATATCTCTAGCATGAGAATTAACACCAGTAATTCCCACAGTTAAAATTAATGAGGTGCAGGTCAGAGCCAAGAGTGTTTCAGGTGGCATACAGTAGTGATACCCCTCAATTCTGGCATCACCATGCATGTTACAAGTACAACTTTCACTGCATTTAAGCTGGAAAAATCGCTCAAACACTGTAACCATTTCTGGCAATTTTGTTAACATTAACATAGATTGTCTTGTAAGCAATGGCAGACGAGAGTATAATTGATAACCATCAGTTATTATTTGATTCATATCATCGACTGAAGTAATCCTTCTTATCTTACTGTAAATTAAAGCGCACAAACTCATTGCAACAAATTGTTGTCCCGCATTTTCCCCAAACACTACAACGTTTCCTTGACAGTATGGAGCATGAATCTTTTTTTGTAGCATACATAAAATGAAGGTCCTGGATTCTTCTCGATATCAGTAGAAAGATTAAATTGGCCAAAATTAACCCGGTGAATCAAACTCTTGTAAGCACTATAAAAAGGATAGTTGCATGTACAGAGGGACAAATACTTACTTAAAACCGGCCCTGTTTTGATACCTCACCCCACCTAAATAGCCTCTTCTTTTATGCTTAGACGACAGATAAACCTTCGCTTGTTTTCGAACTAATTTTGGACTTGCCCTTAGTGAAAACCTCACACTCTTACAGTTACTTCTGTACCGCTTTAAGTATAAACCATTTCTATTTTTAACGTAACAATGAATTTTGGACGACAATGGTGTATTTTTCAGAATTCCCTTCCATACAAAAAGTCTCACTATCTGTTTTCTTTAACAAAGATTTTAATTTCTTCATCAGTAAGTCTGCTAGGGGCACGACCGCGTCGAGAAAAATGACTAACCCTATTTAAACCAACTAGATTGTAAGTTCTGTTATAAATAAATTTCCCACGACGATATCTCAATTGAACTTCTTTTATTTCCTCCGCAAAACAATTTTCCTCCTGTACAATTGACTCATTACCTTTCCTTGTCGTCGCCTCACTGACATCAAAACACTCTTAACACAAAACTTGCTGATAATGCAAAATCCCGACGCCGAGCATCGTACATGTACCTCGTCACAATATACACAATTACATGAAAAACACAACGCGCAATACAAAAACAAGTACATTGACAGTCACTCTGCTAAACAAAATTGAAAGAATAAGAAGAATTGTTACCGCTATCACAGTAGTTCCCAAAGAAGCCTGAGTCTCTTTTGGTGTCAATTGTTGACAATCGTCTCTTCATTCATCGGAAGAGATTTTGATCACAGGCAACTCCTTGTGTTCCGCATTGTGAAAATCAAAATCACTATTGTCACACTGATTACCAGCTACACAAATCTTGCGACTCTCAAACCTGATACACATTCTTCTGTTCAAACTCTTCTCGATTTTACACGTATGCTCCTGACATTCTTATTGTAATTGCGTCTATGAGGTCCATGCTCTTTGAATGTCTTGACAATTTCCTTCGTTTTTGTTTGAGTTCGCGGACCAGCCCGTTATGAAAACCCTCAGTGTTATTTTAGTGTGGGCCTACCGCGAACAGTGTGTGCATTTGTAAGTTTAACCCTCGATAACATACTTCAGCAATACGTTCCTCGAAATACTGTCGCCAAATTGTATCCAAAGTGCTTCTTAGGCCCGGTTCAGACACCGTACTTTTCATGAGCCGAACCTAATTCGAATTAAGACCGACCCAAATTATTTGGACCGGCTGAATTGATTCAGACGCCGATCTTAATTCCAGCCGAACTAAATTCATGAGGAGAAATATGCTCATTTCAGTCAAACTGCTTAGAAAAAACGTTATAATAATTTATGCATTAGGTTAGGTACATGAAAAGTTCGGCGTCTGAATCAAAGCCGTTCCAAAGTCGTTCCAAAGGCGAAATTCCCTGCTAGGCTAGGCGAAAAGAACGGCTGAGCAGTTCCAAATTGAAACAGGCGTTCCTAATTGATTCAGACGCCGAACTTTTCATGTACTTAATTCAATGTATTAGGTTCGGCTCATGAAAAGTACGGCGTCTGAACCGGGCCTTGCTGCTGCGTTGAAAAATTTCGGATCAAATGATATCATATTACTACCATCCTTGAAGCGCGACGAATTCTGCGCGTAGCTTCACATTTTGGCCAATGAAACTTTGTCGGTTAGTCTCTGTCGTGAAATTGACAACGTTTTTGGCGCCGTACGAACATGTTTTGATCACGTGCTGTCTAAGTTTTCAGGTTTTTCGTGGGAGCGTATTCTCTTTTTAAACTCTGCATGTGTCAATATGGTGATGCAAATTCAAGTTCAAATTGGAAATACTAGAAGAGTTTTTTTTATGAATCCGCCTGGGAGTGTTGAGGATTTAAGAAAACTACATTTTGCGTGAGATTCCGAAGACACGTTTTATGGATTTTGGGTTACTTTGCGAAAACGATAAAGGAGAATATGTTGTGTTGAATGACGTTCACATGGCAGACATTCGCCCCGCTTCGCTTGTTTACTTGCTTGTTTACGGTAGCACGTATTGCGTGCCTATTGCACATTTGCGTCAAAACAAGCCGTTTCCATTACTCTATTTGGGCCACGCCCAAATAACAAGCCATTTTTTTCATATTCTTTGTTTGTAACTTTTTGAGGACAACTGTTACAACAACATCAGTCTAGATGCCGGTCTAGATGGGAAAATCTAGACCGCGCTCAAGATCGATTTTAGCCAATCAAATTCTTGAATTTGTTTGTTTCCAGTCCTTTTAAGACATGGCCATATAATAAATATATGTTATTCATCGGCTGGGAGGTCCGTATTGGGAGAAACTGTGCCCGAGGTCTTGAGGCCGAGGGCGGTACTCAGACCAAGGGCATAGTTTCTCCCAATACGGACCGACCTAGGCCGGTGAATAACATTTTTATTTTTTTCCTACTGAGATTTAAAAGTTTCAGGAAAAAATGTGTGTTGAAGAAGGTCGCGTTCGTGTTGATGTTATTCAAAGCGCGCGATCGATTGCAATAAATATGTCACCTAGCATGCTCGCAATTGGCATTGTCGCCTTCTTATAGTTATAGTTACTGTCATTTGTCAAAATCAATCAAATTGAATTAGAGAGAAGAGATTGATGTAGTATTCTTTTTCAATCTCTTTCCTCGAACTCCTCTAATTGCGATTAAAACGCTCCTCAATAAGCAGAATCTGAGTTTTGTTCCAATGTAGTTCAGGACATCGGCGTAACTTTCTCTTCTTTTCTCAGCTATCAGAGAGGCAATACGCTTGTGATGTCTATCAGCTTCGATGCCAACACCCCCAGACGTCGACATCACAGAAGCAGTGAATGTGCCCTTTTCCTTTTGTATCACTCGTTCATTTTATGCTCTTTTCTTTTCTTTTTTCGTGAGCAATATACACCTGATCGATACTTTTGTCAACGTATGATGACGCATTCGGGTACATAACTCTTGTGTGTAAGAATGTTCTTTCAAATGGCCCCCAAACTCCAATACCTGACACATCTAGACAAGAGTTTTATGCATCATTTCCATTGGCATCAAGTTGTTGTCAAGTGGCATGAGCTGAGGTTCAATTCTGACGTCACTACACACTTCCTGCATCGACTTCAAGGTCTCTTATACACTTGTGTCTCGTCATCACATACCCGCCTTTTTTGCATGATAGGGCATGATTGATGTCGTTCTTAACCCCACATAAAAAATACCTAGGTGTATTTGGGATTCTCCAATCATATCTCAAGCAAATACTATCCTGGAATTTTCGCTTGTATAGTGTCGGTACCCTTTGATTGGTAAGGCTGTTAGCCAGGATCCAGATCCCTTTTCTCGAGTAAGTGCCAGAGACCGTTTAGCTCTAAGATCAACTTCTTCAAGTAGTTGATTGTATTCGTCTTGCAGAATCTGTTCTTTTTGTGCCTTGACCAATTTGATGTTATTCTCAACTTGTACTCTGTCAAAGTTGGTAAGATCTTTGTCATGGCTGTAGATGACATCAGTAAGATTTCAATATCATGAGCGCATGGATGGATGATTGCCGCTTTTAGGACGACGCTTTTCCCTGGCTTTGGAGGTGGGCAGTCATCTTATGCAAATTGCCTTCTAGTTTGCTTTTAACAGCTACGTTTATTTTGTGATTGTTATGAGACTGAAGGAATTTTCGCGCGGACTAGAATGGCCTTGAGGGATTTTTCCTTCCTGCAATGTCAGCATCTGCCCCCCAGCCGGCCGGGGGGGAGGTACTCACCCAATACAGTTGAACCTCTCTAATACGGACACCGAAGGCCGGACAGAGCAAAGTGTCCGCGTAAAAGAGGTCATTACGATGACGTAACTTTATGACTCTACTTGCAGTTTTAAGTGTTCAGTAGCTAAAACCAGGCTTACAGTCGTCTTTAAACTGCATTTAAATTTTTAATTCACAGTACAAAGACACTGTATCTCAGTAGCATACAACATTGCACATCTCAGCTACAAAGTAAGTGCAGTCGTAGACAAATCACTGTTTTAAAACGAAACGAGCTACAGCGCAATGCTGCGAGTAAAAAGTTGTAACATAAAGCATAATTCTGAAAGCGTTTTTCGCTATTTTGCAAGTGCAGTAAACAGTAACTAGAGTACAAAATGTAATAGAAAAGATCTTTATGCTATCTGTAGTTATTCAAGCCTGAAGAAAGTCTTCAGAAAATATATGAGAATTTTGTCGGGACATTGGAAACTGTCCGTAATAGAGAGGCGTCCGTATTAGAGAGGTGACCGTATTGAAAGGTTCTTTTGAAAGGCCTTTTAACGCCTTTTCACTCTATTTACTGCAATTTTCCTTAGGTTGGTGTTTTCAAAAAATCGGCTAGACATACATTTAATCGGGTTTTAAACCGTGACCGCAGAGATTGTTCACCAGCTTCTGTTGCTCTGTGACTTGGTTAATGTGGACGTGAAATGTTGTCATACTAAGTATGATTTAACTTTTAACTTAATTTAAACATCATTTAATAAACTTCAAGATATCAAATTAAGACTGTGTATTAACTGATTTAGGGACTTTATTCTGGGATGGAAATACATTGAATAGCCCGGAACAGGTTTTCGCGAATCACCAGGCTTTGACCATTGCGTCAGAAACAGCGCTCAAATGTATTTTCGTTCATTACTAGTAAACGGGCGAACGCGGGGTGTTTTGTCGATGGGCTCTCTTCGATCACTGATGTCGCGTTCTTGCCGCTAATTCGCGTAGATTGTGAAGAGTCTGGACTACTTCTCGGCACTTTCAGTACGCGAGTAGTAGTTTAGACTCTTCACAAGACTTATTTCAGCACTGTTTCAGTTGCTTTTTTTTTTTTTTACTGAGTGCAAGCCTTCATTGCCAACTGTGCATGGCTTTTTAAACTTATGATTTATGAACAAATGAATTGAACTGGAGGACTCGTGCTCGTGAGGCTCAATACTTTAATTTCACTAAAAAATACTTTTAATATTTAATACCCCTTCCCCATCCCACTGTAAACTTGTTTTCAAACTACAGCGTTACGTAACAGATACTTAACTCGAAACAAAAATAAATGTTGGTTATAAATACTATAATTTTAACGAATGACAGAATAAGAACGTTACTGTTGACCGTTAATTGTATGACGACTGAGTAAGTAAACGAAATTGAGGTATTCTTTCGGGATTAACATAGCCTTAACCCATTCGCCCATGAACCGCCCGTGCGGATCCAGGTCCTTTCTACCCTTTGTGACGTCATCAATTATAACGGTCAAGGACAACTTTCTTGGCTAACTTGTGCAGAGTGAAGAGATCTTTCAAACCATACCAGAATGAGCACAATTCAGTCAAGGACACCGGAGAAAGAAGCAAAAAACCACGTGACATTGACCTGAAAATCTCCATGAAAATCTTGTTCCATTGCCCACCTACCTTTCCTTTCACCTAATCCTAAGATCCTAAAAGCTTTCCTAAAAACTCTTCCCACCAAAATGAAGCCTATTAAATGCCCAGCAAGAGAAAAAAAAATAACGCAAGAAAAGCGAAAAAATAAGGGAGGAGAGAAAGCGAAAAGTAAAAGTCAAGACTCCTGTGTCACTTTTAAACCCGAAATTTTGCTTTCTGCGCATGCCCGAACTTCGCAAACTGATGTTTTGCATCTGGATCAGAAGGCCGCCAAGTGTACGACCTGTAAACCGGTTTGTGGTAAGTTTTAGCCCTTTATAGCTCGACAGTGACCAGAAAACCACTCGACTAGCTTCAAAACGTGTTTTTCGGCAAAATCTCCAGGAGCGAATGGGTTAACTGAAACTCACGAAGTGCATGGTGTTAATTGTACGGTTGACAAGTCACTAAAAACAAAGATAAAGTTCTATTGTAGCATCGCCATGAGCATTAAAACTTGCTCTGGCAAACTCTTTAGCTCAGGGAACAAATTGTATTCTGTATCATCACTTTCATCACTGTTATCTGAATCCGGGTAATCAGAAACGTAGCAAGCCTCCACAACAGGCAACTCTTGTTCATAGGGTCCCACGACGTGGTCAGCAGCTTGCTCTGGCAAACTCTTAAGCTCAGGGGACAAATTGTATTCTGCATCATCACTTTCATCACCATTATCTGGCGGGTAATCAGAAACGTAGCAAGCCTTCACAACAGGCAACTCTTGTTTATGGGATCCCACGACGTGATCAGCAAGTTCTGTGGATTTACTCTTCGAAATGAAGAGTTGCTCCATGAGAGATACGAGTTCTGTAATAGAACCTGAAGCCGATAACAGCTCCTCTTTGTAGTCCATAGATTCTTCAGTTACAGGTTGATTTACAGAAGCGATCGGCAGAGGGCGTTTATCACTCATCATCTTTTTAATATTTCCTGCCTCGTTTTGGTTAGCTTTCCTTTTCTTTGAATGTCCAAAAAAGGGTGAAAGAGGCCGTATCTCTGCCTTCGATGATTGCTGATTTCTTGCGTTGTTAAAATCTGAATCTTGTCGTTTGTTTTTAAACGCCTTTTCCTTACGGCGTCGGGAATCCTCTCTTGGCTGACTCCACCCTTCTGACATCTTTGTCTTTTTTCTTTCCGCGACCTTAATTCTTTTTCCCCTAAAGAATCATCTACATCGCAATAATTCCTTT